CTTCCACTTCCTTGATAGTATCTTTTGAAGCACTTTTTTAATACTTAGGGAATTTAAGTGTATGGTTTTTTGACACTTGTGCTTTTGGTGTCATAACTAAAAAATTTGCATAATCCAGGGTCATGAAGATTTACTTCTGTGCTTTTTTCTAAAACTTTTATAATTTCCATTTTTATATTAGGTGATCTATTTTGAGTTTATTTTCACATAGACTATGAGAAGTCCATTTTTGGTTTTTTGCATGTCCAATTTGTTGAAAGAACTGTTCTATTCTTCCCTTTGAATTGTCTTGGTACCCCATGTTGAAAATGGTTTGTCCAACTCTGTTCTTTTGACTATAGCCATATGGATTCAAAATATATAATGTACAAATATATTCCAGGACCACATTGTCTTAATTGCTATAGCTTTTGAAATGAAGATTGTGAGCCCTCCAACTTTGTCCTTTTTCAAAATTGTCCAGATTATTCTAGGTCCATTTCATTTCCATCTGAATTTTGAGGTAGGCTTTCCAACCTTCATTTTGATAGGTAGCAATGTTTTTTTAAATGACTGGTGGTTATAGGGAAATCTGTTCTTAATGGTCTACTAGTTTAAAAAATAGTCACTCTTTTAAATTCAGCACCTAATATTAAGGGAAGGATGACAATACCTTAAGAGTATTGGTGATAGCCACTCCAACTCATTCACTCACTCCCTGTCTCTCATCTTGTGCTTTTTACCAAGACTCTCCACAAGAAGGCCATTACCACATGCAGCCCCTCAACCATGTATCTCAACAGCCATGAGCCAAAATACATCTCTTTTCTTTATAAATTTTTCTTTCTTTTTTTTTTTTTTTTTTGTGGTACTGGGGTTTGAACTGAGGGCCTACACCTTGAGCCACAGCCCTCTTTTGTGAAGGATTTTTTTTCAAGATGGGTCTTGTCAGCTCTTTGCCTGGTCTGGCTTCAAACCACGATCCTATTGATCTCTGCCTCCTCAGTAGCTAGGATTACAGGTTGAGCTACTACCGCCTGTCTATAAAATTTTTTTTAAATGAGTATTGAGGTAATACAGAGAAGGCACCTGTATTTCATGATGATTGTTTCAAGAAACTAAAGAGGGCTTGAGGTGTGATGAGCTGTAGAGCACCTGACTAGGAAGTGCAAAGCCCTGAGTTCAAACCCCAGTATTGCCAAAAAAAGAAACTGAAGATATTGTCTGGGCATAGTGGTTCATCCTATAATTTCAGCTTCTTGGGAGGATGAGATCAGAAGACCCCATCTCAACCAATAAGCTGGGCGTGGTGGTGTACACATGTGGTCCCTGCTCTATGGGAGACAAGAGGATTGCAGTTTGGGGCCAGTCCTGGTCAAAAAGCAATACCCTATCTGAAAGGTTCTGAGTTTGAACCCCCTTATCACAGAGAGAGGGAGAGGAGAAAGGGAGGGAGGGAAAGAGGGAAGAAGATAGGAAGGAGTTAAAGACATTTATCCTGGAACAGAAAATAACCACCTTCAGTATTTGAAGAATTGCCATGTGGACGATAACTTAAAAACCCTTAAGAAAGACTAAGATAGTGAATGGAAGCTACAAGGAGATGTTTCACTGAGGCTCTGAAAGCACAGGTGGTCAGAACTGCATAAGAGCTATGTGGACTATATTGTAAGTTCCTCATCACTAGAAATGATTAAGTTTGATTAATGGTATATGGTATCTACAGTGGCTAATGGGAAAGCCTTTAGAGTCAAACATGGCTTTCAGTTCCAACAACTGCCACATCTAGACTATATACTCTTGGACGAGTTATTTAATCTATCCATACTTATTTTCCCTTGGGGATAATAATGTCCACCTCATAGGATTGTTGTGAGATAATGCCTATAAATTGCTTATTGATAGAGCCTGTTTCTGAAAACTACTCAGTGATTGCTATTAAGATTTAGCACTAATTTAGTTCTGAACTAGTTCAATTCTTAGACAAGATCACCTTAACTTTAAAAATCTATGATTCTCTTCACACAAAAGCTTGTACACAAATGTTCATAGCTGCTTTATTCATAGTAGCCCAAAACTGGAACAGCTCAGGTATTCTTCAGTGGATGGATGCTTACCCAAACTGGGGCCCAAAGTCACGGAATAGAATTTAGCAATTAAAGGTACAAACTATTGATAAGTGCAACCTGAATTAATCTCCAGGGGATTATAATGAGTGAAAAACCCACATCTCAAAAGATTACAAATGGTGTGATTTCATTTATGTAGCATTCTCAAAATAACAAAATTGTAGAATTGCAGAAAGATCAGAGTCTGTCAGGAGCTAAGGAATGGAGAGGGGTCAGATAGGAAGAAAGCTATTAAAGAGCAACATGAAGGATACTTGGGGTGATTTATATGTATTGTATTTTGACTATCAATGCCATATCTTGGTTGTAAATTCTATAGTTTTGCAAGATATTATATTGGGAGAAACTAGGTAAGGGATACAGAGAAGATGTATTATTACTTTCAATTGCATGTGGAACAACACTTATATCAAAATTAATAGTTTAATTTGAGAGAAAAGGAACTTTGGTGCATTTATAAGACTACCAGAATATTCACTAAACTTATTTTGGGAACTAATACTTTCGGCGTGTGTTTTCAGACAGCACAGGAGCCCTGGAATCTCACAGGTCAAAAGGAGGCAGGCCAGTAGAGACAGTGCCAGTCTTGCTCAGCACTGTGGATTCTGTAGGCAGGCATGTGGAAGTATCTCATGCATTTCTCATGTGACTAAATTAAGGCATACATTTTTTTAATAAACTTAAAAACTAAAAGAGGGTGAGACCCAAAGGAGTTTGGGATTCTCTTGACTGTACTGGGCACTTCGTTAGGTCAGGAGCTGTAAGTTCATTAGATTCACAGGGCATGGCACACAGTAACTTGTGTTAAATGAGAACAACTCTGTTCCTTCGGTGGTGGTTTTAACAATTTGGGTTGTTAGGTGGAAGTAATTAGACTAAATTAATTAAGTTTATTAAATTAATTACTTCCCTCACTACTAGATATTGAAAGTTGCATTTAAGCACAATAGTCTCCATATTGCCGTAACTTTATACTTTCCACGAATGCAATCCTTCAGAGTTAATCATGGTTCCAAAATCTTACATGGAAAATTAGAGAAATAAACAGTTGACAAGTTTTGAGTTGAGTTTGGTGAAGTCAAGTGCCCCACTCCATCCCACCTAGGAGCTGAACCATCCCATATCCCGGCATAGCCACACTTCATACTACCCATCTCCACCAGTCACTTGGAAGCCGTTTCAGTTACAGATGAACTGCCACTGTATTGCAGTGCTGTTCACTTGTTATTACTTAAGGACAGTCCCAAAGCTCAAGAGTAGTGATGCTGGCAATACACATATGCCAAAGAGAAGCTGTGAAGTGCTTCCTTTGACTGAAAAAGTAAAAGTACATGATGTGTTTAAGAGAGAAAAGAGACTATATTTACATAACTTACTACAGTATATTGTTATAAATATTCTATTTTATTATTGTTAATCTCTTACTATGCCTAATTTGTGAATTTGACTTCATCATGGGTATGTATATGTAGGAAAACATATTATGTTTCTGGTTTGGTACTTTTCATGGTCCAACACCTCCATTGAGGATCTTGGTATATATTCTCCACAGTAAGGGAGTAATGTTGCATTTTAAACTTTTTAGCTATCAAAATATTAGGGTTTTTAATTAAATATTTCCATCAGTCAAAAGGACAAGTATAGTACTTTGTATAAAAATCATAAAACAGGCCAGGTACTAGTGGCTCACACCTGTAATCCTAGCTACTTGAGAGGCTGAGGTCAGGAGGATCACTGTTATAGGACAGCTCAAGCAAGAACTATCTCAAAAATAACCACAGTGGGGAGGGGCTGGTAGAGTGCCTGCCTATCAGTCATGAGGCCCTGAGTTCAAATCCCAGTACCACCAAAAAAAATAATAATAAAAATAACTACAGAAAAAAGGCCGGAAGGCATATTTCAAGCTATATAGTACCTGCCTAGTAAGCATGAAGCCCTGAGTTCAAATACCAGTACACATAAATAAACATTCATATAGTCATTATCCAGTGTTAGAAATATACCAATTTTCTCATATGCCATTCGTGAGTCTTTTTCCTTTCTTGTCTAAGGGTAACCACTGTTCACATTTGTGTGGGGGTGGGGGTGGGTGCTGGGGTTTAAACTCAGGGCTTCAAGTTTGCTAGGCACACGCTCTACTCCTTGAGCCATACCTCCAGTCCATTTTGCTCTGGTTATTTTGGAGATGGGGTCTCGCAAACTGTTTGCCTGGGCTGGCCTTGAACCTCAGTCCTCTCGAACTCAGCTTCCCAAGTATCTAGGATTACAGACATGAACCACCAGCGCCCCATTTCTTGGTATTAATTTTAGGATTTATCCATGTCAACGCATAAAATTATAGTTTATCTATGTCTCTCCTTCTATCAATAGACATTTGAGTTTTTTACAATTTTTAAGTAATTCGTACTCTACTACTTATGAGCATTCTTATCTATTCCCCAGTGTACACTTATAAATGTTTTTGTAGAAAAAGTAACAAGGAGTAGACTATCTGGGTCATAGATTGTGCATTTTCAACTTTGCAAAGATAACATTACATTTGTTTCCAAGATATTTGTTGTTAGTACTCTGATGTTGTATGAAGGTTTCCAGTGCTTCACAGCCTTTTTGACATTTCTTATTATCTGACATTTTGTTTTTCCCAAGATGGTGATTGTGAATGGCATCTCCTTATCATGGTTTTACTTTGCATTTCCTTGATTTGTAAAGAGGTTGAACATGTCTTGAGTTTATTAGCCATTTGGTTTTCTTTTCTATAAAATGCCTGTTCATGTCTTTTGCCCCTTTTTCTTTAGCAGTTCATCAATGCTCTAGATATTAGTTTATTGTAAGCTTTGCTTGTTGCAAATGTCTTTTCCCAGTTATGGCTTACCTTTTCACTTCTTTTTTAAGAGTGCAAAGACAATGCTGAAAGGAGTAACAAGGCTTGTCTCCAGGGTCCATAAGGTGAGTAATAATAGACTGAACACTTTCAAACGCCCTTTAGGTACATTTGTTTTTAGATGGCTTTATTATGTCTAGAATCGAATACTCTGGAGAACTTCACCTAATTTTTAAAAATTTTATTAGCATATAATAATTGTACAGGGGGATACATTGTGGTATTTACATATGTGCTTAAAAATATCCTAGCTGGATTTACCCCCCTTCATCATTCTCCCTCTTCTCCCCTTCCCCCTTAGAATAATTACAACAGGTTTGTTTCATTCTTCTATTTTCATTATAGATACAAAACACATCCACCATATATACCCTCATTCCCCCTTTCCTTGTGCCCACCCCCCTCCCATTGGTAACCTACCTCCCAGAAAAGACCTATTTTTCCCTCCTGCCCTTCATATTTTTTAAGTGTATATTGATAGTCCAGGGGGGTACTTTCAGAACTATATATATCATGCTTTAATCAAATTAATCCCTTCCCCATCATTTGTTACTCATTCTCTATCACCATGCTCCCCTAATATTCAATAGCTTACTGTGCAGTGCATTATATTACATTCATATATAGATGGGTTGTGCCAATATTTTTCATTCTCTAACATTTTCTTTACCTCTCCCTCAGACAGGGAGGGAACTCACTAATACGATTTTGTTCTCTCTCTCTCACTCTAATGTTTTTACAAAGTACTCAAAAGAACATTCATAATTCTCTTTTTCTTCTATCTATATCCTTAACTATCAGGTGCCCTAAAATTTTTCAAGGAACAGGTCTCAGTAGAATAGTTGTGCCTAAAGCCAGGAGTGGTGGTGAATGACTATAATCTCAATACACAGGAACCTGAAGCAAGAGAATCCTGAGTTTAAGACCAGCCTGGGTTACATAGCAAAACCCTATCTCACAAAGAAAAAAAAGGAAAAGAACATTTGTGCTTGAGAATTTACCAATTATCATTTGAAATATTTTTTAAAAACAAATCAATTTAGATATGTAGCATCTGAAAATAGAATAAAATCATATATGAAAAAGACTATCCTTGAGCCTACATTCATCAAACATTGTCACACATCATTACAGGTATGAGTCACTTTAAGGATGACCCACACCTATAATCCTAGCCACTTGGGAGGCTGAAATCAGGAGGATCATAGTTTGAGGCCAGCCTGAGCAAATAGTTCATGAGACTCTATCTCCAAAGTGACAAGAGGTTTAGCTTAAGAGCACCTGCTTTGTAAACATGAAACCCTGAGTTCAAATCCCAGTCCTGCCAAAAGAAAAGGGGGGAAAAAAAAAGAAAGGCCCATCTTGTTGGTTTGCTCCATTCTTTAATTTATTTACCAAATAGTTTTTCAGTACCTTCTGTGTGGCAAGTATTCAGAATTCTAAAATAACTCGTTATTGTTGGTGTTTATTGGGCATTTGATTATGTTTCAGGTACAGCACTCAGTGACTTATTTCTTTTAATCTTCATGACCAATCCATGAAGTAGGTAATATTGGTTGGCTAAATATTGCAGAAACTGAGATTTAGAATGGCTGGGACACTTACCTACAGAAATAGGCTGTGAAGTTGCAGGTCTGGCTGACTTGAAAGGCTGTGGTCTACCTGTCCACTATGCCATATTGGTATGTCCATATTCTCCAGAGCCTCACAGTTTAGTAGTAGAGTTATGATAAATGACTGTTGCAACATGATGCTGTGGCAACACCCAAGAGCAGTGCCTAACCTGCATAAGTTGAGTTGAGAGGAAATTCTCTAAGAGCTAAATCACTGGTCACTTTCATCAGAGCATGTAATTAGATTAGATTTCCTAGAAGAGGAGCCCTTCCTCCTATATACTTCTTTTTTTCCCCTACTACCCCGGGATTGATGAAAATAACCCATTATTATAAAATGAAATAACAGAAGAGATCAACAGAGGGAGGTTGTAGCCTCAAGAAATCTAAAATTCTTCCTTCATATCAGAAAAGAAACACTTGAGAACAGACTTATAGCAAGGTATTGGTGAAAAGAATTTTGTGGGTGCTGTAAGTTTAGTTCAGGGTGACCTTCGAGATTGGCCCACAAATGTAAATCTTTTCCAGAACTGCATCATGATCACTCTAGAACTGTGCAGAGGAAATTGTACATGTGGTTGGTCTTTGTAGAAATGTGGCTAGTTTGACGATGCCATTTATAACACTCAATATGTAAGGAATCCATTTTGCTAGCTTTTAATTTACTGCAAAAAAATGCCTAACAAAACTCATCGGATTACCTATGGCAATAGCACCACCTTGTGGACCTTGAATATTTTTAGTTTTCCACTTTTTAAAGAAACTTGGTGATTTCTTTCCAGTAGATAAAATTGAGTAAGATCAGTACTAAGATGTATTATTCAGGTGGCTATGCTGAGATAACAAGCACTTAATTCTGGTTTGTAGTTTGTGTATTTGTTTGTTTGTTTGTTTTTGTTTTTGCTGTTCCCATATTTTCAGTAGGCTTTGCAAGCAAGACAAAGGAGGAGTGTAGTTATATGGACAGAAGTTCACCTTGGGATACCAGGTCAACATGTAGCTGCTTTTTTTCTTCATGATTTTTTTTTATCTGAGGGGAAGTCTTGCAGTGTTGCCTGGGCTCAAACCATCTTCCTTCCTCAACCTCCAAGTAATGGGGTAGCAAGTACCATTGCATGTGCCTTGTAACATGTAGGTTTAAATTTTGCCACAGCAGAAGACCAAAGGAGAGAATATATGACCTCTGTTTACTGGACAGGACTAGAGATGATACAGTTATTTCTACTTATGACTCTAGCCAGAAGTAATCACATGACATCAACCTATCTGCTGGGAAGGCTGAGAACTATAGAGGAATATGTGGCTATTTGGTGAGCATTGCTGCCTCTGATGTAGAGTTGCTTTACAATCATGCATTCTCAGTGTAGCGGCACACTTTCTGTTGAAATGTAAATAATGGTTCAGAGGTTTCACTATGTTATCTAAGTTAACTACACATCAGCTCTCGATCACTCAGATAGATGCTGTTTGTAGCCATTGCATGTCTTTAAGGAATGACTATTTCTAGGCACAACTACTTAGTATTTGTGCTGTGTTAGGTACTAGGGAAGAAGATAAAAGGTGAACAGAATCTGATTTCCTTCTGTTCCAAGTGTGTGGATTAGAATGAGAGACAAATGTGTGTAAGATAACATGATACAATAATTTAAAAAAATAGATTTTGGAGTCAGATAAACTTGAATGTGAATTATAGTACCACCACCTACCAACTGTGACCTTGGTCAGAATTGCTCAACTTCCTTGAACCTTGTTTTTTTCCCATCAAAGAACAAGAATGTGAATATCCTACCTATCTTCAGGGATTCTAGGTTCAAAAATAATACATGTAAACTTCTGTATTAGCATCTTATACTACTATCTTATATTCAGTTATTAGTAGCCAAGAATGCACTTCAAGGCACTTCCATGCCAGGAGCAATGAGAGTAAGATTTTGACTGGGTATATCTGACTAGGAAGGTATAAGATACTCGAGGTGACTGCAAGTGATAAAGACAGGTGATGCAAAAATAGTGTACATTTTCTGCACTCCAGAAGTTGCTGGGTGAAGCTAAACGTAAATAAAAGCAGCTTCTCTATTACCTATTGCTTTACCAAGCAACTCTCACATTACATCCATCGCTCATGTCCCTGTTGTCCAGCTTCTCTTGGATTCATCCACTAATCTTTTCCTCATAACTGGCCTCTTTTCACTTCTTCATAAGGCCTGCTACCCTTAAGCTCAATTTTTGGGATCCTTCAGTTAGCATTTTCTCAGATATATCTGCTGAAATCTCTCATCTGTCCCTTACCTGCTGGTGTTCACTGAGTCCCTATTGAAGAGCAGGTTTTCACTTAATGGGGTACTTTATATGTTCCCGCATTGCATGGTTTTTTTTTGTTTTTTTTTTTTTTTTTTTGTGGTACTGAGCTTCGAACTACTCGGGGCTTTGTAGTTGCTAAGCAGGCACTGTACTACTTGAGTCACCTCCAGCCCCTTTTGCTCTGGTTATTTAATTTGTGGTACTAGAGTTTTAACTCAGAATTTCACACTTGTAAAGCAGGCACTCTACCATTTGAGCCATGTTTCAGCCCTGCTCTGGTTTGTTTGTTTTGAGAGAAGGCCTCGCTACTTTTCCCCTGGCTGGCCTGGACCATGATTCTCCTGTTTATGCTTCCCACCTTAGCAGAGATGACAGTCATGTGCCACCACACCAATCTTTTTTTTCTGTTGAGATTGCATCTTGTGAACTTTTAAAAAATTTTTTTGGCTGGGGGAGACTGGGAATTGAACTCAGGGCTTCACAGTTGCAAAGCAGATGCTGTCTTGAGCCACGCCTCCATTCCCTTACAAACTTTTTTTTTACCTGGGCTGGCTTCACACCACAATCATCCTGTTCTCAGCCTCCCACATAGCTAGGATTACAGGTGTGAGCCACCAGTGCCCATTTGAAAGACTGTTTATTCCACAATATAGGTGGAAAGAAGATTGTTACGGGGTGTAATTTTACCTATCACATAATGAAGAACATGGCATTCATCCCCTGATTGAGGTGACCGATACTACTGTACAGCTGAGAATTGCACAATACTGCGACCATTCATCACGGGGGCAAGTGCATTAAAGCAGTTTTCCTGAGCTGGGCGCAGTAATGTTTGGCTATAGGCTAAAGTGGGAGAATTGCTTTAGCCCAGGAGTTCAAGCCCCGCCTGGGAAACATACTAAGACCCCATCTCAGAAAAAAAAAAAGTGGCCAGGCATAGTGGTATTTGTCTGTAATCCCAGCAACTCGGGTAGCTGGTCAGGAAGATCAAGAGTTCAAGTCTAACCTGGAATACAGAGTGAAGACCCTGCCTCAAAAAAAAAAAAGTTGGGCTGGTGCTCTGGCTTACATGGTAGAGTACCTGCATAGCAAGCACACTCTTGAGTTCAAACGTGAGTATTAAAAAAAAAGAGAGAGAAAAAGAAAAAAATTTCTTGCTTTAGGTATCAATGTCTTTAACAGAATTGTTTGTTTCCACATGGAACAGAGCCCTGATACGGTAATGTGCATGCTGGAACAAATTTAGAAGACAGGTAATGTGATTATACTTAGTGGATTATAAACACTAACAAGGATCCATTTTACACTGAATAAAAATATATGTTAGGGACATAACATTTGTCATATAACATATAAAACAGGGGTTTTAGGCATAGCTTACATCCTCAACAAGCATAAAAAGCCTGATAATTCCAAAACAATAACATGGCTTCTTTTACAGTTGGACCCTGGACGTGTTTTGCACTTGGGGACCCAGGCACCTCAAAGCATTGCTGCCCACCTGGATAACCAGGTTCCAGTTGAGAATCCCAGAGCTATTTCCCGCACTAATGAAAGTGACCCAGTAAGTTGTTAGTATGGGGATTTCCAGGGATTATAATTTGTGTTCTTACCTTCTTTTTACACATCAAGAAAACTGACGCCAGGCACCAATGGCTCGTGCTTGTAATCCTAGCTACTCAGGAGGCAGAGATCAGAAGAATCACAGTTCAAAGACAACCTGGGCAAATAGTTCGAGAGACCCTATCTTGAAAAAACCCATCACAAAAAAAGACTGGTGGAGTGCCTCAAGGTACAGGCCCTGAGTTCAAGCCCCAGTACTGGGGGGGAAAAAAAAAGCTAAACTGATTTATGAATAGTCAGGTAGATGGTGCATCTGAGCTAGCATCCTAGAAGTAGGTCTTTCCTGTGGGACAGAAAACACTAAGGTTTTTCTCGTTTAATCCCTACTACTGAACTCTCCTAGTGCCAAGGATGTTGCGGAGCACACAGGCGGTGCATAGTAAAAACTTAAGTTCAATTCTTTACAAGGTAAGTTTAGCACTTACTGCTCTTACTGAGTGTTGGGTGGCAAAATTTTCCTTAAAGGACCAGTTGGTACATATTTTAGTTTTATGGGCTGTAATGGTCTCTGTCAGTCTATTCAACTCTTCTGTAAACAAATAGGTGTATCTGTGTTCCAATAAAATTTTGTTTACAAAAGGAGTGACCAGAGATGGAAGTATAGTTCAGTGGTTGAGGTTTGCCTAGCATACGTAAGGCCTTGGATTCAATCCCTAGCAACACATGCACAAAAAAAAAAAGAAGAAAGAAAAGATTTTAAAAAATCAGATGACCAGCCATAGCTTCTGACATCCGGGTATGGAGATTCCTAAAGAAATCAAATTACTTACCCAAAAGCACACAGAAGGCAGGTACAGAACCCAGTTATCCTAATAACCAACCTATCTGATATTCTAATCCACCTTCATAAATGGATTTCCTAGTATCTGGAGAAGGAACTAACTTGATTTATTATGAGAAGAGCAGCATTTAAAGTGAAGTTTATCACCAGAAGCCAAAATTCCAGCAGTATCCAGTGCTGTATTTCCTAGTTTAGGACCTATTATACTGGATATTGGCTTCCTTTCTCCCTCCCACTTTGCTGCTTCTCATAAATGAAATTAGTTGTGTGCTTTATTTAATGTGAGGGAAACCACCAGCTTTTTTGTCCCTGCTCTGCCTTCTGAATTTTCTTATCTTAATATGGCTATGTGGAAATTTTAAAACATATCTTACCACCAAAAACACCATTTCAGCAGGCTGTGTTTTAAATACATCTCTAGCATTCACCTATTTTCACAAGCATGAAATGAAATAGGATAAATGAATGAAGTCACTGAAGTGTCTTTCAGCTTGCTCTATAATTGTAGTCTCTTTATCTGCGAATTCCTCTGAGGTTTCTATGGAAACAGCAGCATGCAGATGATCTTGTCATGTGACTGGAGCCTCCCTATACACAGCACAGAAGAATCCAGATAGCAAGAATTGCCTCTCCCACACCTAGGGTTTTCTTGCTCAACAACTGGCCTTCTCGTTGAGGCTACCACCATTATAGTATATACACTGGATTTGGGGACAATCACACCAGCATTTTTGTCTAAGATAAAAAATAAAAGATACTTTTCCAGCTCTGAGAGATGAGTGCTTCCCCACTGTGGTCTATCAGATGCTATCCACTTCTCAAAATCTTTATCTCTTTGAGTCTCCATTATATGTGTTTGCGTTTTTATTTCTTAGGCCAAGCATGGGGAGCAGCATGCAGGGCAGCACTACAATATCCCCCTCCAGGATGTGAAGACGGTGTTTCCCCATGGCCTCCCTCCTCGATTTGTAATGCAGGTACTCAAAAATAGGGAACAAAACTAGGGGGAGCCCAAAATACAAGCTAGACATATGGTGGCGGAGGGGTTGGCAGTTAAATAAGACAAAAACTATACATTTGAAATTTGAGTCTGAATCAGCTGTTCATTATCTTTTGTCACTAGAATAATTACTTTAAGCTAATGTTTATTTTCTGCTAACCACCTTAAATCCTTCTTTAGAACCAGGCAGAGGAATTCTAAATAAAGGATGTAGATATTTTTTCCTTGCATTACAAAACAAGTTTAACTTTACCAAAATGCCATGAAAATAGTTAATGTGCTGCACAAAGACAAAATCCTGAGCTAAACAGAAATGACAGTTGGATTAGCTGCATCGTTGTTTTTCATTTGAATTTTTTTTTTCTTTTTTTCTTTTTTTGCAGTACTGGGGCTTGAACTTGGGGCCTTCATCTTGAGCCACTACACCAGCCCTATTTGTGATGGGTTTTTTCCGAGATAGCCAGCCTAGGCTGGCTTCGAACTGCGATTCTCCTGATCTTTGCCTCCTGAGTAGCTAGGATTACAGGCCTGAGCCACCAACACCCAGCTCATTGGGATTTTCAAAAAAAATGTTGTTTTGTGGCCATAACTTCAACCTCCATAAACAGTATGGTCTTGGCTTATTTTATACCCACTGAAAGAAATTGTGGTTAACTGCAAGCATGTTTTACTGGCAGAATTGTCCTTCTGACTCAGCATCAGAAATTATTCTGTCCTAATGAAATACCAAGTATGCCAGTGCAGGTGATCTTTAGCTTAGGAACCAGAGGATGTCATTTCTTCAGTGTGCTTTATTTAAGGAAATTACATGAATAATATGAAATAGTAGCAATAAGGGAGTTAATTCTAGACCGCAGATAGCTTTGTCATCAAGTAGTTTTTGAGATTAGAAATAGGATACAACCAAAGAAATTCTCTGTGCTGACCCTTTAACCTGCCCATTCACAGTTCAGTCTTTAGCTTCAAGGTTGTTGGGGCCTATGTTTAACCATCTCAAGTGACTTTCAGCCTGGCTTAATCACCAGTGCTCTAGAGGACATTCTCTTGTGTCAGTTAGCCTTTTGTCACTGTGGCAAAATACCTGAGGAAAACAGTATTAAAGAGGAAGGATTTATTTTGGCTCATGCTTTCAGGGATTTTAGTCCATGGTCATCTATCTCTTAGCTGTGGTGACACATAACATGGCAGAAGGGCATGGCAGAGCAAAGTTGCTCACCTTATGGCAGTCAGGAAGCAGAGAATTTCAAGAGGAAGAGGCCAGCATTACCGATGGCCCACACCTGTAATCCTAGCTACTCAGGAGGCAGAGATCAGTTTGAAGCCAGTCTCAGGCAAAAAGTTTATGAGACCCTATCTTGGGGGAAAAAAAAAATCACAATAAAAAGATTGGTGGGGCTGGCAGAGTGGCTAGCAAGTATGATTACCTGAATTCAAACCCCAGTGCTGCCAAAGGGGAAAAAAAAAGGAAGAGGCCAAGGACAGGATACACCCTTCAAGGACATGTGCCCATGACCTACTTCTTCCAACTAGGCCCTACCTCCTGTTTTCCACCACCTCCCATTAATGCCATCAAATTATGAACCACCAATGGATTGATTTGCTGTTTAGGTCAGAACCCTTATGACCCAATAACTTCCCAAAAACCCTACCTCTGAACATTACATTTGGGGGGAACTAAGCCTTCAACACATGAGTTTGGAAGGGACATTTCATGTTCAAACTATAACATTCATCCATTCTTTTCAGAATTTCATTTACATGGAAGCCAACTGACTCACTGGTTTTTGGGTGTTTTAGTATTGTCACATTAATATGACATTTCTGTTTTATTATCTATACATTTTTGAAGATTGTACTTTCTGTTGAATTTGGACTTAACTTGTTAATTCCTATCAAATTGGTTTGATGGGAGTGGCTGAGATTTCTTTTTTTGAAGAAATGAGGTATGGCTCAAGCAGTAGAACATCTGTGTAGCAAGTATAAAGCCGTGAATTCAAATATCAGTACTGCCAAAAAAAAAAAACCACAGGGTGTAGCTCAGAGCACTTGCCTACCATATGCAAAACCCTGAGTTCAATTCCTAAAACCACACATACAAAAAAAAAAAAAAAAAATTTAGCAATGCTATTTTAAACCTTATGGTCCAGTTGCAAATAGTATTTGCTAGCTATTTATTCTTAATAGTAGACATAATTACTTTATTTACAAATCACATGCACACACAATCAATACTTTCCAAGATTTTCCACCAAAGTATTCTGATGGCAAAAGGAGACCAGTTTATGTGTTAAAAGTACATATGGTGATGAGTCATGCTGGTGGTGTGAGGTATGGCCCATGGCCTTGGAGCAGCAGTCACACCTATTCTGTGCTATGTACAGAGTTATAGGGAAAAGCATAGATGATTATAGTAATAAGGGTTAACTAAAAGCAAATTTAAAAGAATTAATGTATATTAAATGTTTACCATGTATCAAATACTTTGTTAAACATTCTATGTGCTTCTGTTAATTTTTGTTTTTGTAAGTAGAGGAGAGAATTTATTGAGGCAGAAAAATAGCAAAGAGTAGAGCTCCCAAAGATGGGAGGGGTCCTAAGAGAGGGGGCCTTTATGTGCTTTTGACATTTACATTGATCATAAGTGGTATGTACAGTTAGGTTTATACATTCCAGTTATCATCTATGCTTTGCTAACAAAAATAATCAAAAGCTGGCTATTTATGTTACTTGGAATATGGGCTAAAGTGTTTCAGTTTTTAGCTGAATCATATGGATCGATTCTCAAGTTCAATACCAACCCAACCTCTTCAACTGAATAAAGATGCGCAATGCTGTGCCCTTGGTTGCTGTGTTAGACTTAGTGTGTAAACAATTACTGTCTCCTTCCTCCTGCTTTCTTAGGTGAAGACATTTGGTGAAGCTTGCCTGATGGTAAGGAAACCTGCCCTTGAGCTTCTGCATTACCTGAAAAACACCAATTTTGCTCATCCAGCTGTCCGCTATCTTCTCTGTATCCTTTCCTGCCTGCTTGGGCCCTCTTGAGTCAGTGCTTCTCCTCTGAAATGAGGTGAAAGAAGAACAGCAGTTGACAGTAAATGTGTCCCTTCTGGTGATGTTTTCTTTAACAAGTACTCTAGATGGAGAGAAAGGAACAGGAAAAACCCTCAGTCTTTGCCATGTCATTCATTTCTGTGCAAAACACGACTGGCTTATACTGCATATTCCAGATGGTAAGAACTTGCTGTCTTTGTGTGTCAGGGCTACTTACTGTGTGGCAGCATTGTGACTCTTTGTCTTGTTTTAAGAGACAGGGTCTCACTATGTTGCTTAGCCTAACCCTGAATTCCTGGGCTCAAGCAATCCTCTTGCCTCAGCCTTCTGAGTAATTGGGACTTCAGACAGTGAACCACTTTGTTTTTTATTTTGCAATCACTTAATAATTTTGAGTACCCATAGAGCCTTTTGTTGTCAACATTCCAGAGTTATTCAGCATAGGGTGTAGAAACTTAAACCCTCATACTTTCATAGATTTTTTTTTTTTGTGCTGGTGGTATGGGATTTGAACTCAGGGCCTCACACTTGCTAGGAAGGCACTCTGCCTCTTGAGCCACTCCCTCAGCCCCCGTATGTTCCTTTTGTGTTCAATGTATGTACATCCACATTTTCTGACTTAGCTTTAGAAACTGCCAGTAAGCACAAATTGTACTTTAAGAAATATCAGAGCTGGGCTCCTGTGACTCACACCTATAATCTAGCTGCTCAGGATTGCTGTTCGGAACTAACCCAGGCAGACAATTTGCAAAACCCTATCTTGAAAAAACTCCACCACACAAAAAGAGGCTTGATGGAGTGGCTCCACCCCACTACCTCAAAAAAAGAAAAAAACCTATATATATGTATATATATATCAGGAGCCTGGGCACCAGCGGCTCATGCCTGTAATCCTAGCTATTCAGGAGGCAGAGATCAGGAGGATCACAGTTTGAGGCCAGCCTAGGGAAATAGTTCACAAGACTCATCTCAAAAATATCCAACATAAAAAAGGGCTTGAGGGAGTGGCTCACACGGTAGAGCTCCTGCCTAGTAAGCATGAGGCCCTATATTTAAACCCAAGTACCGCCAAAAAAAACAAAGAGAAATATACACTGGGGACTGGAAGTGTAACTCAGTGATAGAGTACTTGCCTAGCATGTGTGAGGCCCAGAGTTTGATCTCCAGCAACACACATAAAAGGAAAACATATCTTTATGTATTTTTTTCTTTTAATATATGGGAAGCATTTCTTGTAACTTAAAGAGGCATAGAGTATTTTGTGTTAACTACAGTCAGCTCCTACCTAATTTGTTTTCTTGTGCATGTTTTAGCTCATCTTTGGGTGAAAAATTGCCGGGATCTTCTGCAGTCCACCCACAACAAACAGCGCTTTGATCAACCTGTAGAGGCTTCAACATGGCTGAAGAATTTTAAAACTACAAATGAACGCTTCCTGAGCCAAGTAATTAGACTCCTGGAAGTTTGATGTGGGGTTGCTTTTATATAAAGTCTCCTAACTATGGAGAATTGGTATTGTAGATTGGAATAAGTATGCCATCTTGTGGTTTTTTTCCATACATTTCGCTCACAGTAGGCTCACAATTTAACTCGTTTATCCATGTGAAATAAACAGACACCAGTAAGCCCTTCCCATTTAGTGGGTAGCAAAGCAAAATCCAGATTGATTCACTAACATTTTCAAGATACAGCCTTAAAACTTCCATAGCATTTGGGACAAGATTTCCAACTATAAGATTTTCTCCAGAGAAGATCTTTTGGGGGTGGGGGCAGGAGGAGAAATGGCCCAAACAATGTATGCACATACGAATAAGTGAATAAAGAAAAAAAAAGATCTTTTGGGTAACCAAAAAGTATTAGTAAAATTCTTTTGTCCAGTTTCCTAGATATGATTTCTAGACTAGGGCTAACAGACTCATGTAGGAGCTTATTAAAAAGCAGGTGCCAGGTTAGTGGTAGAGCACCTGACTAGCAAGTGCAAGGCCCAGTACCATCCAAAAAAAAAGAATTGCAGATGCCAAGCCAGGCCCTGGTGGCTTAAGCCTATAATCCTAGCTGTTTGGAAGATAGATCAGAAGGATTAAGGTTTGAGGCCAGCTTGAACAAATAAACTCCATCTCCAAAATAACCAGAGCAAAATGGACTGGAAGTGTGGCTCAAGTGGTAGAGTGCCTGGTTTGCAAGTATGAAGCACTGAGTTCAAACCCCAGTTCCATAAAAAAAATAAAATAAAATAAAAGGCACTCAGAGCACTTGCCTACTATACATAAGGCTCTGGGTTTGATCCTTAGTACTGCCAAAAAACTGAAATAAAATAATAAACAGATGCCAGAATCTTACTTGAACCTTTTTAGATAGAATCCTGCACATAATCCACATATATAAAAGTTTTAAAGCTCTAAGCAAGCGCAAGCCAGACACATTGACTCATACCTTTAATCCTAGCTACTCAGGAGGCAAGAGATTTGGGAGGATCACAGTTCCAGGCAAAAAGTTAGTGAGACCCCCATCTCAACCAATAAAAATTAGGTGTGGTATTATGTGCCTGTCATCCCAGCTGCATGGGAAGTTTAAATAGGAGGATCACAGTCCAAGCCAGCCTAGGCATAAAAAAACTCGAGACCCTATTCAGAAAATACCTAAAGCAAAAAGGGTTGGGTGTAACTCAAGCAGTAAAGCACCTACTTAGCACAAGGCCCTGATTTCAAACTCCAGTACTGCCAAAAAATAAAAAATCTCCAAGCAGAAATGGGTTAGAAAGTATGTGCTTCTATATGGAAATCTCTTATAGGACTTTGGAACAATTAGAACTGACTTCTGTTAACCTTAACCCCTACCTTCTCAGCTAGGGATGGGTTCAGCCTTAGGCAAAGTAGCCTTGCTTTATTTTTATTTGCTTATTTTTAGATAAAAGTTCAAGAGACATATATCTGGAATAAGAGAGAAAGCACTGAGAAAGGCAGTCCTCTCAGCGAAGTTGTTGAACAGGTACAAGAAGACATAAAATGTGTACCATGTCATAACCAGAAAGGGCTTCTTATAATACTCTAAGCCACCATCTTTCCCAACAGGGTATAACACGGGTGAGGAATGCCACAGATGCGGTTGGGATTGTGCTGAAGGAACTAAAGAGGCAGAGTTCTTCAGGAATGTTTCATCTCCTGGTTGCAGTGGATGGAATCAATGCTCTCTGGGGAAGGACCACACTGAAAAGAGAAGACAAAAGTCCTGTAGGGAGACTAGCTTTTCTCTATTCTGGTTTCTCTTGATTTCTGCTTCACTCATGTACAAAGTCTGAGACTTAGTCATGTAGACCATACAATATGTTTTCTTACCCTGGGTGTATTTGAATTAAGATAACATAGTGAAGGGCTACCTATATCTCTGCATTAGAGCACTTGCCTAGTTTGCAGAAGACCCCAGGCTCAGTCCCCAGCATTTAAAAAAAAAAAAGGCTCATGCCTATAATCCTATCTATTTGGGAGGCTGAGATCAGGAAGATTGTAATTGGAGGCCAGCCTAGGCAAATAGTTCATGAGACTCCATCTCCAAAATAACCAAAGCAAAATGGTCTGGAGGTATGGCTCAAGCAGTAGAGCATCTGCTTTATAAGCACAAAGCCCTGAGTGCAAACCCCAGACCCCAAAAAAAAAAAAAAAAAAGCATGAGAAGGAAGGAAAAGTGATACCAAAGGCTCCACAGTGTACTGGAAAGTAAGGGAGTATTTTAGAAGGAACAAGACAGCAGAAGCTCTGCTTAATTTTTTCTGTCTTTCTGTTGTCTTTTGAAAGTGAGGCTATGTGGTCTAAGTAGAGATCAGAAGCATCAAGGAAAGGGGGTGTGTTTGGGTCCATAGGCAGAAGGTATTTCTTTTTTTTTTTTTTTCCCTGTGCTGTGACTCAAACTCCAGTCCTTTCACACACTAGGAAAGTGCTCACCACTGAGCAAATCCCAGCCCTTGGCTATTTTGAGACATCCCTTAGGCTACTATGTAGCCCAAGCTGGCCTCAAACTTGGGATCCTCCTGCCTTCATCTCCTGAATGCTGGATTACAGGTGTGCACCACTACACCCAGCTGTATTTTGTCTTTTGGTGATTGTTTTTAATTTCCAGAAGCATGGCAGTTCTTGGGCCAGTGGCTACATAGCTTATCCCAGAGGGTACCAGGATTATGTAGTAGCTGAGGGTTTTCTTTTTCCTAATTGTCAGTTCAATTGTGTCAGAGGAATGTCCAGGAGAGCAAGCAATGATCTCTTCTCTCTGTTGATCACAACATGCAGATTGCACCAGAGGAGCTAGCACTCATTCACAACCTGAGAAAGATGGTGAGGAATGACTGGGTAAGTGCTTGTGATATTTACACATTTCAAAGAGAGATTCTACCACTTCATTGCTAATAGTTCCAGGTCTCAATTTTATGACCAGAATGTTCTTTTATTTAATTACCATAACTCTGTCAAGTTAGGAGTAAGGTCTGAATTAAAATGTTTATATTTGGATTCTGGTCTTTCCACTTGACTGGAGTAAACTTATTCAGAACCATTTTACCTAAATACTGGTCTGATTTTGTTTTGTTTTCAATTGTTCAAAGTGTTTTGTATCATTTTTGGAAAAACTTGAAATCAAAAAATGTATGATGATATATTTAAAATTATTAATCAGTTTATTGTCAGAATCAGTTCTAGAGCCAATAACCAAATATAAGTTAGCATATAACACTACAGCAAAAAAAAAAAAATTTACAGATGATTATATGGTACTTTTCCATCTTTTTCAACTTTTTCTAATTCAGCCTCATTTCCTTTCTTTCAGCATGGAGGTGCCATTGTGTTGACTTTGAGCCAGACTGGGTCACTTTTTAAGCCTAGGAAAGCCTATCTGCCTCATGAGCTGCTGGGAAAGGTCAGGTCACGGGAAAACTGCCTTCCCCTGGATAGTCATGCTGTCAAAAGAGATGTCTCTTTTTAATCTTAAAATTTCATCATAATTTCAGACTTAGAAAAAAATCATATTTTTTTTTTTTATTACTCATATGTGCATACAAGGCTTGGGTCATTTCTCCCCCCTGCCCCCACCCCCTCCCTTACCACCCACTTCGCCCCTCCCTCTCCCCCCCACCCCCTCAATACCCAGCAGAAACTATTTTGCCCTTATTTCTAATTTTGTTGTAGAGAGAGTATAAGCAATAATAGGAAGGAACAAGAGTTTTTGCTGGTTGAGATAAGGATAGCTATATAGGGCATTGACTCACATTGATTTCCTGTGCGAAAAATCATATTCTTACATGCCCTTCAGTCAGATTCCTAAAGTTTTAACTTTATCCTATTTGCTTTAACTTCCACTTTCTCTCCACATGGTTTTTTCTAAAATTACAGTACAGTAACTCACGGACACAAAGTTCTATCTATCTACTATCTCTTCCAAAAAAACCAACCATATTCTAACATATAACCACAGGACAATTACCAGATCAGAAAATCAACATTGGTATGATAACTTTCATTGAATCCCTAAGACTTGCTCTGACTTGCCAATTATCACAGTATCCTGATAAAGAAAAAAGAAAACAGCCGGGCTCCGGTGGCTCACGCCTATAATCCTAGCTACTCGGGAGCTAGAGATCGGGAAGATCATGGTTCAAAGCCAGCCTGGGCAAATAATTTACAAGACTATCTTGAAAACACCCAGCACATAAAAAGGCTGGCTGAGTGACTCCAGTGGTTGAGAGCCTGCCTAGCAAGCATGAGGCCCTAAGTTCAAACCCCAATACCACACACAAAAAAGAAAAAACAATGGCTGGGAATGCAGCTCAGTGGCAGAGTGAGTGGCAGAGCACTTGCCTAAAATCTGCAAGGCTCTGGGTTTGATTCCCAGCACCACACAAAAAAGTATCACTTGACTCTCTATAAGTAGATACTTTCTCTTCCCCTTTATGTATTTATTTATTTGCTACAGAGTGGATTTTTTTCCCCCAGTACCCAGGGCCTTGTATGTGCTAGGCATGCGCTATACACACTGAGTTGTATCCCACTCCTGTCCCTATCATTTGTCCAACACTTCTTTATTTTCTGGCACAAGAATACATCCTAGACCTGGAATCAGCCATTTCTCTAAGGAAACTGGATTTGCTTTAAAGGAGTTTGTTATTTAGAAATTAAGACCTGAACTGTAGGTGTACTCATTGCTTCTGAAATACCACTTCTAGGTACTCTTAGCACAACTAGTAAATAGATGGTATGGTATTCATGTACACATATGTTCATTCATGTACACATATGTTCATTCATGTGCTTTTTCCATGTTTCTCTAACTAATAAGCTGTGAGTTCCCTACTACTGCTCGCCAGTTCCGTGCCCATATCACAACATTCATTATACCCTGTCTTTCCATGTTTGAGTCCCCAGCTCAGTCCTAGAGCATGGTTACAAATAGTTGCAGATTTACTAACCTTCAAACTCTGTGAAAAAGAAGCTAACTAAGGTTCCATATTTGTTTAGTTTTTATCTTTGTCCAAAGGATCTAGAGTCTAGGTACTCTGTCCAGAAGTTACTTGGCCTTAGTTTCCGTTCCCTGACTTCACTGTTAAATTTGGGCTTGGTTTTCTTGAGGTTTGTTTTTTGTTTGTTTGTTTGTTTGTTTGGTGGTACTGGGGCTTGAACTCAGGGCCTACACCTTGAGCCACTCCTTCAGCCCTTTTTTTGTGATGGATGTTTTCAAGATAGGGTCTCAAACTATTTGCCCAGGGTGGCTTTGAACCATGATCCTCCTGATCTCTGCCTACTGAGTAGCTAGAATTACAGGCATGAGCCACTGGCACCTGGCAGTTCTTTGAGTTTTGGAGACAGGGTCTCACTATGTAGCCCAGGCTGACTTCAAACTCCTGATGCTTCCTGCTTCAACCTTCTGAGTGCTAGAATTAGAGATGTGTGCTACCTTGCCCAGCTCTGAAATGTAGTTTGGTAGACGTATTGTTTCTGTTCATGTTCCACTTAGCGTCCTTTCCCCCATTATTATTAATTTTATATTTTTATTTTTGAGTATATGAAACATTAAGTTGGTCCTTAAAGTCAGACATGGTAAGAAAAAAATAGTATACCAGATGTGATTTCTTCCCAGCCGTTTTTTTTATTTTTCTGAAATGGTTTTGTTAGGTAGCGCAGGCTGGCCTTGAGCTCTCGATCCTCTTCCCTCAATCTCACAAGTGCTAGGATTCTAGGCATGTCCCACCACACCCATTTGTCTTCCCTTACCTCTTTTTTAAATATAACATTTATGACCACATATGCAACAATAGTTAGCCAGTATAAGGCAGGCTAACCCAAGAGTGAAATAGAAGAAAGACAAAGGCCCTGTCCTCAAAGTGCTTAAGTAGAATTTCTCTCTCTGCTGATTTGTCACTTAAGTAATACTGTATCTTAATCTTTTTTTCTTCTTTAGGAAGGATTTGATGCCCTGGATCCCTTTCTTCCCATCCTGGTTTCTAATTATAACCCAAAGGAATTTGAAAGTTCTATTCAGTATTACTTAGAGAACAGTTGGCTTCAGCATGAGAAAGGTTAGTTTAATTTTTCCTGTCAGGGCTTTGTACTCACAGTCCCATGGAATCAGAGTGTTAGTTACTTTTGGATCTCTGTGACCAAATACCTGAAAAAAACAACTTAAAGCAGGAAAGATTTATTTTGGCTCCCAGTTTTAGAGAGTTCAGTCCATGGTCACTTGGCTTTATGTCCTTATATTAAGGTAGTATATCATGGCAGCAGGAGGCTGTTTACCTCACAGCAGACAGGAAACAGAGAGGGGCCCTGGATAAGATATAGCCCCCAAGGACATGCCCCTGGTGACCTACTCCCTCTAGTTAAGTCCCACCTCCTAAAGGTTCCAGAACATCCCAAAATAGTGCCACTAGCCAAGGACCAATACTCAACACGTGAGCCTGTTTTCTTTTCCCTATAATCTTGACATCTTTCTGGCTGATAAGATGGTGCAAAAAGGCAATTGAGAAGTGGCACAGTTTAATTTACAAAAGGAATTATGTCTCTTCCTAAATTCTTACCTTGTCCACAATAAAATGTTCATGTAAAGAAGGAAGCAAAGCCAAGTACAGCCAATGAACACTTTCCAGATGTCTGGGTTGCTACCACCCTCTTTGTCGCATTTATTCATTCAGTTGAGACACTGGTGCAGAGACGACCACAGAACAATTCATACGGTGTGAGAGGTCACTATACCCCAAACCAAATCTTTGCCATGCCTGTCCGAGATATGTGCAGACATTGTGGACTCCTAATACCAGGTTTGACCCACTTGAGCTGAAAGCATTCTAGTATCCATTCATGCTTGCCTCTGCATATGCAAGGGGATATAGAACAAAAATGAAAGGTGATAAAACCAGTTAATAGAAACTGGAATATGTTTTTAGAGAGGAAACAATAAAAATAGCTGCAGCCTGGTAGGTCAGGAAGTAGAAAGAAGTAAGACCTGGGAGATTACATGGAAACATAGTGTGGATAAGGTTGCCCCAGACTTTGAGTTCCCTGGAGACAGTGCAACAGGAAGAAATTGCCACTTGTCCCCATTTGACTGCATTTCAGCTCCTACGGAAGACGGAAAGAAGGAGCTGCTGTTCCTGAGTAACGCCAACCCTGGGCAGCTGGAGAGGCTCTGCGCCTACCTCTAAGCCTGGCCCCATGTGTGGAAGACAATGGATATTTCCTTCAGCTTAACTCAGTCCTGGGGGGAAGCCACAAGTTCCAGGAAGAGCAGCCAGGCTTCTGTACTTGCAGGATGAGGCAGGTCTGCAGTTGGCTCTGGTCTTCACTAAAGGGGTTTCCTGTGAAATGACTGTGAGCTCATGGCAAGAGGATGTCCTCTTGTTTCTAAAACTAATACCAGTTTTTGGGTGTGGTTTTCACATTTAAGATAATCATGAATCTTTTCCTTGAACAATAAAATTAGTTATCTTTCTTAAAGTGTTGGGTTGTATTTCTAATAAGAAAAGAATTCCTCTGGCATTCTACTTATTGGGGAAATCTGAAGAAACTTGATTCTACAGAAATTTCCAGTAGTTCTACCTTCTTCAAACTTAAATCACTTCAGAAGATCAAGACTCATACCCTAGCCAGACACCAGTGGCTTATGGCTTTAATCCTAGCTATTTTGGAGGCTAAGATCAGGAGGATCACACTTTGAGGCCAGCCTGGGCAAATGGTTCACGAGACCCCCCCCCACCTCCAAAATAAACAGAGCAAAAATGGACTAGAGGTGTGGCCCAAGCAGTAGAGTGACCTGCTTTGCAAGACTCTCAAATAGCTAGAATTACAGCCACCAGTGCCTGCCTATCAGTTGATTTTCCAACAGAGCTATAAGTACAATTCAACAGAGAAAAATATAACCTGCAAAAATAGTGTTGGAATAATTGAATGTGTACATGCAAAAAGATGAGTTTTGACCTCATCAGACACAAAAACTTAATGCAAATGGATCATGGTCTTAAATTTAAGTGACCTATGAAACAAACACTGCAGATAAAATACAGACCAGGTGAAGTGCCTGTAATCCCAGCTACTCAGAAGACTGAGGTGGAAGAGGAGTCTCTTGAGCCTAGGAGTTTGAGACAGGCTTAGCAACATAGTAAGACTCTGTCTCTTAATAAATAATATCTTCATGATCTTGAATTAAGCAAATATTTCTTAGCCATGACTTCAAAGATAACATTAAAAGATTTGATTTTAAAAGGGGAGGGCGGGATTACCAAGGGAGGGAGCAAACAAAAATGGGGGACAGCTGAGGGTATTACTCAGTGGTAGAGTGCTTGCCTAGCATGCTCAAGACCACAAACACACAAGAAAGATCTAGAAACAATTTCATCAAGTTAAAAACTTGTTTTTCAAAAGACATTAAGAAAATGAAAAGAGCCAGACACAGATGGCTCACACCTATAATCCTAGTTAATTGAGAGGATGAGATCAGGAGGAACACGGTTTGAGGCCAACCTGGGGAAATTGTTCTCAACACCCCCAGTCTCCAAAATAACCAGAGTAAAATGGACTGGAGGTGTGGCTCAAGCAGTAGAGTGGCCTGCTTTGCACGCTCAAAGCCCAGAGTTTAAACTCCAATCCCACCAAAAAGGGTGGTGGACGTGGTGCACATCTATAATCCCAGCTACTTGGACGGTGGAAATTGGAGGATTGAAGTTCAAGGCCAGCCTGCACAAAAAGTTAGCAAAACCTCTTGTTAAGAAACAAGCTGGGCATAATGCTCGGGAGGCCTAGGTAGGAGGAATACAGATTGAGGCCGTCCATGGGCAAAAACGCAAAACCCTTTCCATAAAACAAAGCAAGAAAAGTCTGGGGCCATGGTTCAAGTGCCTGCCTTGTGCCTGCCTAGCAGCACAAACTCCTGAATTCAAAGCCCACAGAAAATGAAAACCAGTAAAGGAAGATGAAAATGACAAGCCCTAGCTGGGAGAACACACTTGGATCTTAAATGACTTGTATCCAGAGTATATGAAGCACTGTGGCTCATTAGTAAGATAAAAGTGGGTAATGACTTAAATTCAAAAGTGAGTAATAATGTTAATGGACACTTTTCAAAACGATACTTAAAATATATAATAAGCACATGAAAGAATGTACAATGTCAGGAAAATGCACTCAACACCATTATAAGGTTAACGTATAACCACAAGGAAGGCGATAAGTCAGTTTATCCCATTATTGATGTTTGATCATGTTAATTTTGATGTCCATTAGTTTTCTCCATTATAAATTTATCATTTCCCCAATGTAATTAACAATCTGTGGAGTATCATTTTGAAATTCTCGTTTCCCAAAAAACAAAATCACTTTTTTTTTTTTTTTTGGTGGTACTGGAGTTTGAGCTCAGGGCCTCACGCTTATTAGGCAGGTGCTTTACCACTTGAAGAACTTAAGCAGCTAAAACTGGCAAAGAATTTTAGAAAACATCTCAGTGTTATTTACCAATTTCAAACAGTTCAAACATACCCACCCATGTGATCCCCAACAATTAACACTCCTAGAAATATGCAAACAGGTACAAGAATACTCATTATAGCACCTAATGACAAAACAGTGGACACAATCTCAATTTCTATTATCAGCAGAATATGTCTTTTCAGAATAAACGATTTGTGTCATAGTCATATAATGTACTATTCTGAAGCAATGAAAAAGAACTATAGGTGCATGCAAAAGTAGGAATGAATTTAACAAATGATATGCATATCCCGATTCATGTGCAGAACGTAACAGAAAGATGGTAGTTACAGGTGATAGGGCAATCCACTGGGTCAGGAAAGCTGTGAGTTTTCAAGGGTAAAAAGGAGCGCGTGGGAGGATTTCCCAGAGCAGCTACTTTCCTGGCAAGGTTTTATATTTGGGGAGTTAACTATAGCTAGTACAGAGGAAAGAGCAAGAGTGCGAACCATCCAAGATCTGCCACAAGGGGCGCACTTGAAGCGCGCCTAACACTGCTCCAGCGTGGCGTCGGCACCTACAACTTCCGGCGTGGCCAGTAGGTGCCGGCCACGACCTGGAAGTAGTAATAGTTTGCGCCAAGGGAAGGGGGAAGAGAATGATGCGCAGGGTCGCCTGAGCCTAACAAGTCGTTTGTCCAATGGGAAAGGACGTGTTTGTGGACCAATAGGGCTCAGACGGTTAGGCCCCGCCCACAAGCCTGCCAAGCCAATCGGCTAGGTGCAGCGAGTGGCCCAGCCCTGGCTGTGCGTCAGAGAGTTAAGGCGCGGTATGGCGGGCGGGGCCCGAGAGGTGCTCACGCTGCAGTTGGGACATTTTGCGGGTTTCGTGGGAGCACACTGGTGGAACCAGCAGGTGAGGTCTCCTGGCGGCTGCCCGGCGGAATCCTTCGGAATCTACAGCGTTGATCTCTTTTCTGCCCCCTTGCTACCTCTGAGTTCAGTCTCTGTGCGTTCCCCAGGATGCTGCGCTGCATCAAACGACCGATGCCAAGGAGTCCCCAGGAGAGTTGTGCCCCGACGTCCTGTACCGGACGGGACGGACGCTGCATGGCCAGGAAACCTACACGCCGCGACTCATCCTCGTGGATCTGAAGGGTGAGACGGTGGCAGGGGTCAGCCAGTCTCACTTTTTCCCCTTTTGGCGTGCGGGGTCTCTAACATCCGTTCACTTCAAGATCCACTAACCATATTGGAATAAAAGGACCAGAGATGAGGCGCTAACCAGCAGAGGAACGTAGCAAGGCAAAACTTTATTCTGATTAACAGCTGTCTCTGGAACAGGTGTTCCAGATAAACTGCCGCACTGCTGTTAAGACCAGTGGGTGCGGCTTTTGCCCCAGGTCCTATAGCTAATTACCTAAGCCAAGGATGGAAGGATGGAATCTAGATTCTTATAGACCAGCGCCTCCTCCCACCCCAAGGAAGCCTGGAAGAGTCAAGTGTAAGGGGCCAAACAAGGAATGGTGACAGCAGGCAGTCGATCAGAAGATTAGCCCAAAGGACTGAGATGATGCCCTAGGCTTTGACCAAGCATTGCCTATTATCTCTATACAGGCAGTCTGAGCTCCCTAAAAGAAGAAGGTGGACTCTACAGAGACAAACAGCTAGATGCTGCAATAGCATGGTGTGTATTTGTTGGGGGGGGGGGGTGGGATGTATGTCCAAAGAAAGCTGGAGATCTCATGATAGAAACAATTTCTCTTTGATCGATCTATTTTAGGCAGGGGAAGCTCACCACACACAGAGAGGAAGTCCCTCCCAAGAACCCTTATCTCCAGGACCTTCTGAGTGCAGAGGTGAGAGAGACTCTGCCCTAACCTTTTAATCCTGTGCTACAACCACTGGGGCAGAGAAAAAGAGGATTTTAATCACCTTAAATGCCTTAAAGTGCTATTTTGGGGAAAAGCACTTTTTTTTCCTAGACTATGATGACTTAAACAGAAAGGAGGCTGTGAAAAGCAACTTGAAAACGGGAGAAAAATCAACTTTTGCCCCTAAACTGCCCGGGCCTAAATGTAGATTTTTGTTTTCCCACCCTTCTCAGGGAGTGCTGAGTAGTGATGGTGTCTGGAGGGTCAAACCCATCCCTAATGGCAAAGGTGAGACTTGTCCAGATACAGGAAACCTGCACAATATGGATGGGGACCTGGGCAAAGCAGGAACATGGAGAATGGTAAATCTCTTCTGCTTTATTTTCAGGTTCCCTTCCAGTCAGCCCTGCTTTGACTCCAAAATCACTTATCCCCACAGAGGGTGGCATCAGAGTCTGGTCAGACTTCCTCAGAGTCCATCTCCATCCCCGGAGCATTTGCATGATTCAGAAGTACAACCATGAGGGGTACCGGAGCCCCAGAGGCTGGAAGGCAAAAAGCTCTTGAGTCCCCACCAACAGGCCAACGTGTTGGATAAGGCTTGAGCCCAACTTCCTTGCCCTTCTCCAAAATATGAAAACTTAAAAAAAAAATGACCAAAAAATTGGGGCAGGGCTGTTTTTTATTCTCATTTATTTGTGGCAGGGAAGCAGGTCGGCTGGAAGCTTTTGGCCAAGGGGAGAGTGTCCTGAAGGAACCCAGGTTCCTGGAAGAACTCGAGGACAGGCTGCACTTCTATGTGGAGGAATGTGACTACTTGCAGGTAGCTAGGTGGCTAGGTGGACACTGGGGCAGAAACAGCTCATCCTACTTTCTATTCTCTTCCTTTTTCTTTCTCCAGGGCTTTCAGATCCTGTGTGACCTGCATGATGGTTTCTCTGGGGTAGGCGTTAAAGCAGCTGAGTTGCTACATGACGAGTATTCAGGGCGGGGGATAATAACCTGGGGCCTTCTCCCTGGTCCCTACAATCTTGGGGTGAGTGGAACTTTGGGAAAAAGTCAGTTGAGAGGGATAAATGAAAGAATCCCACTGAGAAAGCTGCTTTATGCCAACTCTTTTCTTTCACCAGGAGCCCCAGAAAAACATCTATCGTCTGTTAAACACAGCATTTGGCCTGGTGCACCTGACTGTTCACAGCTCTTTCGTCTGCCCCTTATCTTTGGGCGGGAGCATGGGCCTGCGACCCAAGCCACCAGTCAACTTCCCTGACCTGCGTTATGACGTAAGGCTCAATGCTTCTTAGACTACAGCCAACAATAGGGCACCTCCCCAGACTCAAGTCAGCCTCCGTTTGCAATGGTTCTGTTCTTGAAGCCTTAGCTTGAATCCAGCCTGTGGCCTCTTAGAACACCCTGCTCTATGCTTGTCCAGCTGTGGGTCAAACACACCCTTGCTTTATCCCCTGGACCTCTATGCCATTCCTGTTCTCCCTCCACACATTCTTTGGCAGGCCAAAAGACTAAGTGCTCCTCTTGTGTCCACTTTACAGGCCACTCTGCCCTTCCACTGCAGTGCCATCCTGGCTACGGCCCTGGACACAGTTACAGTTCCTTATCGCCTGCATTCCTCTCCAGTTTCCATGGTTCATCTGGCTGATATGCTGAGCTTTTCTGGGAAAAAGGTATGAAGCTTTGTGAGGAGTTGGGTCAATACTAAGAAAAAGCTCTGTAACCTGATCTCCTCCTGATCTTTAGGTGGTGACAGCAGAAGCAATCATCCCCTTCCCCTTGGTTCCAGGCCAGTCCCTTCCTGACACCCTGATGCAGCTTGGAGGAGCCACCCCTTGGACTCCACTGTCGGCATGTGGGGACCGCTCTGGAACACGCTGCTTTGCCCAGTCAGTGGTGCTGAGGGGCATAAACACAGCAAGCCACATCAGGTGAAAATTCTTGGCCTTCAGGGCCCTTGTTAGATTTTTGTTTTGTCCTTTTCTCCCTAATGTCTGGGCATTGTAACGCTATTGCTTCCTCCCGCCAACATCATCCCTCCCCTCCCTTTAAAAAAAGGCTCTGAGTGTCTGACTTTGTTGATGACCTGAGAACATAAGAATTCTTAGCTCTTAGTCATGCTGCCACAGATTAAAAGTGGTTTTGGCTTTGTTCTGACAGTCAGGTCACCCCAGGGACATCTCTTCCTTCTACTCTCCATGCATGTGCCTCTGGGGAAGAAGTCTTAGCCCGGTATTTGCAGCAGCAGGAGCCTGGAGCTGTGAGGTCAGTGTGATACTTCTGCCCTTGCTCCCAGCCCTCCAGGCCCCTCTGGCTTCCTGCTCACTTAACTGCCGCTTTCTGCCCCAACAGTTCATCCCATCTGCTGCTGACTCCCTGCATGGTGGCTCCTCCTTACCCCCACCTATTCTCTGGAAGCTTCAGCCAGCAGGGTGTGGTTCTGGATGGTACCTCTAAAGGCACAGGTAGGTACAAGGTGAGAAAAACTACGATTTCAAACATAGAAAGTCTGCTCTCTCTCCCTTCCTAGATTAAAATTACTAAAAAAAAAAAAAAAAATTCACAGTTAAACATTCCTTTATTCACCCTACGGCTCCTGAGAAGTGTCCTTCCTCTGGAGTACTGGTACACTAAGGGACAGGCACCCTGACTCCCCTAGCAGTATGAGAGTCCCTGGGCAGAATGAAATCCACTCAGTCTCACTTTTCTCTCCGTCTGCAGCAGTGCAGAGCATCCCGGTATTTGGGGCCTTACGCTCTTCTTCATCTCTGCACCGGACCCTGGAAGGCTTGGCAGAAGAGCTCACCAAACTCGACCTGCGGCGCTGGGCCAGTTTCATGGATGCTGGAGTAGAACAGGATGACATGGAGGAGCTGCTGCAGGAGCTACACAGCCTGGCCCACTGCTACCGGGAGGGTCACAGCCTCCCAGACTAAAGGAGTGGGAGAAGAGCTACTTGGCAATAAAAGCTGCTGGGTTAGGGAGCCCAGTGTCTTTGGGCAGAGGAGCTCAGTGTCTTGAACTGGCTACTTGACATGAGCATTTATTACATTTAGAAACACTGTGAGTAGATCACAGAACAATAAATATGTACTATCAGACAAAAAAGAGTAGAGAAAGGAGCCCCTCTCCCTCAATGCTATTTACAGAGTGGATTTGTAGGGTCTTCATCAAAGACCCTGAAAGAGACATGGGATGCGGAGCCCCGGGGCTCAGGTGCAGACTCATTTTGTCCTTGTCCTCAGCTCTGCTCTCCAGCTCTGTGTGCTCAAGGACTGCACAAATGAAGTACAGCCACCCTTCTCCCCCAGCACAGGGTGCCTGTCAGGTTGGTCCTGTGAAAATGACACGCACACCTTCCCGGAGTCTCACTCATCTGGCTCCTCCTCAGACAGCAGGTCCCCGTGGTCAGACAGCTGGTCTGTATTGCTGGTGCTGGTTGCATCATCCTCATCCTCAGAGCTGGCCTCACAGGCCGTGTGGAAGAGCTGCATGAGTTCTCGAAAGCGGTGAGAAACCTAGCAGGAGAGAAGGGCTATACGCATTCCAAATTAGGTGCACTAAGCATTGGGGCCCAATTTGAAAATCTTTTATTTATTCCACAGAGTAAGGTGATGAGAACTGTGAACTCCTTTGTCTATTTCTTAATTAGCCACCCTTTCTCTTTCTGCCAGGTGCCTTGTTCCTCTAGGGCTTGAAGCTCTGGCAAGGCGGCTCCCCCTCACACCCTCCCTCCCTCCCCACTTACCTCAGCAGGGGTCTTATTTCCCAGCTGTTGAGAGATGATACTAAAGGTCTGTGGCTGTGCTCCTTGCTCCTGGCACATGGTGAGAATCACTCTGTCGGCTTCCCTGTAACCCACAAATCATGATTAATCCTAAGGAGCCACATGGATGTGTTCTGTGCTCTTACTAAACACATCATCCATACTTACGTACCTTGTCCAGAGGACAACCTTCTCCCCAGTGGAGCTGACCTTGCTGTTGTTGGCACACACTGTAGCTTCTGTGGCCTTTGGCTGTTGTTCCCCTTGCTGCTCTGAGCCCTTGCCTTGAACACTATCTTTAGCCAGATCCCCTTTGGGGGCCTTGAGGGAAGTCTCTGAGGTATGAATTCCTGATGAAGATTCACGGACAGGGGACATCTTGTCTGCTGTCTTTGCCCCAACTCTACATGAGGGCAACCAGCTCTCGTGAGTATCTGGTTTCCCAGACACATGTCTTTTCCCTACATCTCTGGTCCTTGAGGAAATAGGACTCAGGAAGGAAGCAGGGGCCTCAACAGTACTCGGCAGCTTTTCAGTTTCTGATGCATCCAAGACCAGCATAGGAGCCTCTGAGTCACCCACTGCCTTTTGGCACTCTCCCTCTTTATGAAGTTTGAGAGATGCATTGGGGCAGGAGAGAACCTCAGGCCCATCCTGGTTTCTCCTAACAGTGGAGAGTACAGGTCCAGTTTGGGGAGGAAGCTGAGCAGTCTCTGGTGAGCAAGGTGGTGGGCCCTCCAGAAGCTGTTCTGTAAGAGTCACTTCTTGAGGGTACAGCAAAGTGCTCCCCACTGTCAATCCTGCTTAGAAGGAAAATAAGGATCAGGGTATAGAAAGGATTTGATATGCCAAAGGAATGAAAACTACCGGAATACCTGAGCTAGTGGAACAAAGTTCCCATTTGAAAAAGAGTAATGGAGGTGATGACTAAGTCACTCACACAAAGAAAGTCCTAGTGCCAAAGTTGAGGACAGCTGGGTTATAAGGACTTAGAAAGGATTTAGAGACAAGTGGAAGGGCTTCAGGAATGGGAACGGGGAAGAGAATGTTGAATTGTGTGAACTTTACAGCACACTCAATTCTGCAAGGGGGTGAAGCCATAGGAGAGAAAATATAGGCGAACAGAAAAAGGGTTTCTATTGGTCTATCAGTGAGAGAAGAGCTATGCCCATCACTGGAAAGGTTGTTCTTTATCCAGGCTCACTGAAGTTCCTATTGAAGTACAGAAGAATGAGGCTAAGCACTAAAGGGAGAAAGGCTGGGCTGGGCTGGGCTGGGCTGTGCTGGCTTGGCAGTCAGATCACTCACCTGGAATGGGCATCTCTCCCTTTCTGGTAGTCCTGCTAGTCTTGCTCTGAGTTGCCTCAGCGTTCTCCCGCTCCTCCAGAGCTTCCTCTTCCACCACATCCTTGCCTGGCCCTGCTTCCTTAGCACCAGGCATAGGACTGGCTGCTCGGTGGGGGCTGCTGCCCACCACCTCATGGGACTCCTTGCTCTTGTAGGATCTGCTGTCACAGACCTGCCGGGGTGGCCTTTTGAGTCATGGGTTTCCTGGCCTCCCTGCTATGTCTCAAGAGCCCACCAAAGGAAGAAGGCCACCTTGCGGCTCGGCAGTCAACCAACATGCCGGTAGGCTTCAGGACTTTAAGTGGCCCAGAGTAGAGTACCAGATTCTGCCATTTCTCTGAGGACTGCATTTTGTGCCATCAACCAAGTCCACTCAAAAGAACCAGAATTGTTTTCCTGACATAAGTTCATTGCACTAAAAAAAAATCTAAGAGAGAAATAATTCAAACGTGACTCTTTTTTTCTTCATGGTACTGGGGTTTCAACCCAGGGCTTTGCCCTTGCAAAGCAGGCACTCTACCACTTGAGCCATACCTCCAGTCCATTTTGCTGTGGTTATTTTGGAGCTCGGAATGACCACAAACAGGGGTGGGGGTGGGGGGCTCCTAAGTAGCTAGGATTACAGATATGAGCAACCAGCACATGGTTCAAATGTAATTTTTTTTTACATATGTAATTCCAAAAAACTTTACTCAAAGGATTCTCATTAAAAGAAAAACCTAAACTGGGTACAGTGGCACATGCACTAGGGAGGCTGACACAGAAGGATCACAAGTTCGAAGCCAGCCTCAGCTGGCCAAAAAAAAGCAAACTTCCCCTTACATTTCTAAAAGATTCTATTTATTTTGCAGATGTACATGCATGTATACTGTATGCTATTTAAATGTGTATAACCTTTTTAGGAATTTAGAGAAGTACAAATCTGTGGTAGCAAACCATACCTGAAGCAGTATGGCCTGGGGTTGGTCAGACAGCTGACACCCCGATCCCAGCACCCTGAGCTTCCTCACCTTGCTGCTACAGTGGCTGCAATTTCTCCTCTTGCTCTTCTTCATCTTGGAATCAAGACCTCCTTCATGGCAGGCACAGGAACAGTCCTTGGCCCCATCTGGCCACTCAGTCTCCTACAAGATACCTGGGCTTTATTAGCTGCAAAGTTTTTTTTTTAATATCAAGAAGGGAAGCTGTGGGTGCCAGTGGCTCATGCCTGTAACCCTAGCTACTCAGGAGGCAGAGATCAAGAGGATTGTGGTTCGAAGCCAGGCAAGACAAATAATTTGCAAGACCCTATCTCGAAAAAAAAATCCATCACAAAAAAGGGCTGGTGGAGTGGCTCAAGTGGTAGAGCACCTACCTACCAAGTCCTGAGTTCAAACCCTAGTACCATTAAGAAAAAAAAAAAAGAAGCTAAGTTGTGAGTCATCTGAAGAGATCCTTCCCCTTTCTCTTTTATTATGTACCATCTCATATTACCTGGGAAATCAATGACCCATACTAAATTAAATAAAGTCTATTATGAATCCCTGAAACAACTCTAAATGACCCAAAGAAGAAAATACCCCAATCACCCAAATGTTTCAAGATATTTAAGTCATATACATTTTGGGGCTCCATCAGGAGATATGATCTACTCACTCTCTGTCTCCCTAGGCCTTAAACTCTTCCCCTTTCTTCCAATCCCCACTCAATGATACTCTCTGCTTAATAAACCCAAGACATAAGTACCATTATTACCCCAAATTCCAATGAAAAAAGTGACACAGAAGTTAACCAAGTTGTTCAAGACCATTCAGCTAATAAGCAGTTTCTCCTAAGAAAGAGTAGACAGGTAGCAAAGAGAGGGATTTAAGACTACTTCTTAAAGAGCAGTGAATATGAGCAGCATGGAGAGCTGGAGCTGGATAAACAGGTGGCCCTGGCAATAACCTCTATTTGCACTTCAGTTACCTTTCTATAAAATATAAATAACATTCTCCCCTAGGATTATTGTGAGAATTAAATGAATTAATAATCCATGTAATATTTCCAAGTGATGCTGATACTCAGTAACAGGGAAGTATGAGCTCCTATAACATTAATAAAGGAAATTCTACTTCCCATGAATAAAAATGAAAAGGTTAAGAACCAAGAGTAAGAGAAGCAGCTCTGAGCAAGAAAGAAAAGGAGAAACAGATCCTTTGAATGAGGGACTCACGGACCTCTTCGGCAATTGCATTTTCTCACAAGCTCTCCTCAGCAGCCTTGTCTTTGGTTCATGTTCTATAATCATCTCTCAGGCCCTACAGACTTTAGGCCACAGGCTTTCAAACATCTAAGCCAGAAAATCATTTAGCTAGAAGCATGGCTCAAGCTACCACTTGTCTGCCTACCAAGGATAAACCCAAGTTCAAACTCCAGTACAACCAGAAAAATACTTAGAGAGAAATTCAAGGCCTAACTGATGAAAAGTGGAAAATACTTCACAGCCTAGCATACCTTATCATGATTTTGGACTCCAATCTCTTTTCTCCTCTTGTTCTTTGAGGCTGTGGGTATTTTGGGAGGTTCTTCTTCCTCTTCCACATCAGGCAGCGCCACTTCTTCAAAGCCATCAAACTGGGGAGGAGACAGTACCACTGAGCACAGGCTCTAGGCTGATCGTCCTCCCGCAGGTGGCCTTTCCCTTCACAACCCTACTCCAGCCTCAGGGCCTGTACCTCATACTCTTTTTCTTCAGTCCAATTGATCTCCTCAAAGTCACCCATCCGGCTAGCTGCTGGGCGCAGGTGATCAAAGAAGATGGAGAACTCATCCTGTAGGTGGTCATGACCCTTAAGGAGCTGCCACATCTGTGTCTTGAGCTGAGAGTTACAGAGGCAAAGATAAGTCTCTCTGGGTCACCTTTCAAACTAGTTCCATACACTCCCACATTCTGCTTCCAAGTCAACTGGAAGACACATGGAACCTCTATTTTTTTTTTTTTTTTCAGTACGGTGGTCTGAACTCAGGAACTCCCACTTGCTAGGCAGGTACTCTACCACTTGAGCCATGCCCCCAGCCCTTTTTACTTTAGTTATTTTTTGAATAGGATTTTGAGTTTTTGCCCAGACCAGCCTCCTATTTATACTTCCTATGTATCTGGGCTGGGATGACAAGCACAAGCCACCATGCTAGTTTATGGGTTGAGATGGGGTCTCCCTAACTTTCTGCCTGATCCTCGAAGTATGATCAAACCATGATCCTCCCAATCTTCGCCTCCTGAGTAGCTAGATTATAGCTAAGAATTCTCAAACTTCTTGTTTTCTGGGGTATTAGTAATAGATTTGATTCCCAATAATAGTAGCACTCTCCACTCCTGCCCAACTGGTCCCCAGTTAGAGCACAGCCTAAGTAGAACAAGGAGAACAGCCCCTCCCAGGTCTTGTCACTTCCTTCTTTAGTCATCCCTCCCAAGGCACTAATGGTACTCTGGTGCCTGTGAGGGTCAGTCAGGTGCTGGATTCAGGTGGCTATACCTTCCCTATCCCTCTGCTTCATGCTTTAGATAAGCCTAGAAAGTTCTTGCCCTCTCTCTCCATCTTCTCCAGAGTCCATGGTACTCCAGAGTCAAAAGGATATGGAATAGGCTAGAGGCAGAGAGAAGGACCTGAGGCACAAATGACAATAAAAAGGAAACAGGACATGAAAGAATACCTCAGTGATTTCCTGAGGGAGGCAGTCTGCACAGCCTTGGAGGACCTTGATAATCTTTTGGTGGTGTGAGGGGTTCTCTGCAAAGCAAATCTCTAGCTGCCGAAGGAATTTGCGACTCTTCTCAAAAGCCTGCTGCTCCTCAAACTGCCAGAGTGGAAGGAAGGCAAAAGAGTTGTCACTACACTGCTAGAGCAGTACTTGAGGGCTCAGAGGAGGCTAAGGGTGTAGGTATAACAGGATTCTATGTAAAACCCTAGCTTCTATCCACCTTAGGGCCCTTGGGAACTACCAACCCAAGAAATTAAGATGTGAAAGAAAGATTCAAGAGATGTATATATATCAAGTTATTTATAGTTATTTATTATTTTATGAATTAAGAAAACAACACTCGTGGTACATCACAGTATACAAAGAATTTTTGTATATACATTCATCTGATTTTTTTTTAATTTTTTTTTGGTGGTACTGGGTTTTGAACTCAGTTCCTCACTCTTGCTAGGCAAGCACTCTACTACTTACACCACTCCACCAGCTCATCTGATTGTCTTAATAATGCCAGAAGAGAAGAAGGGCTTTATATGCATAATCATCCTATTGCCATTTAACTGGAATAAGACTATCAGAATAATCTCATTATTCCCTTTATTTCTGTTTTTATCACTTATGACAAGAAGTCCTGGACTACTGGAATATTTCAACTCTCATTCAACATTTCAAACATCACCTTACACAGTGGCCTTCCCAGACCACTGGGTATCAAACATCAAACACCACACATCATTCATTCCCTTACCCATTTCACTTACAACCCTCTAGTCCCCTTTCCTGCTTTAGTTTTCTATGATGCAGTATCACTATGAAGCATTATTTGTCATGTATTTTAATGTTTACTTTTATAATCTAGATTTTACATATTTGTATATATTTATAAATATATTGTATATATTTCTATTTTATGACTTATCACCTGACTTTCCCTATAGAATGTAAGCTTCATAAAAGCAGGGATTTGGGGTTTGTTTGGTTTTTTTGGCAGCACTGGGGTTGATTCAGGGCTTTGTGTGCTTGGTAGGGAGGCACTCTAACATTTGAGCCAAACCTCCAGGTCACCCATACTCACACCCTGCTTTTTTTATGGTGAAAATGATAGGCAAACTTATTAGGAAAAGAGTATACTTTCAGTAATCTAAAAGAGAGTCATTACTAGAATGAGAATGACAGATTTTGGTCTTCGGGCTTGTACTCATGGCCTCATGCTTACTAGGCAGGCACTCTACCACTTGAGCCACTCCACCAGCCCTTTTTTGTGTTGACTACTTTCAAGACAGGGTCTCTCGAACTATTTGCCTAGGCTATCTTTGAACTGTGATCCTCCTGATCTCTGGCATCTTGAATAACTAGTATTACAGGCATGAGCCACCAGCACTCAACTGATTTTGATCTTTTTTAACTGCTATATTCCTAGAACCTAAAACTTTACTTAACACTCAACAAATGCCTATTTTTAAAAAATGCCTGTTTTATACCAGAGAGAGCACATGACTCACGTAAGGTCTCCACTGGCAACTAAAGGTAAAAACTCCTCATTCATCATGTAAAGAAAAGGAGAGAAATGGGGTTGGGAGAAGCATCTCCTGAGAGATAAAGTTCTTATCAGTTTGGGAAATGGGGAGGGGGTATGATGACAACTGGAAGCAATCAGGAGACTGCAACAGTCTTACTTGCTTCTATTCAACCCCAGTCTTGCTCTAACCCAGGAATCCTGTGTGCTATTGTTGCCCATCTACTTACTAATCCACAGGCAAGAGCTTGCTCAGGTAACAGGAAAGCAGCAAAGTCCTTCAACAGCTGAGGCCAGTCCTGGAGGAGAATTTGCAAGCTTTTGTAGAGATCCACAGCAGTCTGCCTCTGGGTGCTTGATTCAAATTCATAGATGACCTGAAGAAAGTCTTCATACTTGCCAGGGTTGTGTTGTAAGGCTTCTCGTACCTATAGGGGAAGATTTTCTATCAGCAGTACCCTTTCTTTGGGTCCCAACAAGAAGCAAAGGCACAAAGGAGAAGGAGGGATCATGGTTAGAGAGCTCCAAGAATTATCCTTTAGAGGGGCTCCCTTGTCAGATCTTCAGACCTGACTGGTAACGGAAGGCACAGAGCAACAAGCAAGATAGAGCTCGTTTTCTGGTAGGGGCAACTGGAAAACCTTCATTTTCCAGAGACCCCTGTCATGCTCACAAAACCAGGTTTTATTTTTTTCTTTAGATCACCTGAGATCTAAGCTCTCCTTCCTGATTTCAGTCCCATAATGAAACAGGATGTTTTACATTGCATTTCAGCATTATGTCATTTGAGGGTACCTAATACATAAATTTATAATGCTAGTAAAATATAAGGAGACAAGAAAATGCCATGCCTATCCCTGCTAGTACTTCACTTTGCTGGGAGGATAAAGGAACCAGCGAGTTACCAGGACAGGAAGTAGTTACCCAGTACACCACCAGACACAGGCCAGTTCGTATCGGAAGACCAAGGTACTTCCCTGAGATCTGCTCTCTGCCCTGTATACCAAAGGTCATCTCAGTAAGGTCTTTTATCAGCCCAGTCAATAAAATCACAACCTCTCATTGATAACAGAGGTATCATCCTTTCCCCAGAGTCTGGGCAAATGAGGGATGATGCTAGGGTGCAATCAACCCATGCATGACTGAACTCTGTCTTATAGCTCTCTCACAGAACTGTTTTGGCAATTTCCAGCAAGCAAAGGCAGAGACAGAGAAAGCCTGAAAAAATAATTTTTTCTTCTTTTTTGCAGTGCTAGGGATGGAACATAGGGCCTTGCACATGCTAGACAAGTGTTCCACCACTGGGCTATATCCCCAGCCCCAGACTTCATTTTTAAATTATCTCCCTCGAAGGAGAAGCAGCCACATCCACAGGGACTGGTAGTAACAGAAGCAGCATTTGCCTACCCTGGTCAGATAAGCCTGGGCAAAGGCCAAATCCTTCTGCTCCCTGAGTGGATCCCGCTCGAGAATGTCCTCATCATATAGCAACAGCAGCTTGGAGGTGTCCTTGCTGGCCCGAGCCCGACTTCCCCGCTTGTTTCGAGCTCGATGTTTGCTCCGGCCCTTTCCAGCAGCTTTCATGCTCCCTCCTTGGAGTACATGTGAAAAAGATTGTTTCTCAGTCCTTGCAACCATGCCAGTCACCACATGCGCTACCCCATCCAATCCTTGTCAATGTCATGGAACAATCAGAAGAACGGTGGCTGGGAAAGTGACAGGAGAGGCTAGTCTGCTCCGTCAAGTCAGCACTATGCATAACTGCATTAACTGGCTTGACAAGGAGATTAAAAAAAACTAACAATTGCATTCTGAGAAAGGAAGTCTAAACAGTGATAAGGCCTTATCTTGAGCTGGGATCTCATGGGACTATGCCTTGTTCTGGTTTTTTCTTTGAGACAAGGTCTTGCTATGTAGCCCAGCAGGGCTTGAACCTCCGATCCTCCTGCCTCAGCCTCCTCAGTGCTAGGATTACAGGCCCAGTTATATTTTGAACAAGCAGTCTTTTCTGAAATAAACATAGCTCTTAGCCTCATGCAAGTACATGGGGCAAGCAGCAGTATAAAAACTTCAAAGAATGCAGTACAAATGTAGGAGCTGAGAAGAATCAAATGAAAACTTTCTGAGTCTCTCTTTTCTACAAAGGCGTCATGTCAAACATCTGTTTGAGAGAAGGCAGCCCGCAGGGGAGACCCAGAGAATTTCCTCAGGAATCATCCAGCTGGTATGTAAGCTATACTCTGTTCACTGTCCTCTGGACAAAGCGGCTAAGGGAGTCCTACCCTCAGCACAGGCTCGTCACACTCACCAGGTGGAGTTCTGCTAGTCTCCACTTCTGGAGCAGTCTTGGGTGAGGCCAAGGTGGAAGGGGGCTTCTCCACAGCATCTCCAACTGCTTCATCAGTCATTTCATCCTCTTTCTGTAGGCCTTCCATTCCTTCCACTTCCTCTTCCTCCTCTTCTTCTGGCTCAGAGTTCTCCTCCTGAGAGTTCTCCTCCTCAGACTCCCCCTCCTGACTCATGCGCCTTTCAGATGCCAGCCAAGTCAGTTTCTCCATTGTTTCCTGAAAACCCCCCAGAGTGCTTATAAGGGCTTCTAGTTGCTCACAAAATGCTGAAAAACATCTATATCCAGGCTGGCGAAGTGGCTCAAGTGGTAGAGTGCCTACCTAGCAAGCATGAGACCCTGAGTTCAAACCCCAATGCCACCAAAAAAAAAAAAAAAAAAAAAAAAAAATTGTGGAGAATGTCCTCCAAATATAACTTAGGACTGACTGGAAGTGTGGCTCAAGTGGCAGAGTACCTGCTTTGCAAGTATGAAGCCCTGAGTTCAAATCCCAGTCTCACCAAAATAAAAAAGTAAGCAAACAAATAAAAAACAGCTATATCCAGAGGTAAACAAATGGGAACCCACCTAAGGTAAAACATTGGGGACCCACCACTCTCTGAGTTACAGAACACTAGAAATAGGTGTGATTGGGCCATGACAGGAGAAGGGAAGAAGAATGTGTCTTTTTTTTTCTTTCCTGATGTGACTGGGGTTTGAACTCAGGGCTATGGGCTTGCAAACCAGGCACTCTAATGCTTGGAAGACTTTTGCTCTGGTTATTCTGGAGATGGGGGGGGGTCTTGAAAACTATTTGCACAGGCTGGGCTTGAACTGTGATCCTCCTGATCTCAGCCTTCCAAGTAGCTAGGATTACAGTTGTGAGCCATCAAACCCTGGAAAAAATGTGCCTTTTGAAAGGTACTCATATACCCTGAAGATAATTTTCTTTTGTTAGGACCCATACTGAGGAACTTTTTCTTCCTTCCTTCTTTCCTTCTTCTTCCTTCCTCCTCCTCTCCCACTCCTCCCTTCTTTCTCTTTCCCACAGTGCTAAGGACTGAACCCAGGGCCTCAGGCATGCTAGGCAAGTGCTCTACCAGTTTTAGCTATACCCCAGCCTTTATGAGCTATCTTTTAAGGAATTTAAGGTATACTCAGGTGATTCAATCTAATGTTAAACTGGGTTTTACTCAAATAAGTAAAATTTTACCTTTCCCACTCACCTCATCTCAAACCTATAATATATCAAAAAGTCAAATGGAAACAATTTTAGGACTATCTACAGCATAGCAAGCAAGAAGGTAGCATATCAACAAACTGAACATACTACTGAGTCCCCAAAATACTTGCAACTACTCCAGGGCTCTTACCTGGAGTTCAGGGACAGAGAGCACAGATTCCTCAGAAGCCGATGACATTTCATCTTCCTCATCTTGGGTAAGGTCATCAAAGTCCTCTTCTTCTTCTTCCTCTGGCCCGTCCTTCTCCCCTCCAGTTTCTGGCCCTGCTGGTGTCCCCACTGACTGACCATCAACACTGTATGAATCTTCAGGCTTCCCGGGGGGACTGCTAAGCACCATTTCTTGGTCCGTGGAGGATGAAGCATTCTTCAGTAATCCTTTGCTCACATCTCTGCCTGGGTTTCCCTCGTCAGGAGACTCTTGAGAAGCTGAAGGGGATTTAGCTGGCTGACTCCTCTCTTCCTCCTTCTGCAGGACCATCTGTTTCCTCGCCTCTCTAGCACTGTTCAGCTCCTCTTTTAGGGAGCCAGTGTCCAATTCCACAGAGTGTTCTTTTTTTATTTTATCACAAATGTCCTGCTCGGGGAACACTCTGGCAATGTCCTCCCCAGGATCCTCAGGTTCCATCTTGACAATTTCCTCTAATTCCCCAGGGGGAGAGTTTAGAGAATCCTGGAAACCTTGAGGCAGTGGCTCCAAAGTTTGCCTTCCCTCTTCTATCTTCACAACAGCCAAGCCACAGGCACTCTTCTCTGACAACCCTTCCTGGCTTTCAGTTTTCACAACAGTCCAGCCATAGGCATTCTTCTCAGACAATCCTTCCTGGCTTTCCCTCTCTGCTGGCGGAGACCCTGGGCTGTGCTCTTCTTTGGGGAAGACAGTACTACAGAGAGGAGTTAGTTCCTGGGGTTCTAATTTGGGTTCAAGGTTTAAAAAGGCATTTTTTCCCTCAGCCAAAGGACAAGCAATGTCCATGTTCACTTGGGCCTTATCTTCAACTGTGGATGGTACAGGAATATTCACAGAACTTCCAGAAACAATTAAGGGTGAGATGGAGGATGCTACAAGGGGCTGATTTAACGGGCAGGGGAAAGAAGTAGGGTTAACCAGAAGGGTGGTAATGGGAATGGTCTGGGGATTTGGGGCCACAGCTGCATTGACAGGCTGGATCATGTTACAGCCACTGCCAAGGCTCACAACCTTCACAGTGGTAGCAGGAACAGTGAAGATAACAGGTGTGGGGTGGATGAGGGGGGCAGGTTTCAGACAAGGAGAGGCCTTGGTGCCCTTTCTTCTTGAGGGTTTCCGTCTCACACATGGCTTTCGAAACTTAGAAGGGGCAAGTGAAGGAAGCATTACCTTGGGCACAGGGGCAGAGGAAAGCAGGGTCTGGGACTCAGCCCGAGGAAAGCTGGTCCTGGCCTCAGAGGGCATAGCAGGTACTGCTGTAGGAGACTCAAAACTATCTTCCCCACTGACTCCCAGGGGAGGGAAACCTGGAACTGTCTGTAAGACAGTGGCTGGCTGGATCAGGTGAGGAATCTGGACCACCATTTTATTTGGTGGGGCTTCAGATTGAGTTGGCCAGGCTGGTAATTTCCCAGGGTTAAAACTAGGCTGGACAGAGGGACTGGGTTGGATAAGGAGGGGCTTCAAAACTGATGACCGCTTCTGTCTCCAAGCCTTCCTGGAAAAACGCTTGGAAACTGGCTTCAATTTCAGTACTACACCCTTGGGCAACAGCAGTGGGTACCGAGTTTCATTCCCCAATTCTGGTCTGGCTTTTTCTTGGTCATGGTCTGTGTTGATCTCAGTGGTTCCACTGACATTTCCTACCGCTCTAGCATCATCAGCCATGTTCTTCAATTCATCCTGGATGGATGGCAGACTGGCCTATTGAGAACAAGAACACTGATCTAACACATGTCAGAATTTGGAGGAAAGAATAGTAGCCCTTGACATTTCTGCCAGAATTTTAGTGACCTTCTACCTCTAACAGACTTTGAGGAAGAGGGCCGTACCTTTAACCAGAATGGTAGCCGGTGTTCTTCTCTCTCTATGGGTGGCTTCCATTGATGTGGCTGGATCTCTTCACAGCACCTGACTAGAATTGGCAGCTGTTTGGTCTTCTTATAAAACTATGCATGAAAAAATAAAGCATAAGTTATATTCCTTTCAAAAACATCACAATCTGTCAGGTTGGTGGAAAGAGGTGGTGGTTGTTTCTCTCTCACTCTCTCTCTCTGTTTCTCTCTCACACACACACACACACACACACACACACACTCACAAATAGAAAATGCTGAATGTTACTGCATTTCACATTAAACTAATCTCTAAAGAAGATTCACAATTATTCAATATCTTTTGATGATCACCATTCTCATTGGCAGGAAGGGGCAAATTTTGGCCACAGAAAAAGGAAAGAGATGATGAGAGTAACTTTTTCTAAGATCTGCTCTTACTTAAAAGCTGCAATGATAGTCCCTTAATCCTCATCTTCAATACCTGAAAGCTACTTTTAAGTAAGTATGGTATGAACAGCATTAGAAGGGAAGAGAAATTCCATTTTAAGAGTAATTGAGGGAACTGGGGATATGTCAAGAGTGGAAAGCTTGCCTCATGTGCATGTGGCCATGGAGTGAAGTAAAAGGAGAAGTGGACATGAACCACTGACAACAAGCGTTCACTTGTTCAAAATACTTTGTATGCTTTCTATGCGCCTGGCACCGCGCTACAAGCTAAGCGCACAGGTAAGAGTAGCAATCCCTGCTCCCAAGGAACTTAGAAACCAGAGAGGAAGCTGTCAAGTAGACCAATAATAACATTCTACATGAGGGAGAAAAAAACAAAAGAAGTACAAAGGTGTGCTTTAAAAATGAAACACAACTCTCAAACTTGGACAAAAAGATTTTTCTCTGGATGAGGTACACCAAAAAATGAACCTTAATGAAACAGAATTCTATATGAGACACAGTACACTTCATGTGCAAAACCAAGAATACGTTTAAGGAACCAAAAAGAGATTGGTTTGGCCAACACTAAAAGAATAAAGAATATGGTAAGAATTCAGGAGACGAAGTCACAGGTAGGCAGGCGAGGCCTTTTGTGCCACAGCAAGCAGTTTGACCTTTATTCTGGAGGTAGAGCTGGCTATGGCAGCAATGTGAAAGGCACAACAATGGGGTCAGAATTAGAGACACTAGTTAGAACGACTGTATTAACCGACTTATACAAAGGCCTAAGCTAATACAGTGGACAAAACAATACGAAACAGAATAAGATCACTGAGGACTTGTGACTGACATCCTGTGGTGGTGATCACAGATAAGTCCCAGGTGAACAGGTTCAGAGAGCAACTACACAGAAATGTCATGAAAAGACAGAAGTCATATGAGGCCAGACACCAGTGACTCACACCTGTAATCCTAGCTACTCAGGAGGCAGAGATCAACAGGATTGTGGTTCAAAGCCAGCTGGGGTAAATGGTTTGAGATCCCATCCTGAAAAAACCCATCACATAATAGGGCTGGGAGAGTGCTTAAGGTGTAGCCCTGAGTTCAAACCCCAACACCACAAAAGAAAGAAGTCACACAAGGATTTGCTGCTGGTGATAGTGTCAGTGGCAACAACTGGAGAGTACAGAGAAAGGTAAGTCAGTTTGAAGAGTCAAGCAGCAACAAGTTGATATCTACCACCAGTTGGTGATGAAGACATAGCAAGTTTCAGGCCAGCCTGGAAGACAAAGCAAGACCCTATCTCAAAATATAGGAAGGAAAAAAAGGTGTTGACACTAAGTTTGCAGGAGACAAATCTGGACTAAAAATTCCTGAGGATTATCAAAAGACAGAGATTACACATTGTGCACCCACTGTGGAGCACTGACATTTAAGGGTACAGCAGAGGAAGAAGAATTCATGAAGGAACAGCCTGAGTCCTGGTATCACAGAAGATAACCTACTAATGGAAGAAGGAACACATGAACGATAGCATCAACTACAAAGTTAAACAGGATAAGGAAAGCATCAACTGGATGCTGCACATGGTGGTACATGTCTATAATCCTAGCGCTTTGGGAGGTGGAAGCAGTAGGATCTTGAATTTAAGGTCAGCTTGGGTCACATAGTGAGTTCAGGGCCAGTCTGGGATACCTAGAAAGACTATCTCAAAAAAGCCAAAAAGGCCAGGCATATTGGTGCACACCAGCTATTTGGGAAGGTGTGGCTCAAGTAGTAGAGCAAGTGTAAAACACAGTCCCACAAAACAAAAACAAAAAAAGACAAATAAGCCAGAAGTGGTGGGCATGCCTGTTAGGATTGAGGTACTAGGCTAGGCCCCCAGACAAAAATGCAAGACCCTAGCCAGGCACTTATGGCTCATGCCTATAATCCTAGCTACTCAGGAGGCAGAGATCAGGAGGATAGAGGTTCTAGGCCAGCCTGGGGAATTGGTTCACGAGACTCTATCTCGAAAATACCCAATACAAAAAAGGGGCTGGCAGAGTGTCTCAAATGTAGAGCACCTGCCTAGGAAGCATGAGACTCTGAGTTCAAATCCCAGTGTCATCCAAAAAAAAAAAAAAGCAAGACCCTATCTAAAAAATAACTAAAGTAAAGCAAAAAAGGGATAGGGGTGAGGCTCAAGTGGTAGAATGCCTACCTAGTAAACATGAGGCCATGAGTTCAAATCCCAATACTGCCCCCTTCCTCAAAAAAGAAGAAAGTATCTATTGGATACACCGATGAGAAATAATTGAACATCTTTATGAAGGTAACACTTCATAGGTTAAAGAGTTAAGGAGAAACTCACCATTAAAATAGGCATTTTAGAGACTGGGGGCATTAATCCTAGGACTAAAGTGGTAGAGCATGTACCTAGCAAGCGTGAGGCCTTGAGTTCAAACCCCAGTGTCACACACACACACACACACACACAAAGACAGATTAAACATAGCCATCTTGTTTTGTTCCCTCTTAAAATTCCATGAAAACAACAGAAAGGATTTTTTTTTTTCTTTTTGATGGTACTAGGGTTTGAACTCAGGGCCTCACAGGTAGGCACTCTTTTGAGCCATGCCCCAAGCTCCAGAAAGGAATTTTTTAAAGAAGGCCTACACAGAGAAAGAAAATGAGAAAAAAACAAAGCAACAGTATTATTTTGTTGTTGTAAAAATAATAGTAAAGTTCATTAGGAAAGAAATTTAGTGTTAACAGGATAAAAGTAGAGAGAAATGGGGAGGGGGAAGGGAGAAACATTCCCTGTCCCCATGCAGGGACACCACAACAGGATTTTTGAAGATGAAAAGCAGATGGATAAGTGGTATTCAGAAAACTGAACACCAAGTGGAGAAAGTTAGGGAGAACTAAAATTTTATCAAAGATGGCAAAGGGGCCAGGGATGTAGCCTAGTAGTATGGTGCTTGACTAGCATGCAAAGCCCTGGCTTCAATCCCCAGCACAGAAAAAACAAAGACTGCCAAAAGAATAAGACACCAGTTACCTCTAGAAATGGAAGTAAAGCTGGAATTTGAAATGGGTAAGATAAGGAGGACTGATTGAAAAATCTGCTGAACAGGGAATTAGACCCCAAAGTCTAACTCCCTGTTAGACTCCCTGTTAGACTGCTTGGAATAGCCAGGTAAGAGTCACATCCCCTATCATGGCAGAAGTTTTGCTGGAAAGAATGATCTCAGGACTAAAACTATCAGGCATAGTTGAGGGCAGGGGTATTATTGCTGATGAAAAATTCCAGCCTTCTCCTACTTTCCCACATGCCTTCTGCCATTTGTTATGAAAGAGTATTTGAGCCGGGCACTGGTGGCTCATGCCTATAATCCTAGCTACTCAGGAGGCAGAGATCAAGGTTCAAGGCCAGCCCAAAAAAATATATATATATATTCGATGATGCACTGGGAGTGTAACTCAGTGGGAAAGTGCCTACCTAGCATGTGCAAGATCCTGCCTGGGATCAATACCCAGCACCAAAAAAAAATTTCAATGGACAAAACAAGAGCTACTGGATATGAAAAATATTATTGAAGGAAAGAAACAACTGAGAAGAGGGGTTAGAAGCTGATGGGAAAAAAGAAGAAAGTCAGAATAGTCTAAGCGAGCCAACATCTGACTACGGGGAACTACAGAAAAAGAAAAATAGAATATGAAGAGAAGGGAACTATCAATGCATAATTAATGAAAATGTCCCAAATCCAAAACAGGAGCTTCTACAGTAAAAAAGGTTTATCAACTGGATCTTTCATAGAGTCCCAAGCCAGAGAAAACCGTGGCTCTGAATCATTGCCTGGCCTCTGCCTATGGGCTGCTGGCACTGAAGTGGGTTACATAGTGGAACAAAGAAACAAAAGCAAAAAAAATTATTAGTAAGCGCCTAGCACCATGGATGAAACTAGACCTCCACTGAGGCATATTCTCAGAACTTCAAAACACCAGAAACAAAAGAATAGTCCTACATGCTTTACACTGTCAGAGGTTGAGAAAAACAAATGTCATACCAAGACATAGACACTAATGCTATCAGCATACAATATACAAGGAGCCAGAAGAAAATAGAGGGAGGCCCTTAAAAATTATCAGAAAAATATTACCAAACTAGAATTTTAGACACAGTGAAAGGCGAAAGAGCATCAAAAAGACTTTTAAAAACTTTTCATTTAAAATTAATCATAAAATTTACAAGAAATTACAAAAATAGTGTACAGAGGTTCCATGTACCCTTCACTCAGTGTCCCAATGGTAACATCTTGCTTGCTGGGCAGGTGCTCCTACCACTTGAGCCAGGCCGCCAGGCCCCATGGTAACATTGCTACATAATAAGAATAGCTATATAGTAAGAAAGTGGACTGGGCAGGAAGCTCAAGAAGTAGCACTAAGACCTTAGTTCAAAACCCAGCCCCAGAAAAAAATAAAAACTAAATAATAATAATATCAAATCAGGAAATTGACATTTGAACAATCCAAAGACCAGAAGTAGAGACGGTTTAAATGTCAAATTTTGTTTCTCACGTACTCTTCAGAATGCTATTTGGATATACTCCAATAAAATAAGGATGCAAAGCAAAACAGAAGATGGAGAACTTGAGACATACATAAGAAGATCTAACATTAAGTAAAAAGCAGCAGGGTGTGGTGATAAACATCTGTAATCCAAGCATTCAGTAAACTGAAACAGGAAGGTCACGAGTTCAAGGCCAGATGGGCTACATAGTTATACTCCATCTCAATTTTTTTTTAAAGGCAAAAGAAATCCCATGGATGAAGAAGAAAACGCACAAAGAGACATCAGTGCAGCAAGGAATAGAGTAGCACAGTTAGTATGGAATAGTGTCAAGGTGCCAGGGGGTGGGGTGGGAGGGTAGATTTTTTCCAGAAAAACAACACTTAGAAAGCTGGAATACACTGAAAAAGAGATTTACAAAACTTAAATAAACTTTAGTTGACCTAGTAATAATTACAGAAGAAAGCTGGGCACCGATGGCTCACGCCAGAATCCTAGCTACTCAGGAGGCGCAGATCAAGAGGATATCAGTTCGAAGCCAGCCCAGACAAATAGTTCACAAGACTCTATCTTGAAAAACCCTTTCACCAAAAAGAGCTAGTGGAGTGGCTCAAAGTGTAGGCCCTAAGTTCAAGCTCTAGTACTGCAAAAAAAAAAAAAAAAACTACATAATGGAACCAACCTCACCCCCAACTGCAATGATTAATTTCAGGAGGAACAAATTCTCAGCAGGAAAGGCAAAGTATCCCAATATATACTACATGACCTCAGTCAGCTGAGAGGAACACTTCTATAGTCCTTATAATGTGTATATGTAAACCTGGATAAAACCCAACTAAACCGTGACATAATTATAGTGAAAAGACTGGAGAGCAGAAAACATGTATGTTTAAGATGGGAGTAAAAGAGTGAGGAGAGTCTTCAGACCTATGCATCATGGAGTGAGGGCAAGGGTGGCCTCCTTAGTCTCTATAGGAAGCTGAAACCTGATCTGTCTTAAAAAGGGAGATGAGAGCAAGGCTATGAAAAGGCAGCAGGTAGGGTTTTGCTAGACCCAGGGACTTAAGGGAAGGACAGGAGAGAAAAGGAAAGCTGTCCCTGAAGGGGCAAAAGCAACATTCATCCAGTGCACAGGTGAGAGGATTTAGCCTTAGATGAAAGCAGGTTCCTCTCTTCACTGACACGAAGTCGGGAAACACTCACTTTGATGATGTTGTTAGGAGCTTTGTTCAGGTTGAGGTTCTTGATTCTCACTGTCAGTTGGTGGGCAGTCTTGCAGGTTACAAGGTACTTGCTGATTAGAGGCTTAGGAAATTCAGTCCCTTCAAAATGCTTCAGTCCTAAAGCTAACAAACTGAGAAAGGAACAATGACAATAAATATCACCTCACAGTTTTTTCTTCTCATATGCTGTCTTGGGGTTTTTTTTTTTTTTTTTTAATAGTACTGGGATTTGAACTCAGGGCCTTGTGCTTGCTAGGAAGGAGCTCTATCTACCACTTGAGTCAAGTCACCAGCCCTTCTTTTCTTCTAAAAACCCTCCCTAGACTAACTCCACAGATTTTACAACCCACATTTTCTACATCTAATTCTTTTACACATTGATGGCTATGCAATATAGTGAATGTTAGTACATATTGTAAAAACCAAACTGGAAGGCGTGGCATATAGAGCACTTGCCTCCGGCACCACCAAAAAAAAAAAAAAAATCACAAAAGAATCAAACAGGAGTTCATAATTAACTGAAAATCAGAAAAACAAGACATAAATCAATAAACTGAGCACGGTGGTACATGCCTATCGTCCCCAATACTTTGGAGGAAGAGGCAAAAGGACCACCTGAGTTCAAGGCCAGCCTGGACAATAGTGAGACCTGCCTCAAAAAAATAAATGAATAAATATCAGATAATAATAAGCTTTATACTGACCATACAAAGAAAGTTTGATGGGAATACAAAAAAAGAATTATTTAAATAAAGCCAAGTAATAGGTAACATGTTAGAAAATTAAATCAGTACTAACACTGCCCCCACTATAACATTAAAAAAACTGTTTATACACATGTATACTTAAAAGGGCTGGCGGAGTGGTTCAAGTGCAGATTGTCTGCCTCCCAAGCATGTGGCCCTGAGTTCAATCCCCAGCACTGCAAAAAAAAAAAAAATTCAAACATATGCTCATACTTGAAGATGGCAGTTTGTCAATAAATATCAAGAGCCACAAAAATTGTTCATGAGCTTTACTGAATAATCCCACTCTTGGGACTTTATCCACAGGAGGAAATCAAAAAATTTTAAAAGGTTGAAAATGTAACTCAGCAGTATAGGGCTTGCCTTGAATGTGTGAGGCCATGTGTTGAATCCCCAGAACTTCCCTTTCCCCAAAAAAAGGACTTTAAAAACTTCTATGCAGGCCCGTCGGTGGACGCCATCATGACGGACTTGGCCAGTCAGGTGCTCCTAGGCTCCAGTCTCACCATCCTGTCCCAGCTGTTCTTGTATGTAACAGTGTTCATCCAGGTAGGATTTAAGCCTCTTCCTCCAACAATAGGATGAAATATTTTTGGGCAGCAAGTATGTCTGCTTCCTGGTCTCTTGTTATGCTCAGCACATCGCAAGCATCGATGAGAGACGAGGGTTGTTCACAGGCTTAACTCCAAGACTACACTCAGGATTCCTTAGAACTGTGGTCCATGGTAACGTTTTACAGCATTACCAGGAGTGTGACAATCCTGAGGAGTCAGGATCCGGAAATGTATAAAAAGAAGGCTTGTCTTCCTTTGACTCAGTTATCAAAGAGACAACTCAAGAGATGACTGCTCGTTCTGCTGCTACTGTCATCACACATCCCTTGCATGTGATCACTCTGAGATCTATAACAATTCATTGGCAGAGAAGCCAAACACTGTGGACTTTGTGACTCCATAGAAACCATGTATCGGGAAGAGGGTATCCTGGGATTTTTTTGCAGGTCTCATTTCCTCACCTTCTAGGTGACATCATTTCCTTGTGGCTCTGTAACTCACTGGCCTACCTCGTCAATACCTATGCACTTCACGGTGAGGATTCCACCATGAAGGAAATGAAGTTATTCCCAAACTGTCACAGGATTTTTTGCCAGTATGTTGACCTATCTCTTTGTGCTACAACTGTGGGCTTGCCAGCATATCCCCTCCTCACTGTCCAACATGTACTTCTTGGATAGATGGCTGATGCATTTTACAAAAAGAAGTTAATATGAGCCAAGGAAATAACTTGCTTTTCCAGAAGGTTCCCTTTGGGAAGACTTATTGTTGTGACCTGAGGATGTTAATTTGAAGATGTAGGGTAGGGCCAGTGATATTTCTATAGTCCCAAATGCACAGAATTATGGGAGAGAATGTTGATTTCTATACAGTGTGACAAGCTTTTTAATAATCATTTCATCTTGGAAAATGAAAAAACAAACAAACAAAAAAAACACTTCTGTGCACAAAGATCCTTGGTGAAGCTTCAAAATAGCAAAACAGGAGGAATAAAAATGGCCAATGGCCAGACATGATGGTACACACCTGTAATCCAGGGTTCAAGGCTAGCCTGAGCTACATAACAAAACCCTGTCTCAAAAGACCAAGAGCCGAGGATATAGTTCAGTGGTAGAGTACTCAGCTAACATACCCAAAGGCCCCGGGTTTGATCCTTGGCACTGCAAGAAAAAAAAAAAAAACCACCACAATAGAGCTATTGAAGATTGATTTAAAAGACAGCATAACAACAACAAAAAAATGTTATGCATCATAAAAAAACAATTTGCTTTTTGCTTAAAAAAAAAAAGCAAAAACATGAAATTATTTATGCTGACAGTAGTTAATTAAGAAATGAGAAGGGCTGGCAGTGATTCAAGTGGTAAAGCACTTGCTTAGCAAGTGTCCTGAGTCCAAACCCCAGTAATGCAAAAAAGAAAAAAAGAAAAAAAAACAAAGAAGAAATACAAAGAGAAAATACCATAATACCATTGTCTTGGGGTAGTAGGATAATAGATAAAAACTGGATCCCTTTGAAAAATTGCCTTCTGGCTAGGGAGTAGTGGTAGAGCACCAGCCTAGCAAGCATAAGACCCTCAGTTCAACCTCCAGTACCACCAGAAAGAAAAAAAGAAAGAAATATTACCTTTAATAGTATTACAAGATTGGCTTTATAATAAATAGAAGACAAAATAATGACTTTTCAAAAATGTGTGTGCACCCCCCAAAAGAGCAATACTTGGAACAATAAAGATTATAGAACTCCATCCATCTACCCTGTTTTTCTTTTGTCTCTGTGTCCATGTCACACGCACAGCTTAATTCCTTAAGCTCCTCAAGAGGAACTGTCTTTGAATAAAGACCTGGAGATCTTCATAGAAATGACACTATGATCTCCAGTGACCTTTATGGGAGCCTCCATGGTGTCCATGTTCTGGCAGTTCAGAGGCTTCTTACTGCCAAATTTAAATGAGTGAATGTTAAAGGAATGAATGAAGAAGAGAGAACAGCCCCTGGAACAATACTGCAATAGCCTTTGCCTATGAGCTGATAAAAGATTTGCTGTCAGTAGAGTTATTGCTGTGCTCTTCTTGAAATAACTCCCACAAGGATTAAAGGCATAAAATGCACAGTCTTTGACCCACCTCCCTCTTCAAATACCCCAGCTTTGCTTCTGTTCACTAGGGGAAGTGTAAGTTCTACACCTGGAAGGGAAGTTCAATACTGAGAAACATGGTTCTGACACATGTATCAGGTACAAAGAATAATTCTTTTCCAGCTGTATTGATCAGAATTTAAGTAATTAAATCTTTCTCCTCCACTACCCACCCCCTAGAAAAAAACAGAGGGACAGTCTTCTCCTTGAAGTAATTTGGTTTTTTTGATCCCACACAATAAACTTACTTGTCCTCAGCCTTGGTGAAGATGATCTTATCATGAGGATTACTTGCCTTCAAGGAACATACTGGAAGAAGCTCTGGATACATGAAAACCTTGCTTGTGGCTAAGATCCAAGCCACTTGCTTTGGCAAACAGGGAAATTCACCAGCTGTAAAAAAGAAAAAGAAAAATCTGTGATAAATGGAATTCTAGGACCAAAAATGGCTTCACGAAAGCTTGTGAACGCATTCAAGAAGAGCTGTCCTTATCTGACTTGATCACTTCCCACACCCTCCCAGAAAGTTTCTAGTCTTTCTCAACCTAACATCTGACTAAAAGGAGTCCCACTCAATGTCAATAAAAGTTGATTCTCTTATCCTTTCTTGTGTGGAACACTTAACACACTAAGTAATAAACATTTACAAAGCACCTAGCAATACCTGGCACATAGTGTATACTCAAAAAAATTTTACCTCTTTGCCACCTTTAAACACCTGAAAGATAAGAGACCTTCAATAATGCTTTCTTTCTTCTAGTACAAGACTCCAATTTCTTCAATCTCCCTCACAAATCTGGTATTCCAAATTTTATTGATTCTTTTTGTTGTTGTTGTTAGCTGAGAGAGGGTCTTAATCATAATCCAGGCTGGCCTCAAACTCACCATCCTCCTGTCTCAGCCTCCCAAGAGCTGGATTATGCCATTTTATCTGATTCTTATTTACCTTTCCCAATATTCTTCAGAGATTGGTAATAAAAAAAAACTAAATAAATAAAAGGAATGAGACAATTCAGTCTCATTTGTTTCTAAAACCCTGTCTTTCCAGAGGCAAGAAGTACTCTATCCATACTTCTCTTTCCCTTAATGTTATTTTTTTATGCGCAAAAGAAAAACACAGAGCACTAGGTGTAAAAGTTATTACTATAGTTGGTATTAAGCCAAATTTTCACTACCAACATATACCTAAGCTATAAAGCAGTTTGTGGTCAATAGCTATGACATAATACACTTAAATTTAACTATATTCAATTTAACTATAAGACTCAGGGGTTTATAATCAAAGCAACTGCCAAACCCAAAACCAGAAGAAACCATAACTAATTTGGTAAATCAGTAAAAAGTCAGAAACAAATATTTAGCATTAGGAGCCAGGTAGTGGTGTCTCACGCCTGCAATCCTAGCTACTCAGGAGGCAGAGATTAGGAGGATCACAGTTTGAAGCCCCGCGGGCAAATAGTTCGTGAGACCCTATCTTGAAAAACCCTATTGCAAAAAACTGAGGTGGAGTGGCTCAAGGTGAAGGCCCTGAGATCGAACCCCAGTACCAAAAAAAAAAAAAAAAATTAGCATTAGGGAATAAAGCAAAATATACTCGAAAAATACTAAACCAATGCAAGGTAGAAACTAAATCTCCAAATTTCTTTAAAATACTAACTATGACAAATGCACAAGCGCTCTGACTTGGTGTCTAATTCCCAAATCAACATTTCATTAAAAACCACAGGAAATAAAATGAGTTGGTCTGTGTGTGTGTGTGTGTGTGTGTGTGTGTGTGTGTGTGTTTAATAAGGATCGAACCCAGGGCTTTCATGCATGCTAGATAAGCATTCTACCACTGAGCTATATTCCCAATACATGAGTAGGTTTTTAATGAATCAGAGTAAAAACCTAAACATAACCAAACTTCAACCCTTGACTGCCATCTTTACCAGACCCCAGTTTGACTTGCTCTAACACCTAACAGTTACCAAAATATTATTTAAGTCCAATTCTTAGTAATAAGTCCCATATCTCTAGCTCCCACACTCTTATTTCTGTCTACTGCCTTAGTGCAGATAAGTAATTCTACAACTTAGAGTAAGGGAGGATAAAAAAGAAAAGGAAGAAATTATAAATATTCTGTCCTTCATCCCTATAAAATTATCCTTAGGAAATTATCTAAGACTCCCATTTTTCACTGCAAATAAAAACTTGAGGTTGACACATCTGTCCCCTACCAGTCTTCTTGACAGTTTTGCGAGGACTCCAGTCAATGTGGACATGTGTGTTGAAGTCTTCAATAAGCTGCATAGCTCCCATCAAATTACAGGGTTGGAACAAGGTCTGAAACTTGGGATTGAACTCTTGGTGAAGGGTGATGGAGTTTTCCGCAAAGGTTCCCAGTTCTTTCTGGGAAAACAGGACACAAAGGAGATCTAAGACAATTTCACATAACTAGTAGCCTTTAGCCTCTAAATGAGAAATTATCCTTCCTACCACAGGATAAAAACAGGCAAAAATTATAGCCTATCATAATTAGCATTATTCCATTCAATTAAGACTTCTCTTTTGCTCAAAACTCAGATATTCAGGGATTATGTAATACAGTCATTTGCTCTTGTTTTATTCTCAGACTAACTGTTCCTCAGCCTTGTTAAAATATGGTCTAGCTCCCAAGGTAGAACTAAGGTTCTCAAGAATGAGGGACATTAATTTTAATTTTTGTTCTGGGTTTTGGGGGCTTTTTTTTTTTTTTTTGGCTTCTCTGAATAACACACAGAGCAAAATCCATTTCATGCTCTTCTGAACACAGGGAGAGGTAAGTATACTCTGTTGACCACCAATGAAGCTTAGACTTCACTCAGACTTCTCAAGAAACAAACTATTGTCATTACCTATCCAAAAGTTTAGGGGCAATTTTTACAGTTTCAAATTTATAAGCCCTTCTGCAAAATACTTCAAAATGTCATGAGCAAAATTAATTCTACACATAAGATACTAATAGTGGTCCTAATGAACAGGTAATGAATTAAATACTTATAAAAATAGAAATACAAAAAAAAAAAGAAGTCAGGGTGAATTCAAAGATGAGGAATATGACCCAATAAAAATGTCAAAAGAATGGTATTTAGAAAATTGAGTACATTCTCTACCATTTCCAGGGACTCTGTGACTTATGTTCTGTCAGCAAACATAGGAAGCCATAGAACAAAGTAGGCATAGTGGCCAAAAACATCCAGGGGAGAAAAATAAATGCAGATTATGATCGGTGAGAAATTACTTGCCAAGTTAACTTTATACGCAACTCTTTAGAGTTAGGAATATTTGGAACCTTACAAGAAATAACCTGGTGGTACTGGCCTCCGAACTGAGGTTGGGATTGGAAGTGGAGAGAAGATGGATTTGTGTCAAAAGCTGAACATGCTAGGGAGAGAAAGAAAACAAAACAATGACATGTTACAATGCTGCCATTTCCAGAACACAAGGAGCTCTCACCAAGACATTTGCAAATTGACCAAACATATTCTGCTTTCTGGAGAGATTATTAAAACAAGGCAGGATCTTGGGCATGAATTTCCCAGATATGTTCCCTTGAGTAAAATGGCAGAACCAAAGGAAGTTTAACCTCAAACCAGAAGGACCAAGATTAGAAAGAGGAAAAAACTCTGGTTCTAAAGACTATTAAAATTTCAGAATGGATTATTAAGGACTCTGAAATCTCCACTTCTGGCATCTTGGGGTTTGAAGTCAGGGCCTCAAGCTTGCTAAGCAGCACTCCATCACTTGAGCCATGTCCCAGCCCTGAAATCTCCAATCCTGAAGACTACCAGGGTCCTTCTGAGAGTTCTTGCCTCATGTTCACAAGGGCATGCACATGCTGGTCTCTCAACATCCTGACTGATGTGAAGATCCTATTGTCTGTGTTTTCAATGGGCAGTCAGACAGCTATCCCTGACTTTTACAGAGGTTCTCATTTTTGGCTTCAGTGTCAGGCCATGACAGAACACCAAGGAGAGTCTTACCTGTTGCATCTGCTGCTGGAGTCTTTTCCTCTGTGCTAGGTCCAGAATCAGAGTCTGATGGACTTTCTCACTCTGAGGCTTAAGCTTCTCTACCTCTGGCTGCTGTTTGGCTGAAGATTTCTTCATCTTTAGCTGTTCAAGTAGCTCCTTCACTGTCCGATGCTGTTCATTTAGCAAGTTGGCCAGTGGTTCCTCAAACCTATCCCAACAGGGAAATAAATGAGTTTGAACATTTCCCTAGGTCCACAACATACCCAATTACTTCTAATGGTATACTAAGAGAGCCTAAAGTGTCCATTTACTGCTAATCCCCAAATCCCACTTTGGCCTATAGTCAAATCTTTAATCAAACACTCACAAAAATTTTAGTATAGATTCAAATAAAGTAATTTTGTGATAAGATAAATTCTGTGGCTGGGAGTAGAACTCAGTAGTAGAGTACGTGCCTAGCATGCTCAAGGTCCTAGGTTCAATCCCCAGCACCACAAAACTAAATCAAAATAAAAAGATTCTGATTTGGAGGCTACTTAAAAATCTGAACACTGATCTACCATATGATCCAACAATACCACTCTTGGGGATACATCCAAAAAAATGTGACACAGGTTACTCCAGAGGCACCTGCACACCCATGTTTATTGCGGCACTATTCACAATAGCCAAGTTATGGAAACAGCCAAGATGCCCCACCACTGACGAACAGATTAAGAAAATGTGGTATTTATACACAATGGAATTTTACGCAGCCATGAAGAAGAATGAAATGTTATCATTTGCAGGTAAATGGATGGAATTGGAGAACATCATTCTGAGTGAGGTTAGCCTGGCCCAAAAGACCAAAAATCGTATGTTCTCCCTCATATGCGGACATTACATCAAGGGCAAACACAACAAGGGATGGGACTTTGATCACATGATAAAGCGAGAGCACACAAGGGAGGTGTGAGGATAGGTAAGACACCTAAAAAACTAGATAGCATTTGTTGCCCTCAACACAGAGAAACTAAAGCAGATACTTTAAAGCAACTGAGGCCAATAGGAGAAGGGGACCAGGAACTAGAGAAAAGGTTAGTTCGAGAAGAATTAAATTAGAAGGTAACACACATGTACAGGAAATCAATGCATGTCAACTCCCTGTATAGCTATCCTTATCTCAACTAGCAAAATCCCTTGGTCCTTCCTATTATTGCTTATACTCTCTCTTCAACAAAATTAGAGATAAGGGCAGAATAATTTCTGCCCGGTAGTGAGGGGTAAGAGGGGGTGAGGGAGGGGCGGGGGGAAGGGGGGAGAAATGACCCAAACATTGTATGCACATATGAATAAAATAAAAATTAAAAAATAATAATAAATAAATAAAAAGATTCTGAATCATGCCTCACGCTACTCTTCCATATTACTCCTTTAGGTAATACACAAATGGAAAGAAAATTAAATAAAAATCTAGGAGCAGAGAAACATCTGAATAATAAAAGCAATAAAGAAGCTAGTGGGAACTCACCATTCTTGCATCATACTGACATCCACAATGCTGTGACTTACTCTTAACAGTGATACAGAATGTTCCAAAAGTATAGCATTTGGTCTCTAATTTACCTCCTACTCCTATCCCATGTCTAACTTCTTCCATCTCCCTATCAATTCAGGGTACCCTGTCTTCCTTTCTTAAAAATTCAAAGCCTTTCTATAATGAAGCAGAAGGAGACAGGCTAAAATACATGGCAGTTTAGATGAACAGAACTGAGTTCTGAACTCAAATATTACCATACTGCTCTCTAGGAAAATATCTTCTTTTAGCCCTTTGAATTCCTCCCCCAAGTTTCCTAACCCTAACTTCACACCCCTACCTCCTGAGAGAGGGACTCTTTCCAGGGCTTAAGCAAGTATTTAAATACTTGCATGTCAGTTCTGAAATAAAGGCAGAACAAGATATCTAAGTGATAGTCTATGCAATCACGTAAAGACCTGCTGACATAGCAGGTTATCAAATTTCCCAGTCTCCTATATTGTAGCAATAGTTAAATGATAATTCTTTAATAGCCACTGGGGATAAAGATAACATTTCCTTTTGGAGTATTTACTGCAAGCAGCATATGGCAAAAACCTAAAGACCATGGAACTATCTTCTGTTCTTTTATCTCATCTGCGAACTGAAGTCTTTGATTATCTGCACTGCTGTCATAGGAACAGAAGTAGATAATGCAAAAAGGGCCTGCCCCTGATTTTAGTATTACTTAGAGAAGCACATATAACTCCCTTTCCCCATCATGTTTTATTTAGTCAAAGATTAACCTAGGCTTCCACTTATAACTTGAAAGGAAAACAGCAGCAGCCCAAGCAACACACTGACTACCAGAAAGTAACAGAATTTGAGCAGTAATTTTAAAGTAGTTCAATAATTCCTAATTATTCATTTTATTTATTTATTTAGGTTCTTTGAGAGAGGGTCTCCCTATGTAGCCCAGGATGACTTTTTTTTTTTCACTTTAATTTGCATGTATTTTATGCTTAATTTATTCCTGTGCCCTGAGTTTTTGTTTCTTCAGTTTCTTCTGGGATATCTTTTTCTTCTGTTCAACTGCCTTTTCTGGTTTAGAAACAATTTGTTCCCTTTCAGTAAGGATCACCTCAATGTGCTAGGAGAGCTCATGTAGGGTTGCTCCACCATGAGCTCTGTAAGTATGGCAGTGTATTTTGGGTGCTTTGTTGACCTGAATATGTCCAATGACCAGAGAATCTGCATCTAAACCATTAAGTTCAGCATTACTCTCTGCATTTTTAAGAATGTGCAGCAAAAATTCAGCACTCTTTATGGGCCACTGACCCTGTCTCCAGCCCCACAGATTGGCCTGGGCATACCTATCAACTCCACCATTGTAACGCCGGAATGACACACACTGCTTCTTCCAGGTGACGTCTTTCAGATACTTGCTGGCTTTCCAAATATGCATACCTTTGATGGCTTGGACAGTTTCTCAAGTGTCTTAAAGTGAACACAAAGATTTGAACCTCTTGACTTGCATGATTTTGTAGGGTTTTCTGGGTCAAGAGAGTAGTAAACCATTTTCACAAGTCACCTCTGGTCGCTTACATGAAGAGCCAGGCTGACTTCTTGATCCTCCTACCTCCACCTACTGAGTACTAGGATTATAGGTGTGTACCCCATGCCCAGCTGTAATTCCCACTTTTACCTATTATTTATTTATTTAGGTTTTTTGAGACAAGGTATTGTTACATAGCCCAGGCTGACCTCCAACTCAGGATCCTCCTGCTTGTTTCCTAAGTGCTGGGATTACAAGTGTGTACACTGCCTTGCCTAACTATTTTAGTTTAGTTGTTGCTTTTGCTGTTTTTGAGGTGGGGGTATCACTATATAGCCCAGGCTGACCTTGAACTCATTCTGTAGCCCAGGCTAGCCTCTAACTCATGATCCTCCTATCATAGTTTGCAGGATTACTTGTGTGTGCCACCCCACCTAGATTATAATTCCCAATTTTAAAGTCATACATAAGAGTTGATTAATAGAACCAAACTATGTTTACAGACGTCAAACACCATAATAAATTCTTAGGAGGAATAGTCTATTCTTCTGTATCAGAATTTTCTTCCACGAACTATGGCTTGAAATCAGTGGATCAAATACTGACTCTTAGTAATCTTTTTTTTTTGGTGGGACTGGGGTTTGAACTCAGGGCCTCACACTGGCTAGGCGGGCACTTTTACTGCTTGAGCCACTCTGCTAGCATGTTTTGTATGGGTTTTTGAGATAAGAGTCTTGCAAACTATTTGCCAGGGGCTGGCTTTGAACCATGATCCTATTGATCTCTGCCTCCTGAGTAACTAAGATTACAGCTATAAGCCATAACTCTTGTAATCTTGAGATTTTTGGTATAGCTGTAATTGTGCTATTTGTCAGAATGAAGTATGACTAGTATTTTTTACGCCTTTATTATTATACTTTGTCTTTTCTCACTAAATTAAATAGTCTCTGAAGGCTTAGTTTTCATATGAATCCCACACTCTCTACTTAGGCAATAATGCTGTTTAGTTGAAACACAGGACTAATGAGAAGCTGTGAGTCTGTTAGTTTCACTGTGTTTCACCCATGACATTAACTGTACTCTGACTTCTAGTCATCCATCCAATAACTGTATGCTGCTGTTTGCAATGGATTTTAATAGATTAAAGGGCAGACCCAAATCTACCACAAAAATGGGGGGAAATTAAAACCTCTACTTTCTGGATGCTTTAACCAACATGCCAACTCCATAGGAAAAGGTCAGCACATGTATTTCAGGCCCCTGTGGCATTACTGCAGGTGCTTTCTGGTTTGCTCAATAAATGCCTAGGTGACTAAAAAATTTACAGGAATATCTACAAGATATTAATGGCAAATAAGGAGGACAAAAGAGACACTGTAATACTGGATATTACAATTTTGTATAGTTTCTGTGGCTGGCCACATGGAATCCTACATACCTCTCCAGCACGACTCACCTGGAGAAGACACTATGGATGCCAGCTTATGTTTTTTCTCCCTTCCCAAACAGGTACAGCTTGGTCTATAGCTGCACTGCCCCATAACAAGGAGATTTTCCACTTGACACCTAACCTCCCTGAAAGCTCTGCATCCTTACAACAGAAACACAAGCTACATTCAGATGGGAAATGATCACTTATAATTTCTAAAAAGTCTTTTCAGAAATACAATTTTCCTCCATTCTAAATCCCAAAGTCTTTGGCCAGCCTACCGTAAGGCTTGAGGGGTGTTAAAGTTAGGCCGAGATTCAGTCATACGCTCCTCCTCCTCCGGACCGTCATCTTCCATGTTGGAGAATCCCATCTCATCTTGGAACTGTGGGCAAAGAAAGGAAGGGTTTCCCTGGGAAATGGGCCTATGTAAGTCACTCCAGTCACTAAGTAAGTAAAAACTACAGATCACAGGACTTTTGTTGTTGTTTTGTTTTGGTGGAGTTTAGGACCTTGCACTTGCTAGGCAGAAGCTCTACCACTTAACCCATGACCCCAGCCCATTTTGCTTTAGTTATTTTACAAATAGAGTATCACATTTATGCCCAAGCCAGCCTGGACCTTGATCCTCCTATTTATGCTTCCCAGTGAAAGGTGCACTCTTACCATATGTAGCTTTTATTAGTTGAGATGTAGTCTCTTGAATTTTTTTGCCTTGGCTTTGACCCATAATCCTGATCTCCACCTCACGAGTGGCTAAGATAATAGGTGTGAAACACCACATCCAGCACCTGATTACAGGACTTTAACAATGACATTGGCACCCACAAAGCACTTGCATTGGAGCAATTCTCACTTCAGAATTCCTACAATCCCATACTTGGTATAAATATTATGCCAAGAAAGAAGTCTCTCAACTAGTCAAGTGTAATAAAAAGGACAGAGCATGGATAACTCAGAATGATCAATCTCTTACATAGAAATGTCTTTCAAGAGACAAATTTACGAAAAAGAAAGTCTTTGTGCTCACAGTAAAACTAGTTTAGAATTTTTTTGCTTCTTTCTTTTAGCAGTACTGGGATTTGAACACAGAGCCTCATGCTTACTAGGCAGGTGCTAACCTTACTATTTAAGCCATATCTCCAGTCCTAAAACTAGTTTACAATCATTAAGAATGCACAAATGACAGTAAAGGAAGATGTCACAAGTTTTGAAATTTCACCGGGAATAACCTATATATGAATAATGAAGCATTTACTACTTAATAAATTTTTATGCCACTATACTCTTTCCTGGATGGACTAAAAGGGAAATGGCTCAGTAAGACCACCATTCTGGAGGTGGATCCCAAGGACCAAAGGACAGCTTGTTAAAGAATTTAATTTCACCATCCTATGCTCTTCTTCTTTTTTTTTGACAGTACTGGGATTTGAACTCAGGGCCTCATGCTTCCAAGCCAGGTGCTCTACCACTTGAGCCACTCCACCAGCCCCAACATCCCATGTTCTTACTCAAGGATCATTACTCACAGTTTCAAACAGTTCTTCCATCAGCCCATTCACTTCCTTTTCTGTGAAAAAAGTCCAAAAAAGTGTGTTGTTGGGAGAAATTATTTTCATTTTTCAACATGGGAAACTCTACAGAGATAATGTATATAATTTCCTGCTGGGCATCTGACAAAATTCTCATATCTATCCTTCACGCATTTAACTGAAACAAACAGACAAAACACCATTTGTGCTTCAATTCCAGTTCTAGATGCTTGGAAAGAACAGAGAGAGTTCTATTTTCATGAAGGCTAAATTCTCATGGGAAGGAAATGACACAATGAAACCCCTTACTTAGTACAATTAATATACGCTAATTTTTAAAAATCTAATGGAAAAACATACAAAAAATGTGAAAGTCTCCAAGTGTGTCACAGGACTCTATCTTTGGACATAAACTATTTAAAAATCCCATCAATGACTCAGAAGATTCGGAAAATACACTTATCAAATCTGTAAATGACAGGAAGCTGGAAGAGATTAAAACAGATAGTAGGGACCCACTCCTCCCTGGGATATTGGGACTGAAGTTAAGCATTATTAGAGCACTGTTAAATATTGTTAGAATACTGTCACTTTTATTGCAAGCATGCTTATAAATTTTTTCTCCCTTTAAACGTGCAGAGAGGACTGCAGGTGTGGCTCAAATGGTAGAGCACCTGCTTTGCAAGTGTAAAGCCCCGAGTTCAAACCCTAGTCCTACCAATAAATAAATAAATAAATGAGTAAATAAATAAATAAATAGTGGGCTGGTAGAATGGCAAGTGGTACAGTGCCTGCCTAGCAAACATGAGGCCCTGAGTTTGAGCCCCAGTACTTTCCAAAACCACAAATAGAACAAATGTGCAGAGATACAGGGACTTGAGTGGCTTAATTCCCTGACAGCTGCCAGACACTTCTCTGAGACCCCAGCTGCCTTGGGCAAAGGACTGTAAGCCAGACAGCTGAACTCTCATGCTAACATCCAAAGCATGACTCCAGCTCCAAAAGGTACTGCCCCAGCAAGCAGCTTGTACTGGACTTTTTACCACCAACTGCCACTTCCACCACACCACAGGAGGAGCACTGATGTCCAACAGAACAACTGCCACTTCAATCTGGGTCACCACTTAAGTTACAAGCCAGGTGGCTGGGGTTCTTTTGTTCTACCCAGATGGAAATCATGGGTAGGCAAAGAGAAGCTCCTCCAGTTATTTTGGACTCTTGCAGGTATTTGCAGGTAGCAGAGTGGGCAGCAGCAGTCAACCCTGGGCCGTTGACAGATAGGGCAGTGGCATGGGGTTCAAGTCTCAGGGTTTGGGATGAGGCCCTAAGAGCTAAGGTGCAGCATAAGGTTTGGAGTCCTAAGTGCTACAGCTCCTGCAGGAGGAAGTCCCTATGCCAGCCAATCCCAACTGACTGTCATCAGTTTTATCTTCTCCACTGTGGGCCAGTATAACTGCCACCAGCCACTGCCTGCCATCACTGCTGTGGTCAATTTTGCTTGGGCTGCTCAGCTTGCCAGCCTTACTACTGCCCTGCTGTCAGAGCAGCTTCCTCCCAGCAACTGCTGCTGCTTCTCTTCTTTTCTTCCTATTACCAGCTCAGAGAAGGTGAGCAAGACTGTTCACCTGATGATGATAACATCAGAGGGACAGTGAGGAGGGTATCTCCCAGCTGCTCACAAAGTGAGTTGATCAGTCTGCTTATATAGGCAGAAAAGAATGGGTGGATAAATAAGGATGTCTGCACCAATCACAACTATCCCTCACATTTGCACCAATCATGATACTATCTGTTATGTAAATAAAGGATTGTGTTTGCAGCAATCATAGGTTTTCTGTTGCACTGAGGTCCAGTATAAGCTGCTTCCTGAGGCAGTGCCTTCTGGAGTTGGAGTCATGCTTTGAGTGTTGGCATAAAAACAGTCTAGCTGCCTGGCTGCCAGTCCTTAGCTCAAGGCAGCTGGAACCCCAGAGAAGGGGCTAGCAACTGTCAATTAAGTCTCCCCAAGCCCCAAATCTCAGAACATTTAAAGAAAAAAAGAAAAAGGAAAAAAAAAAAACTTCAAAAATGTGCTTATAGCAAAGGCTGTAACAGTGCCCTAACAATATTAGTATACACCTATCATATGACCCAATGACTCCTCTTCCAGAGAGTTCACCCAAAAGAAAATAAACAAAATACACAAAGGCTTGCACAAGAAAATCTGAGCAGCTTTATTCAGAATAGCCAAAAACTACCAAAAGCCCAGGTATCCATAAACACAGAAACAGACAAACTGTCATATATTTTATACAATGAAATTCTACTCAGCACAATATGGAATAAGCAAATGCTGCTCAAAAATATGCTGAATGAAAGAAGCCTTGTGCACAAAGCATATACTACATGATTACATTTACATGAGGTGCTAAGACAGGAAAATCTAATCAGTGATGAAACATATCAGAAGAGGAGGTGGGATGTATGTGGAAACTGAGTTGGAAGGAGCAGGAGGAAGTTTCTGGGGTGATGATTCTATACCCTGAGTGGAATTTGGCTTACACAAGTTATATGCATGTCAAAACTCACTACATGCAATACTTAAGATTTGTGCAACACATTGTGTGTAAATTTACCTAAACAAGAGATCATAAATAAATATTGAACTCTAATTCATGATATGCATGTAGAAGTGTTTACTTGTGAAGTATAAGTCACTCTCACATACATTTTTTTAAAAAATGAAGGCTGGGCACTGATGGGTCACGCCTGTAATCTTTGCTACTTGGGTCACTGTGATTGGGAAGATTGAGGTTCAAGCCCAGCCAGGGAAAATAGTTCATAAGACCCCATCTCCAAAATTACCAAAGCAAAACAGAATGGGAGTGTGGCTCAAGCTGTAGCGTGCCTGCTTGGCAAGCTTGAAGCCTTGAGTTCAAACCCCAGTCCCACCAAAAAAAAAAAAAAAAAAAGAACTCATGGACGGACAAAAAGACAGCTCCATGATAAAGCAAATATAGATTAAAAATTTCTCAGCTGGGTATGATAGTACATACCTGTAATTCCAGCACTTTGTGAGTAAGGCAAGAGGATCATGAGTTCTAGGCCAGCCTGGGTTATAAAACAAGACCTTGTCCCAAAAAAAAAGCCAGGTGCTGTGGCTCATACCTGTGATCCTAGGTACTCAGGAGGCAGAGATCAGGAGGATCAGGTTGAAGCCAGCCTAGGCAAACAGTTCATGAAACCCTATCTCGAAAACACCCAATACAAAAAAAAAAAAACGGCTGGTGGAGTGGCTCAAGTGGCAGAGCACTTGATCCTAGCATGTTGAGGCCCTGAGTTCAAACCCCTGTACCACCAAAAAAACAGATGGGTATAGTGGCACATATCTATTGTCCCTGCTAGGGAGTGTACTAGAAGGATCACAGTCCATGCTGGCCCAGCCATAAAAGCAAGACCCTACTAAAAAAATAACTAAGGAAGAAAGGGTGGTGAGTGACAGAGTGCATGCCTAGCAAGTATAAGGCCCTGAGTTCAAATCCCAGTACGACAAAAAAGAAAAAAAAATGTTGCATCAATTCCTGCTTCAAAACTAAGCTAAGACATCTATATTAAAAGATATCCACTATACTATTCTTCTAACTATTCTGTTTTTAAAATTTTTCATAATAAGGCAAGATATGGTAGCCCAGCTACTCAGAAGGCAGAGATCAGAGAATGAGAAAAAAAAATAGTTAGCAAGACCCTATTTCAATGAAAAAGCTGGGTATGGTGGTATACACCTGTCATCCCCAGTTATGCAGGAGGTATATGTAGAGGTACTTGCACTTGCTAGGCAGGTGCTCGACCATGTGAGCCATGCTCCTAGCTCCTTTTGCTTAAGTTGTTATACAAATAGGATCTCATGTTTTTGCCCATGGCCAACCTCAGTCCACAATCCTCCTACTTACACCTCCTGAGTAGCTAGGATTACAGATGTGAAACATCATAACCATTCCTATTGGCTGAAATGGAGTCTCACTAACTTTTTGCCCAGGGTGGACTCAAACTCAGTGCTCCTGATCTCTACCTCCCAATGAGCGTGATTATATGTGTGTAACACCAAAGAAACATCTTTTAATATGCAAATTTGGGAGGAAATTACTTCTTGCTCCAGTAAAGGATAAACAGAAGGAATATGAAAGGCAGATTCTGGTGCAGTATGGAAAAATGGTAATTGGGGTAGTATCAGAGACTAGAACGTATTATCTACAGAACTGGTGAGCCTCTTCCCACTTGCAGACAGTCAAACAGACCCCAAGGGCCGCATCAAAGCAGTTGCAAACAAATCTCAAATGAGCCGGTAGAGCGGCTCAAGAGGGAAGAGCGTCTGCCTAGCAAGTGTTAAGCCACCAAAAAAAAAAGAAAATGTTCCAAAAGAATTTTCAAATGAGAAGAAAAGATATGTCTACAAAGAGCTTTTCAACTCTATGATTTTATGCATGCTAATTGTTTTAAAATTTAAAATTTAGTCAACCATGTTAGGATAAGTCCTCTTAAAGAGAGGATAATCAAATGCAGTATCAGACATAAGAAAATAAAAAGCCAGAACAAAATTGTATCTAAGTTTTCACTTTTGATCACAAACTCAAGAAAGAGGCCAGCCCAGGCAAAGTTAATATGTCTCTATCTCATAAAACAAAATATAAACAAAAGAGCTAGGGGTATAGCTCAAGTGATAGAGCACTAGATCAATCCCACAAAAGAAAGATCATTATTTGCTGTGGTGGCACACGCAATGCCTGAAATTCCAGCACTTGGCAGGAGAAGTGTGAGTTCAAGGACAGCCTGTGTACAAACAAATAAAAAAGATCATTATTTGACAAATAATGGCAACACTGTGCTAAACATGGACTCCACAGCAGTAAGTACCACAAAGCCCTTGAAAGGCTCAGTATAGGAGAGAAGACAGACACTAAATTAATAATTATGATAGCAATGAGTATAGAAAGGCCATAAAAATCTGGTATAGGAGTACAAAACAAGATCAATCCCAATTGAAGAAGGTATCCCTGAGAAATTATATGTAAACAAAAGAAAGTAACAGACAAACAAAAGGGAAAGCAAGTGTATTCCATGCTATCACCTAAACCGATCTCCTGCTTTTCCACTTCAAACAGAAAGTGTTTAGTCATCAGCATATGAGACTGTTAATCTAGAAGACCTTCCTCCTTCAGACTCCTTGGTTTCTATGACTAGATTTTCTTGATTTCTAGTTTCCCCTTCTTCTATAGTCCTTCTTCACAGTTTTCTTGAACTCTAAATCCTCAACCTTTCATTCTACACTTTCGCTTTGATTTCTGATGCTTTCCTTTCAGTGCTTCTTCTAATCTTAATCATCACAACTGATCAAAATAAATGGAAGTTCTTCATAAAGGAAATAGTATTCTAACCTTAAAAACAACATAAAACATAAAATAAAGTGTTATGGCATAAAGGACCATAGGGAGAAAGCTGCATCATTTAGAAATATAGTAAATGCTTTTGGACACTTCTAAAACTCTCTCCATAACCTGGTCAAGAGTTACCATCTTACTTCTCCATGTGTAAACCCCACTCCAACAGGGCCACACACACCCTCAGTGAAAATCAATAATCTCTGAAATATATTTTTCATGACTGGAACACTAGCCAATGACATAATTTTTTTTAAACAAATAACTCAAAGTAAGTTATCATAATTGTTTTCCATACCTGCAATCTTGTGCTCTTTATCCACCAAATCAATACATCAAACTTGTATTAAATAGAAGTGATCTTTCTAAAATCCAAATGGGTTCCTGTTGATTTCCTGTTTAAAACTCTTTCTGAAGTTCAAACAGTCCCTGTGATCTGAACACTACTTATCTTTTCTACCACCACTCACTCATGTAACTGCATCAAAATACTTAGAATTTTTAGTATTTTCCAAATACAATTTTTTATTGCTTAACAGTTCTGTGGTTTGCAGATGCTCCTCTATTTGTCCCTCTCCACCCCATTCACCAATAATCTCATAACCCTCCATCAAAACAAAGCTAACACACTTCATCTTGTGAATCCTTTCCTAAGCCTCCCACACTTAGGAGAGCACAACCTCTTTTACACAACTGGTATACCCTACATCCAACTTATTCAACACCTATACTCTATAGTATAACTCTTTCTCTTTGCACCCAGACTAAGCCCAATGCCCATGAGCAGAGGCCTTGTCCTAAGTCATCATGGCATTCCAAGTAAAATCCTTGCCAAATAGTAAGAATTCAATACAAGGCTATGGGATGTACAAATAAATAATGGATAGCTTTCTAAATTTATATCTAACTTTAAAGAATTATAAAAATAAACAAATGAAAGAAACGTAAATGTCCTATCTTGGACAGGCTGCAAACTTCACTCACAAAAAGCTATAAAGTAAACAAAAGTAGATGTAGAACAGACAAGAGCAGGATTCATAATAAACAAAGACTCACTGGTGATTCTTACTGCCCGGTCAGTACGGAAGTCCTCTGTGTCTGGTTCATCTTGATCTTCCAGGAAATTGTATTCTGGATCATCATCATCATCTGCTTCATCTAGAAAAAAAATGTTTCAGACACTTGTTACTCCCAACATCGAAGCCATACCTCTGCAAAAATGCAAGATTTCAACAACACTCTGTACAATTAGTATATGCTAACTAAAAAGATTTTAACACCATAAACACCTGTTCTAAGGAAGCACATACATTTCTCAAGTAACTTATTTTCTCGCCAGTGCCTTTATGTGGATCGATCATTTCCCACACTGAGTCATCTCACTTACTCTCTCCAAAAACCTGGTTCTTTCCCTTCCTCAAAACTTTAATTTCTCAATATGTAGCAAAACCCAAAAACAAACTAAATAACTTGTTCTAGCAATCTTACTTTGAGTAGTGCATCTCATGAAAATAACATTTACTTATTTGTACAACGATACATATAATGAAAAAGAATTGACACAAATTCCCAACAATTAGAGAATGACTATGTAATTATGATGCCTTAGCATGATTTTTAAAATGTACACATAAAATGTGAACAGGTAACCATTTTATAAATATTCAATACAGGTATGACAAAAGTACCACACAATACCATACATACATAATAATCTAAGAAGGAAAAATTATACCTCTTCAATAATAATAATCACAAATAACTAAAGATGTACAAAAAATAAGCATTTTGATATTAGGGTAGAGGATATATAGGTGTTTCTCTCTTATAGTTTTTTTTTTATTTTTGGCAGTACTGGGGGTCTTGCACCTACTAGGCAGGCACTCTACCACTTGAGCTACACCCCACAGCCCCTTCCCCTTTTTTTCTAATTTCTAAATAAAAATTATGTCATTGTTAAATTATGGAAATTTTTTTTGGTGCTGGGGATGGACTCCAAGGCCTAGTGTGAGCTAGACAAGTTCTCTACTACTGAGCTATATCCCCAGCTCTAAATTAAGAAATGTAAGGTGATATTAACCTCCAAAGAACTTTAGATCAGTGTAGTCTTACAGAAATTTCTGTAATGATAGACATGGTATACATATGTACTGTGTAGTCCTGTAGCCACTAGTCACGTGTGACTATTGAGAACTTTAAATGTGGCTAGTACTAAGGAACTGAATTAAAAAAAAAAGAAAAAAAGACTATCAGAAAGGGAGTAACTAAATTCTTTACTACTATGTGTCTGTTAAACAGGAGGGAATATTTCTATGAATTATAATGGAAAAATATCCTAATTATATCATTAAGTGAAAGGAGCAAATTGCTGCTGTAGAATATGCATAGTATGAGTCTTCTTTTGGAAAAAAAATTTTTTTTTTTTGGTGATGCTGGGGTTTGAACTCAAGGCCTCACGCTTGCTGGACTGGGGCTCTTCAACTTGAGCCACTCTGCCAGCCCTGGGAAAAATTTCTTAATTCTCAATAAATACATGTTTAATAACACAGAGATTATCTAGAAACACATATTAACAAAGATGGTAGGACTCTTCACTTTGTAGCCTTCCACAATGTTTTAATTTTTCCTAATAAATGAGTACTTTTTATAAAAATATATATGCATTTTGCTTTTGTTTTTTGTTTATATTGCCCAGGCTATTCTTAAACTCACGTTCAAGCAACTCTCCTGTCTCAGTCTCCTCAGTAGGTAGGCCCACAGGTGCACACCACTGGAACTGACTTATATACACTTTTTTTCCATACTCATCAAAAATTTTATGCTGATTAATCCTAATCTAATTTGCACTGTTTATCCATAGCTATTTAAATATCCGATCTTTTTTGTCTATCTGTGGGCTTCTCACACAAACAAAAATTCTACAATTCCTAAGGAATGGAATCGGTGTTCCTAATCCCCACAGAATGTTCTCTGTAAGTCTTCACAGCAGGTTCTTTATAAACACTGATGAATAATGAAATTCTGGGAATAGCCTATAACATATGGGTAGATTATACAGGTTTGGACTGCATGTGTTTGGGTGTGAGAACTGCAACAGACAGCTTCTGCCCACATCACACAAAAAGAGTGCCTACTTGGCAAACATGCTGAAAAATCATCTAAGAGGATTTTTCTGAGTTATACTTAGCAAAAAATTTTAAGTTGTAGAATCTACCCATGGCCTACTTTTTTAACTGATCTACAAAATCAGCATCTACCCAGACGATCTAAGGTTAGTGTACCACTCCAGTGCTATCTCTTAATTATTTCCTGCAAGTAAGAATCTAACTTGTAATAGCGTTTAGGTCAGATGGTACTAGGAACATGAGAAAATAGTTGGCCATGTAATGTTACAAAAAAAAAAAAAAAAGGTTAGCATATAGCAAAAGTTTGATACTAGGATCCCATATCTAGCATCATTTCCTATTTGTCAGCACCTCAGTAAATACTGCAGGTGGATCTGGAACTCAAACCAACTCTAATAACTGGCCCTGGAATCCTTAGTGAATACCACCCATGCTTACTCTCCTCAATTCTGATTTTGGTTCTACAAATCATATGAGAAATAATGCCCAACTCCCCAGATTCTGATGGACAGCACTCTATGGCCTTTCCTCCCCAATAGCTACCACCTCAGCAATTTGAACAAAGGTGATGAGAAAACAAAAGCACAAAAGCTGCTACTGATAAAGCTGTAAGAACCTGACTTAGTCCTAATATTTTGTATTAACATGGGTCAAAAATAAAAAGCAGTGCTTCCTTCTGGAAAGTTACAGTCTTCAAAATAAAATAAAAAGTGGTTTAACTCCTCAGGAAGCCTCTGTGATGAAGACATGCTTAGAATATTAAACTGGGTTCCAGTCCTAGCACTGTAAAAATTGATTCCATAACACAGAGCAAAACAAAGAACTTCTCTGAGATTTTACTACCTATAGAATGCTAGAACTATCTTTGTCCTGCTCATTCCTTTTTTTTTTTTTTTTTGTGGCAATATGAGTTCAACTCAGAGCCTTGCACTTGCTAAGGCAGGTGAGCCACTGAGCCAGCTCTGTCCATTCCCTTTTGCAAAGATTTTGAACCTTGGTCTCAAAGAGCTTGGAGAGGTCTGGCAGAAAAAAGGAATGCCAATAAATGCCCTTTGAGGTATATGTATTTAGGTATGCATTTTATGTATGGAGATATGTATTTTTTCTGGCGAAAAGCTGTATAGTTCTCAGCATATTCAAAACTGGTAGAATAATGAAAAGTCCAGAGTTTAGACTCTTATCTGTCCTAAGACTAATGGGATAACAGATCGACCACTGATTAGTAAGGAACTGATTTTCCAGTTGATATGTCAATGATCAACTTCAAACTTAATCTCTTCTTATCTCTTCTTATACAATTTTGTGCAATTTTAAGCTGGACACTAGAGGCTCATCCCTGTAATCCTAGCTACTTGGGAGGCTGAGATCTGGAGGATCACGGCTCAAGGCCAACCTGGGAAAACAGTTTTAGAGACCCCCATCTCCAAAATAACCAAAGCAAAATGGACTAGAGGTATGGCTCAAGTGGTAGAGTACCTGCTTTACAAGTGACTGCTTTGCAAGTGCAAAGTCCTGAGTTCAAACTCCAGTCCCACAAAAAAAAATAAACAACAAACAAAACAAAACATGTATATCATTGCTTATTAGCACTTCTACAATAGAGGGTAGGTGGAGAAGAAAAACATTAAGATTCAAACCAAACTGCTTCTTGTCATCTATCTTTTCTGTCTGAGAAAAGTCTCAAATTTAAATTTAGTACTAAAATTTAATTCTCTCTATTCCAATACTAATATGGAAAACTAACAGGTAACCAACTACACATTCGAAAACTCTTACAGATGTCTTGCTGGGACAGGAAACTTGTCTTGGGAAGAGGCTTTACTAGTTTTTTTTTTTAGGTAATATTTGATATTTACCTATGCCAAGCATGTACTACTCTTATATTTATAATAGAGAAAATTCTTGAGGCATACAGCCTACAGAAGCCACTATATCTATTATTTCATGTCTCTCCCATCCATCTGCCTCCTCTCCATCTTCTTTTCCCTGTCAATGTTTTTTAAATTTTTTTCAAAAGTCCATCACAATTACCTACCTCTTTTATATACCTATAAATGATCATCCAAAACAGAAATTGGCTTTCCCTCTTCTAAAACCTTACAAGCTGGGCGTGGTGGTATACACCTGTATGTAGTCCCAACCGCTTGGGAGTCTGAGGCAGGAGGATTGCTTGAACCCAGAAGTCTGGAGCCAGCCTGGTTAACCTATCAAGACGCTGTCTCTTAAAATAAACTAAGGAGTGAATAAAGCAATAAACACATACGTTTAAAACAAGTATTGTGAACAAACAATGGACCAGGTATCATGTACTTCTTAATAGATTTCACTCCCTGACTAAATGATTGTGCTCTTTATCCCTCACAGAACCTAGCACAATGCCTGCAGAAGGAAAGTACTAAATAATCATGCCAAATGATGTACAGTGATTAATAGTATCACAAATAGCTTTCAAAGGCTTGTTATTTTATTATTTACTTATTTGTTTTTTGTTTGTTTGTTTATGGCAGTACTGGGTTTGAATTCAGTCTCAAGAGCTCTGCCACTTATACAACAATCAGCCCTTTTTGCTTTAGTTAGTTTTGGATAGGGTCTCATGCTTTTGCAGGCCTCAGGCCACAATCCTCTTACCTCTGCCTCCCAAATAGCTGGGATTATAGGCCTGAACCACCATACCTGGCTTGGTTTTTTTTTTTTAATTGGGTCTCAATTAATTCCCCCTCCCCCAGGCTGGCCTTTAACCATGATCCTCCTATCTCTGCCTCCTAAGTACTTGGGATTACAAGTGTATGGCCCATGTCTAACCTAAGGATTTGTTATTTTCTTTTATTCACTTATCCTGATATTCATGGCCTAACCAACCTATGTATTTATTTTGTCTATTTCCATCCAAACTTTTATCTGATCATTACTCCTTCCTTACTTCTGGTAAGATTCTTTTGGGTAACTGTACACTCCCCACACAGCAATATGAGGTACTGTCAGTCATAAGAGTCCAAGCTAAAATGGCCACCCTATCAGTGCTACACAACACCAAGAGAGTGTGCATGTGATTAGATCAAGCCAATCTGAGTTGTTCCCTGGAAATTCCAAACTGAAGTTTATATGGCAGAGTCCTTCTGATATGCTGACAAAGCAAGAAGAAATGGATTTCCAGCCTTGCAGCAAAAAGTTTGAGAATGAAGCTGAGTAAAAAAAAAGAAATAAAGTAGAGAGGGAAAGAAGGATCCTAACAGTGCCTCAGTTCCACAGCAGGTTTTTCTGCCCTTCTGAAAGTCTGGTTTCATTTGACCTCAGCAAAACTGAGTTAGAACTCTTTCACTTGTATCAGAAACACCCGTACCTAACGCAATGTTATTTTGGTGAAGCAGTGAACCTTCCTTAGATCATATTTAAAATTACATGTGTAATTATGATTCAAGGGAGGATCCTTAGCATTCAATAACTTCCAAAAAGATGCTTAACAAAAATGAGGGAGAAGAAAGAAAAGAGAAAAATTAACAACTGAATATATATGTAAAGCCAGGCAACAATGGCTCATGCCTGTAATCCTAGCTGAGTTCTATGAGGTACTCAAGTAAATTAACTAAATTCAAGGACAGTGTTGTGGGAACCCTGATTCCCAGCCAGTTGAAAAGAAGCACGGGTTAAAAACAACTGGGTCTGCAACTGGCACCTAAAGGAGGGGCAGTCTTGAGGACTCTGCCCTATCTGAATCTATCACAGGTAGACAGCATCTGAACTGAATGGGATTAGAGGACACCCAGCTGGTGTCTACCGCCGAAGAATGCTTATTTGCTGGGAAGGTGAAGTCCCCATACCTTTTATTTAAATCTTTTTTCTGGTGGTACTGGGGTTTAAAAGAGAAATTCCCGACCTTTTGAGATCACAGAAGTCCTGTGCTGACTGTGGTATGGGAACAAAGGAAAATAACACACTTTATTCTTCTGACATGACCTCACTCTTTGTTTCTGGTGCTGGGGACTGAGGCTGAAGCCTCATGAACACTAAGCGCGCACTCTACCATTAAGCTATGTCCCCAGCCGACACAATTGCATTCACTTATTGATTTGTGTGTTTGTTTACTTATTTATTTTAGCAGTCCATCGCCTTAACCACTCAGGCACCTCGTCACATGGTTTATTTATTTTAGAGTCTCCCTAATGCTGCCGAGGTTGCCCTCAAACTCCTGGGCTCAAGAGATCCTTCTATCTAAGCTTCCAGGTACATGGGACTATAGGTGTGTGCCACCGTGCCTGGCCACAATCCCAATATTTAAGCTTCCAATTAATGAAAATTTTAGCAAAGATGATAGGACAGAATATAAATGAAAACAAAATCACTTACCTTCATTCTCTACATCATCATTTATAAGTCCCCCCAGCCACACCTTCCAGTCCTCATCATCAGCTGTATTGGGGTCATACATGTCTGGGGTGATATCTGGAGCTTGAAGTTCTGCCTCTAATTGGCCCAGGGGAACATCTTTCAGGGGCATCTTAGACCGGGTTCGGAATGCGATGAGACTGCTGTCCATGGGCTAGCAAATGGAAAAGGGAAAAGAAGTCACTATGTGAATAATTCTTCCAGATTCTCCAAACTGCACCTTCTCCTTTGTGCTGCTCTTCCCAGCTTAAGCCACAGCTCTCTTCTATAACCAATTTGGGTTAATTATTTGTTTGTCTCAAAAATTTTTAAGAAAAATCACATTAGTCTGAAAACAACATTTCAAGAACATCTGTAACAGCTCTATTGAAATATATAATTTATCTAGGCTGGAGGAGTGGCTAAAGTGGAACAGTTACTGCCTAGCAAGCCACAGGCCCTGAGTTCAAACCCCAAAACCACTCAAAAAAAAAAATTATAGGCCATAAAGCATATAATTGAGTTCAAATGCCACTACCACCGAAAAAAAACAGGGGAGGAGGGGGGAACAAATAATTTAATGGACTTTAGTGTATTCATAATATTATGCAAACATCAGCACAAATTCCAAAACAGTTTTATCAATCCAAAAAGAAAATGCAGGCCCATGGACTTTCCTTCCCTCCTCCTCCCAATTCCTGCTAACCAGTAACCTACATTCTGTCTTTTTTGATTTCCTTTATACTAAAATTTCATATAAATGAAATCACTGCTTTCACTTAGCATAATGTGTTCAAAGTTCATCCTTGAGCCAGACACTGGTGGCTCTCGCCTGTAATCCTAGCTACTTAGGAGGCACAGATCAGGAGGATCGAAGTTTGAAGCCAGCACAGGCAAAGTAGTTCACAAGACTCTAAAAAAAAACGCTTCACAAAAAAGCGCTGGTGGAGTGGCTCAAGGTGTAAGCCCTGAGTTCAAACCTCAGTACTGCAAAAAAAAAAGTTCATCTTTGTACCATGTATCAGTAATTTCTTTTATTCCCAATAACATTCCATTGTATGGATATACCACATTTTGCTTACCCATTAGCTGATGGACATTTGTGTTTCTACATAGGGACTACTGAGAATACTGCTATTAAAAACATTTATTTTCGGTTCTCTTGGAGTAAAATTTTTGAGTCATATGATAACTGTTTAACTTTTTTTTTTTTGCAAGGATTTATTTTAGTATAACAAGATAAAGTATAGACAGGGAGCAGGGGAGGGAGGAAAAGAGAGAGAAACATTTCCTGTTCCCCCACTCAGGAAATGGGAGCAAAGACTACTCTGTTTAACCTTTTTAGAGGCGGTACTGAGTTATAAACTCAGGGCTTTGGATTTAGGAAGGCACTCTACCACTTTGAAGTACACTCCCAGCCCTTTTTGCTTTAGATATTTTTCAAATAGGGTCTTGCATTTATTCCCAAGTTGACCTGGACCTCAATCTTCCTATTTAAGCACCTCAAGTAGCTGGGATGACAGGTATGCACCATTGGGCCCAGCTTTTATTGGTTGAGACAAGAGTCTTGCAAAGTTTTTACCCAGGCTAGGCTAGAACCACAATCATCCCAATATCTGCTTCCCAAGTAACTAGGATTACAGGTGTGAGCCACCATACCCAACTATGTTTAACTTTTTGAAAAACTGTCAAACTGTTTTCCAAAATACTTGTACCATTTTATAGTCCCACCAGCAGTGTAGAGGGTTCCACGTTTTTCCACAAGCTTTCCAACACTGTTATCCATATTTTTTATTAGAGCGAAGCTAGTGAAGGCTAAGTGGTAGGCTGTTTCTTTGTTTCTGTTTTTATTTTTTGCAATGTAGAGACATTACTGATGCTAGGTAAGGTATACCTCAGGGCAGTATAGTTTTGGTTTGTATGTCTCTAATGACTAATGTTGACTATCTTTTCATATGCTTCTTGGCCATTCATTTATCTTCCCTAGAGACATGTCTATTCATATCCCTTGCCCATTGTAGAATTAAGTTGTCTTTTTATTTTTGAATTGTAAGAGATCTTTACATAATATAATAATAAGCTTACCACAAATGTAATCTCTCATTCTGTATGTTGTCTTCACATTCTGTTTGTTTGTTTGTTTGTAAACAGCCTTTCTGTGTAACCCAGGCTGGCCTCAAACTTGTAATCCTCTTGACTCAGCCTCTCAAGGACCTAGCTGTGTTCACATTTGTGAAGCACAAAAGTTTTTAGTTTTTATGAGGTCTAATATATCTGCTTTTATTTTTTTTATTTTATTTTTTATTTATTTATTTATTTTGCAGTACTGGGGCTTGAACTCAGGGCCTACACCTTGTGCCACTCCACCAGCCCTTTTTAGTGATGGGTGTTTTCAAGATAAGACCTGCTAGCTTCAAACCTCGATCCTCCTAATCTCTGCCTCCTGAGTAGCTAGGATTACAGGTGTGAGCCAATGGCACCCAGCTGCTTTTATCTTTTGTGGTTTTATGTTTTTGGTATTATATCTAAGACTCTATTGCCTGATTAAAGGTCACAGAGTTTGACTCCGATGTTTGCTTCTACAAGGTATATAGTTTTAGCTCTTACATTTAGACTGACAATTTGAGTTAATTTTTAACTCATACCACATGAGGTCCATTTTCATTCTTCTGTAATACAGACTTCAGGGGTCCTAGCACAATCTGTTGAAAAGACTATTTTTTCCCACTAGCTGGTCTTTGCATACTTAACCATAAATGAAAAGGTTTATTTCTGACCTCTAAATTCTGTTCCACTGATCTGTGTGTCTATCCTTACGCCAGAAACAGAATTTCATGATTACTGTAACTTTATAGTTAATGGGGTGTGTGTGTGTGTTTTCCTTTTGTTTGTTTATTGTTTTATTTGTTGTGGATTTTCTTTGTTTTCTGTTTTTGTTACTAGGGTTTGAACTCAGGGCCTCAACCAAGCACACTTGAGCCATGCCCCAAGTTCTTTTGCTTTTAGCTTATTTTTCATAGTCTCACTTTTGGCCTGGGCTGGCCTTGAGCCTCTGCCTCCTGAGTAGCTGGGATTACAGACATGTACCACTATGCCCAGCTTCTTTTATTTGTTTGTTTGTTTTGAGATAGGGTCTTGCTATTGAGTCCAGGCTACCACACCAAGCTCTATAATAAGTTTTGAAATTAGAAAGTGTAAGACCTCCACCTTTGTTCTTTTTCAAGATTTTTTGGGTTATTCTAGGTCCCTTGCTTTCCATAAAAATTTTAGGATTAATTTATCAATTTCTGCAAAAATGGCAGATGGGATTAGGACAGGGATTGCATTGAATATATACATCAATTTGGAAAGCTATTCTTAAACTACTGCAACAATCTCTTAGTATGTTTCCATTTATTTTCTTTTTTTGTTTTGTTTCATTTTGTTTTGTTTTGGTGGGACTGAGATTTGAACTCAGGGCTTTATGCGTGCAAAGCAAGCACTCTACTACTTGAGCTACATCTCCAGTCCATTTTTCACTGGTTATTTTGGAGATGGAATCTCGAGGACTATTTGCTTGGGGGCTGGCCTCAAATCAAGAGCCTCTCAATCTCAGCCTCCCAAATAGCTAGGAGTATAGGCATGAGCCACCAGCATCTAGCTCCATTTACTCTCTTACTGTTCCTAAAAGAGAAAAAAATTATTGAATCCTGATTTTGGTAATTACACTGTGGTAACAGAAAAGGATCTCATTTTAAAGAAATAAACACGAAAGCGTTCAAGGGTAAAAGGACATCATTATTACAATATTCTCTAAAATGATTTTTTTAAGTGAGTTTGGAGAGAGAAGAAGAGAATTATAAAGCAATTGTCATAAAAAGTTAATATCTGGACAATCTAGGTGAAGGTTGGTCATACTCCAAATTTTAAAATGTTCTTATCACAATTTATTCATTCCTTACAAAATGCTATTGTCACTTAAGATAAAATAGCACAAACCTTATAGAGCATCGAAAACAATTTCATCGGGGAGGGGACTGAGGGGGAGAGATGATGGGGGCAATGTAACTAATGTATAATATAACTCTAATCTGAATTGTCACTATGAATCCCCCCTGTTTAATGAATATACCCTAATAAAAAATATATAAAATTTAAAAAGAAATTTCAGAAGTCTTACTATATAAGAATTTAAGCCTGGTGCCAGTGGCTCATGCCTGCAATGTAGCTACTTGGGAGGATGAGATGGGGAGGATTGAGGTTCAAAGTCCGCTGGAACAAATAGTTCTTGAGATCCCCACCCCCAAAATAACCAGAGCAAAATGGACTAGAGGTGCGGCTCACACATAGCAAGCATGAAGCCCTGAATGTTCAAACTCCAATCCCAAAAAAAAAATAATAATAATTTAATACCTTTCTTGCTCTTTCTCTCTCTCTCCCTCTCTCTCTCTCTCTCTCTCTCCCTCCCTCTTCTCAACATGAGCAACAACTAAATTACCACCTTTTATTTTCTCAAGGATTTAGAGCTATGATATTCACCTGGAAAGAATCCATGCAGACAGGACTAGAAGCCAGCTCCTCATCTACTGCATGTAGCTTCTCCATGAAAGTACTGTCCTTGGTCTGTTTGGGCTTTGGAGGGGGTGGAGGTCCCATGGGCACGACCTCAGCGCTGATGTGCCTGATGGCAGGTGTGGTGACTTTCTCAGCCTGGGTAAAAGAGCCAACTGCGTTAAGGAAGAAAGAAAGAAGGAGGAGAGGGGGAAGGAGGAAGAGAGGAAGGAAGGGAAGAAAGACATGGGTCTTCCACATGCTACTGACCTTTTTCTTCTTAGAAGTACATGAAAACACTGTCGAGTACATAGATCTAACTAGGTTACATACTCTTTCTAGTGAAGTCAACAGAATGCTACTTAGGTTACCAAAAAGTAAGAAATCTAATAAAAATAGCTTTAAAGACAATATTAGAAAACATGGATGAGACAATAGAAGGGCAGGAAACAAGAAACTCCAATAGTTGCACATTTTTGGTGCCTTAATAAGAACTCAGAAAAGTTCTTCATATCACAAGGTTCCAGTTTTCCATTAACTATTCATTAATCCAAGGGACTTTGGAAAAGGGTGATAGTCCAGAATCACCACAAATAAATCATCTACTTATATGGGTAAAATCTGTTTATATATTTATGTCTAATTTATCTTTTTTCTATGATGCTGGTTTACCTCTGATAGTATTGCACTCTCCTCATCTGTTTCAGTCATCTCAGAAGACTGTCTCAATCTGGATTTCTTTGCCCCACGTGGAGACGAAGCCGTGCTTTCAACATCACTTTCCAATAAACTCTATAAAAAAAATCCAGTTCACTTTTACATATGTGCCTTGCTTGAATCCAGAGTGTGAAGTATCTCAAGAAAATAAATCACAAAATACCAATCAGTCAGAAAAAAGAGAAAATAAAACATAAATGACTTAATATCCTAAAGGAGGGAAGGGGACAGGGATTAGACTAATACCTTCATCTGAATTAGAAATTATGAAAGTATAAGGCATTCATTGGGCTGCAGAGTGTACCTCAAGTGGTAGAGCACCTGCCAAGCAAGTGTGAGGCCCTGGGATCAATCCCCAATGCCACAAAAAGAAGAAAGAAAGAAAGAAAGAAAGGAAAGGAAAGGAAAGGGAAGGGAGGGAAGGGAAGGGAGGAAGGGAGGGAGGAAGGAAGGAAGGAGGGAGGGAGGAAGGAAGGAAGGAAGGAAGGAAGGAAGGAAGGAAGGAAGGGAAGAAAGAAAGAATAAGGCATTGGTTTAAAATCCTAATACAAACATATTAACACTTTGATAAAAATGAACAAACTATGGTTATAAGCAAAGGTCTGCATTGCTTATAAGCACATGCTGAACAAAAAGATAATACTAAACAAAAACAACAGGCAGGAAGAAAAGAACACACACACTATGAGTCCATTCATATAAAGCTCGTAAATAGCAAACACTGAACTATAGTGTATACAGGTGCACATTTAGGTGATGGAACTATAAAGAAATACAATCTGCTGGGGAGGCGGCTCAGTGATAGAGCACTTGCCTAGCAAAAACAAGGCCCGGGTTCAATCCCCAGCACTAAAAAAGTGTATATTTTATTTTATACACATTTCTCTATTATATGTGTTACACTTCATCATAAAAATTTAAAAATTGAGGGAGGATGAAGAAAAAAAAAAGTCTCAGCAAAAAATTGGTTAGAAGGCTGGAGTGTGGCCAGCCTGCCTAGCAAGCGCTGCCTAGCAAGCACAAGGCTCTGAGTTCAAACCCCAGTACCACAAAAAAAAAAAAAAAAAAAAATTAGAAGAAAGACCTCAATCCTCTCCATAGAACAAGTGAAAATACCAAGGAACGCAAGTATACCTTGTCTTGTTAAGCCAAATTTTTTTCTTTATTACCGATAAATACCAACTGACCTCTTCAGCAGTCTCATCTTCCTCTTCTTCATCTGGCTGGTATTCTTCATCTGAGGAATCGTCTTCTTCAAGTTGGATGTCCACAAACTGTGGAGGCTGCATTAGGTCAACGAGAAAGAAATGGAGTCTGGCTGGGGGAAGAGCTCAGTGATGGAGTGCATGACAGCCATGCACAAGGCCCTGGCTCCCATCCCCACCACGAAAATAAAAAAAGGAAAGGAAAGAAAATTGAAGCACAAATCATATGTGTCTGGAAAGTAAGGGTAAGAAAGCAAGATAGAAAAAAAAAAAACATCCTAAGAGTATAATGTACAGTTAGAGCAAACACCAAGTTCAATGATTCTGTGAGATGCAAACTAAAGAGTAATGGAATAGAAAAAAACAAAGCTGAAATTAAAATAAACAGTTTAAAAAGTTACAAATAGAAGAAAAAGACTTGGGTTTTAAAACTTATGAAGTCTTCCAGGGGAAGGACCGCAATTATCTCTTCCAAGCTTACCTTAATTTCATTGGCCTTCTTAATTGGTGAGATATTCCAGGTTGGGATAACCTACCAAAAAGAATATAAATAATTAACTGAAAATGACTTTTTCATTTTTATTTCCCCTTTAACTCACAAAAACCCATCTGCCTAACAAGTAGCTACAGTGATCTATAGGTGTTGAATATATACTTTCAAATATTTGTCAAAGCTAACAAAAAAAGAAAGAAGAATCTATTTCTGTCATTAGCATTTCTACTTCAAACCTAGTAAGATTCACTTTTATCTGTAAATGGAGGACAAAAATATCTATCTTGCCTACTTTCTATTACAGTTCAGGTTTACACGGAAAAATGGATATAAAAACGATCTGTAAACTACAAAACTACACAAACCTAACATGATATAGGTTACAGGAGTCTTTTGACATCATTTTTTCATTGCTTGTTGTTTTTTGCTTTTTGTTATGTAGCCCCAGGCTGATCTGGAACTTGCTATGTAGCCCAGGTTAGCATTGAGCTGGCAATCTTCCTGCTCAGTGTCCAGAATGCTGGGATTATAGATGTGTACCACCACGCTGGCAGTACTTTTCTTTTTTTTGGTGGAACTGGGGTTTGAACTCAGAGCCTTATGCTTACTAGAAAGGCACTCTACCGCTTCAGTCACTCCGCCAACCCTAGCAATACTTTCCTTAATGAATTACAGAACTTCACCATCAGCACACCTCCAAAAAGCCAACCACAAAAAGCTCCACCGAAGTATTAATGGGTAAAAATGTCATGCTGTCCACACTTATTTTCAAACAGTAAGGACACATAATAAATACACAGAGCCATAAAGTAAATACAGCAAAATGTTACTCTTGGAATCTAGATTGACTGTAATATTCTTTCAACATTTTGTATGTTTTGGTTTTGGTTTGCAGTGGTTTGGTTTTTGTTTGTTGAAACAGGGTCTTGCTATATAGCCCAGGTTGGCCTGAAACTCAAAATTCTTCTTCCTCAACCTTCCAAATGCTGAAATCACAGGAATGCTCCAGAGCTGGAAGTGTGGCTCAAGCTGTAGAGCACCTGCCTTACAAGTGCAAAGCTCTGGTTCTAACCCCAGCACCATCAAAACAAAACAATGGCCGGGTGCTGGTGGCTCATGCCTATAATCCTAGCAACTCAGGAGACACAGATTAAGAGGATCACAGTTAGAAGCCAGCCTGAGCAAATAGTTCACGAGACCCTATCTCGAAAACACCCTACACAGAAAAAGGGCTGGTGGAGTGGCTCAAGGTGTAGGCTCTGAGTTCAAGCCCCAGTACTGCCAAAAAAAGAAAAAAAAAAAAAACCCACATCCAGCACTGACAATCTTCATAAAATTGTTAGAGAGGACTATCAGAGTGCCTCAAGTAGTAGAGAACCTGATTAGCAATCAAGAGGCCCTAAGTTTGAACCCCAGTACCACAAAGAAAAGAAAAAAATAAAGAAAAACGGTTTGTTTTGTTTTGCTTTGCTTTGTTATTTGTTTGTGGTGCTACAGATCAAACCCAGAAAGGAAAATTTTTTTGCAAAGAACTCTTAAGTCAATGTGGTGGTTCACATCTACAATCCTAGCTACTTGGGAGACAGAGATTAGGAGGACTGCAGTTTAAGGCCAGCCAGGCAAGAAGTTAGTGAAATTCCCTATCAGTCAATAAAGGTGGGCATGGTGGCACGGCGCCTGTCATCTATTCAGTAGGTATAAATAAGAGCAGTCCAGGCAGGCCTGGGCAAAAAAAAAAAAACCCACTCAAGATCCTATTTGAAAATAAGTGAAGCTAAAAAGGCTAGGGCATGGCTCAAATGGTAGAGTGCTTATCTAAGTATGAGGTTCCAAGTTTAAAACCCTAGTACCTCCAAAAACAAAAACAAAAGACTTTAAAAAGCTCTTAACTGGGTGTGGTGGCACATGCCTGAAATCCTAGCACTTGGGCACTTGGGAGGCTGAGGCAGAAGGACTGGGGATTCGACACCAGCCTGGGCAACAAAGCGAGACCCCGTATCAAAAACCAAAAATAAAAACAAAACAAGAGCTCTTAGATACTGCCAATTAAAATGCCACATAAGGTATATAATTTCTTGCCCATTAAATTGTGATCCAACCAAAATCTTATTTAAAAAAGAAACAAGTGGCAACTAGGTTCTGTCTCTACAAAGCCTTAGGTCTCACATCTCCTGCGTCCTGCCATGCTCTGACCATGTGTCTAGCTCTGTGCAGCTGGAACCACTATGGGGTACAGGGTATGATGCGATTCAGGTCCAGTCACCTTTCTATGTCTGTTTTTGAACCAATCAGTTTCCCTACTGCCAAACCCAACCAGAGGGCAAACCAGCACTTAGTTGGACTTAGTCTATCAAGAATCAAGAGAGCCGGGCACTGATGGCTCATGCCTATGATCCTAGCAACTCAGGAGGATCGTAGTTGGAGGCCAGCCCAGGCAAACAGTTCACAAGACCCTATCTCGAAAAACTCCATCACAAAAAAAAAAGAGCTGGTGAAGTGGCTCAGGGTGTAGGCCCTGAGTTCAAGCCCCAGCACTGCCACAAAAAAAGAAAAGAAACCTTGGACTGGAGGTGTGGCTAAGAGGTAGAGCACTGGCTTTGCAAGGGCAAAGCCATGAGTTCAAACCCCAGTCCCACCAAAAAAAAAAAAAAGAATCAAGAGACCTGGACTCTGGATCCTTGCCTATCACGTAAATTAGCCTTATTGCCCAACTTCTCCACACTGACACGCATGGTCAACCAAGGCAACCAGACCATGATTCAATCTCCTCTTTAGTTGTTTTTCAAATCAAATATGGAATCGATATTCATTTTACTCTGTGTCATGGAGACTACAGGGAACTTTGAGCTCATTGCTTGCTGTCATCATAGCTACCACACGTTCACTGGTGTCTACTTCCTGGAGAAAGATGAAATTTCAATTTATGTAAGAAGGGTTAGTCAATTAAACAACAACAGTGATATGACTGCCAAAACAAAACCTAATGCGACTTTCGTCTGCATTAAGAGAAACAGTATCTGAAACATAGAGGGAATTTCTAATTTTCACCTGTATTAGTTTGGATTTAGGCATATTTTCAAAGGGCTATGGACAAACTGGACACATTCAACATTCAAAAGAAAAGAATCAGATTAGTGAGGGTACTCAAAGCCTTGACATACAAGGTAAAACAAGAAACGGGGGCCAAGTGTAGAAGCACACACCCATAATCCAGCTTTAAGAGAGGCGGATAGGAGGATCGAAATTCAAAGACAGTCCATGCAAAAAAAAAAAAGAAAAAAAAATGGCACGGAGACCCAATCTAAATAACAAGTGGGGAATGGTGACATATACCCAATAACCCCAGCTACATGGGAGGCAGTAGCAGGAGGATCATGTCCAAGGCCAGTCTGGAGAAGAATGTGAGACCCTATCTGAAAAATAGCTCAAATAAAAAAAAGGGCCGGGGCATGGCTCAAGTGGTAGAGCACTTGTCTAGCAAGCATAAGACCTTTAGTTCAAACTCTAGTACTGCCAACAAAAAAAAAAGAAAGAGGGAGGGAGGGAGGGACAAAAGAAGGGAGGGAGGGAGGGAGGGAGAGAGGGAGGAAGGAAGGAAGGAAGGAAGGAAGGAAGGAAGAGGAAGGAAGGAAGGAAGGAAGGAAACAAATTGGGGGACATTTAGCAAGAAAAGGATGTAAGAACAACTGGTTTTATTCAACTAAAGGAAAGACCATGGGACTCCAAGGAACAGAACTAGGACAAACAAAAACTACCATATGTATTTTGGGCTCAGAAGGCAAATTTTCATTACTACCAGAGATACAATGGATTCCCTCAGGACTGTCACCTGCCTGTCACAGAAGCAAGCACAAACTGGACAAATGCTTATTAAGAATTACAGCCTGGTTCCAAGCCTTAAAGAGCTTAATGGACCAGACTATGTCAGAAGTTATTAAGTGGTTCTCATGTTTTAGTGTGCAAAAGAATGAACTAACGTATTTTCAACAATACATATTCCAGTCCTGCCTGTGGTGGGCCCAAGAATATGCACTTTAATAAACACTCATGAGGGACCCTGTACAAAGGTGATTTTAATAAAACTGGTCCCTGAAACATACTTTGAAAATACAACTGTAAACACTTTGCCTCATAGGTTACAACATGAATAGAAAAACTGGTCTCATTCATTGCTTACAAATGGTTATCCATCTAAGCACTCCAAAAAGCAATACTTCTGTATCAACCAAAATAAAATAAACAATAATGACTTCATATATTCTGTCTCTACTTGTCTTTTGCAATTTTTTTTTTTTTTCTGAGACAGGGTCTTGTTAGTAGTCCAGGCTGGCCTCAAGATCCTAATCTTCCTGCTTAAGCCTCCAGAATGTTGGGATTACGGACATAGGTATATGTCCATCCAGGGTCACGCCCAAGCTAGGTCAGTGCTGTACAACTCAGCTACGCCACCAGCCTACAAATAATTCTTTAAAGAAGCAATGCAAGCTAAAAGTATTCCTATATTTCTTCCTTATAAATAACCTAGAATTAGATCCTATTTGCCAAGTTAAACAAAGAAAAATCACAAAACATTTACCACTCCTTTCTCCACCACTTCCTTCAATTTAGAGCGTGTCATTTTAGGTTCCTAAGGAGGGAGAAATAAGAAGAAAATAGTCAATAAAAATCACAATGTGATTGTTGGGAATTGAGAGGCTAACTTTTCCCCCCAGCTATCAAAACTGTTTATAAGCTCCCAAGTGACCACCAACACTTAGCCAGTTTACAAATAACTCCATTCCATGACATTGAAAGAGTAACAACTACTCACAAACATTGGCATGTCTTCTGTCTCACTGATGGCTGCTTTCATCATAGCTACCACATGTTCGTTTGTGATTACTTCCTGGAGAAAGATGAAATTTCACTTTATGCCAAAGGGCATGTCATCTAGACAGTACTCATCTCTATGCAACTGTGCTAGACCTACGTGGGGGATAAAGGAAAACTATATCCTCAAACAGCTTCAAAATGGGTAAAGCAAGGTAAGGACACTAAGAAGGCAGAAGCCAGTTTTAGACAGAACCACACAGTCTGAAACAATGTAGCAGCAAATTTTATTATGTGCTACTAGGAAGAGAAAAGAGACAGAGAGAGAGAGAGAGAGAGAACTTGCTCCTGAGATAACTAACTATAGGCCTAAAATAAAGAATAACAAACAGCAAAGGTTTTGCAAAGAGCTGTGCTGCTATGTATCAAGAACTCTGTTTACATATCTGCAAAGTACTATCAACTGTTAAATGGACTTTGCAGACGGATCATCCCTCAAGAATAAATCCACTATAAGCATTATCATCTTCAAAACTGCTAGATAATCAAATCAGCGGAAAGAAGTTCACAAATAAGTTCTTCCTTAACGTGTTCAAATTTCAAACTTGTGCCTGGTGCAAAGAGAAAGCCATCTTGAGATATAAAATGTTTGTCTTGGGTAACCCACAAAATTGGTAATTCATATATCAAGAGTCAAACATTTTCTGGGTATTTTTATTTGCTTCCACGGAAGATTTCCATTCCAATCCCACGGCCGCCCCAGCCTTACGTACGTGAAGGATGTTTCTCACATTGACCGCTGTCAGGTTGTGCTGCTTGGCACCGTCCTCTAAGGTACGATCAAGCATGTCATCCAGTTTCAGGTCACATGCCAAGGTCCCTGGCTCTTGACCCCTTCCATCTCTTTTCCTCTTGGTACCCTTTTTTGTTTTTCTCCTTTTCTCACTTTCTTTGTTGTCTTGCTCTTCTGCAAATAAATCAAAAGCATCATCAGAGGCCAGGCACCGGTGCACGCCACTAATCCTAGCTACTCAGGAGGCACAGATCAAGAAGATTGCAGTTCAAAGCCAGCCCAGGCAAAGTGTTTGAGAGACCCTATCTGGAAAAATTCCATCACAAAAAAGGACTGGTGGAGTGGCTCAAGGTGTAGGTCCTGAGTTCAAACCCCAGTACCAAAAAAAAAAAAAAAAAAAAAGAAATCACCAGAATCTCCAAATAGATCTGTAGTAGAATAAAAATAACATTCACTGAATTTTTATTTTATGTCAGACACTCTTCTATGCACTTTATAGCTATTAATTTATGTATTCCTAGAAGTAGCAACCCAATTTGGTAGAGACAATTATTTTTACCACTGTAAGGAGGAGGAAACCAAAGTAGACAGATTAAGAAAATTTCCCAAGATCTAGTAAGTAGCAATATGTGTTTTTTTATTGTCACTGTTTGTTTGTTTGCATTCTGTGTTTTGAAACAAGGTCTCGCTATGTAGCCCAGACTGACCTCAAACTTGTGATCCTCCTGCCTCAGTCTCCAGAGTGATGTAATTACAAGCATGAGCCACCACATCTGGTCAGAGTCATATTTTGAAGCTAACCAATCTAACTAAAACATGTGGAGTGGAAATTAACATTCTATACTGCCCAGATAATATATCAGAAACCCTCAACTTGTATCCCAATTCCACAACCTTACTGGATTACCTTGATAATAGTTTCAATGTTTTCTTTTGAAAAATATGAATATCTGTATTTAGTCGTGAAGACTAAATGAAATAATATTTAACAAAATGGCTTTTTCTTGTTTTGTTTTGGCAGTACTGGGGTTTGAACTCAGGGCCTCACACTTGTGAGGCAAGTATCTACCACTTGAGCCACTCCTCCAGTCCTATCAAAGTGTTTCTAACAAATGACACATTACACAGATATAATTTTTATTATTATTATTATATTACAAAAAGAAAAGGGGCTTGTGGAGTGGCTCAAGTGGTAGAGCACTTTGCCTAGCAAGCCGTGAGGTACGGAGTTCAAACCTGAGTACCACAAAGAAATAAATAAAATAAAAAGAAAAGGAATAAACCAATTTTGAAAAGCCCCCTCTCAGAACTGGGAGTGTTTGTACATACCTGTAATCCCAGTGCTCAGGAGGCTGAGGCAAGAGGATCTCGAGATCAAGGGCAGTCTAAGGCTACCTGGTAAGTTCAAGTCAAGCCTGGGTTACATGGCAAGACCTTGTCTCAAAAAAAAAGATAAGCCAAGCATGGTGGTATAACAACTGTAATCTTAGCTACTCGGGAGGCAAGGATCAGAAGGATCAAGGTTCAAGGCCAGCCCAGGCAAAAAGCTTAAGAGAGCCTCATCTCAACCAATAAAAGGTGGGCATGGTGGTGCATCCCTGTCAGGCCGGTTATGCAGAATTCATAAGTATGAGTGATCAAAGTCTAGGTCAGCCCTCGCATAAATGTGAGACCCTACCTCAAAAAAATAACCAAAGCAGGGCTTGAAGGTGTGGCTCAAGAGGTAGAATGCCTGACTAACAAACAGAAAACCCTGAGTTCAAACCCTAATACTGTCAAAAAAAGGGCTGTAGGCATGGCTCAGGTGGTGCAGCACCAACCTAACAACTGTGAGGCCTTGAGCTCAAATCCTGATACCAATAAATAAACTAATCAATTAATTAAAAATTTACTGGGAAGGAAGGCAGGCAGGCTACAGGGAAGGAGCACACATATGACCAGACAAAAGGAAGAACTTCTTGACTACTAGAAATTCTAGTAAGGCCTAGAACAAATTATCATGAAAACACCAAGACAAGTTCCCTATCTCTCTGGTACTCTGGTCCACTACTATTTGAAAACAAGGAGTTTGAGAAGATTGTAACACTAAGACAACCTTCTCACTGGGCACCTGTGCCTCACAACTGTAATCCTGGCTACCTGGGAGGCTGACATGGGGAAGATCGAGGCTCAAGACCATCCCAGGCAAATGCTTCATGAGATCCCAGAGCAAAATGCACTGGAGGTATGGCTCAAGCGGTAGGTAGAGTGTTTACTTTGCAAGCCCTGAGTGCAAACCCTATTCCCATCAATAAAAACAAACGAGTTAAATGGATAAAGAAAACAGAACATTCAAACAATAGAACATTAAACTTTTAATGTCACCCTCACTAGGTCTACATATCCTGGCTGGATGCATCCAGGTAGGATATAAGACTGGAATTTCTGTTTACCGGCGACAGCACTTTTGCCAAAATCTCTTCTCGCTTCATTTACCCTTTTCCTCATAAACCCCCAACTTCCCTCTTCACCACATCTCAATTTCCTCTCCTCTTTCTCCTGCCTTCTCTCTGGCATCCTTTCTCATGTGGCCAAACCAGGCCAGTTTTGGTTACAGCATCCACCTTTCCCTCCTCATCTCATTAGCACTTTAACCATAAGCTGGTCATTGCAGTAAAGGGTTTCTGACACCTGAGAATGTTTTGACTCGATTTTATACTCATACTCTATCCTATTGTAAGATACATGTCAACTGAAAAACTAGCTCAAGAAAACCAAATACAAACTTTTTTAAAAGCTACAAATTAAACTATTAATGTTATATTGTAAAACAAAACAAAACAAAACGTGTTATTAACTAAAATGATGAGAAAAATCAAGTTTTCTTTACAAAAATCAGATCTATAAAAATGTTTTTTAATTCATAGAAATGAGGGCCAAAAAAGGTATCTTACAATGAAAACACCTAAACTTCATAAAATTTTCCATAGATAGGTAATTGACCAAGAATTAAACTGTCCTTTAAAACACTGCTTTTCAAACTATCTGTGTCAAAGAACCAGTTTTGTTTTTGGTAAAAAACAAAACTGACTTATATTTTACAAAAAAATAGACTATAGTTTTACAAAAATAGTAAGAATGTATCAATAATGCTGAAATATTATAACATTTTTCTAAACTTTTACTATTTTCATTATTTTGCTTCAAACCTGTAAGAGTACCCAGACTACCACAAATCCTCACACCCCACTTTGAATAGCAATACTTTAAAATACTTACAAAACCAACAAACACAAAATTTTAAAAAGGACTTGGGTGGGCTGGCAGAGTGGCTCAAGCGGTAGAGTGCCTGCCTAGCAAGCCTAGCAAGTGTGAGACCCTGAGTTCAAACCCCAGTTCCACCAAAAAACAAAACAAAACAAAAACACCCTGGGGGAAAAAAAACAAACCAACCCAGTTCCACCAAAAAAAAAAAAAAAAAAGGACTTGTGGAATGACTCAGTGATGGAGTGCTTGCCTTAGCATACACAAGGCCCTAGGTTCAAGCCTAGCCTCAGCAGCACGCACACACACAAATTTAAAAACTTTAAATTATCCACCATAAAACATTTACTCTCAATAACAAATATAATGGTAGCTCACACCTATAATCTCAGCTAGGCAGAAATCAGGAGATCACAACTGTAGGCCATCTCAGGCACAAAGTTAGTGAGACCTCATCTCAAACCAACAAGTTGGGCATGATGATTCACACCTGTGATCCCAGCTACCAGGGAAGCCATAGACAGGAGGACCAAGGTCTGAGGCCAGCTGTAGGCAAAAGCTAGAGATCCTACCTGAGAGATAAATGACAGCAGGCCTGGGATGGAGCTCAGGGGTAAAATACCTGCCTAGCACCTGCCTGGCATTAACAAGCCCAGAATTCCATCCCCAGCAACAAAAAAGAAAAAAGACAAAAAAAAAAAAAAAAAAAATTTAATTAAAAAGTAAAAATAGGGCTGCAGAATGGCTCAAGCAGCAAGAGTGCCTGCCTAGCAAGAATAAGGCCTTGAGTTCAAACCCAGTGCTGCCAAAAAAAATTTAAATGAATGAATAAATAAATAAATAAAATAAAACAAAAAGGACTGGAGGCAATGGCTCAAGTGGTATAATGCCTGCCTAGCAAGTGCAAGGCAGGCCCTTAGTTCAAACCCCAATGTCACCAAATAAATAAATAAATGAATACATGAATGAATAATACACAGCTCAGCTGGGTATGATTGCCCAAGTCTGTAATCCCAGCACTGGGAAGGCTGAGGCAGGAAGATCATGAGTTGGAAGCCAGCCTGGGCTACATAGTGAAAAATAAATAAATAAATAAATAAATAAAAAGATTGCTAAATGTTTCTTCTTTTTGAGATAGGGTTCTACTAAGTAACCCAAGGCTGACCTGGAACTCATTATATATCCCAAGCTGGCCTGGGACTCATGATTTTCCTGCGTCAACCACCTGAGTGCTGGGATTGTAAGTGTGTATCACCATGCCAGGACCTGACAGAAATTTTATAGAATTAAAGAAAGATACCATTTACTCATAAAATTAGTAGATTCGACATTGTTAAAATGACAATTCTCCCAAATTGCTTCATGGATTCATTACTAATAAATATTCCAGCAAACATTTTTGGCAGAACTAAGGGTCTCATGCTTGCTAGGCAGGTGCTCTACCACTTAAGCCCTCCAGCAAGCATTTTTGCAGTTCTAAACTTTATATGGAAGCCAGGCATGGTGGTACACACCTGTTGTCCCACTGCTTAGGAGGCAGAGATGGGAGGATCACTTGAGCCCAGGGGTTGGAGGTCAGCCTAGGCAACACAGATAAGACCTCATCTCAAAAAGATAACATCAGATAAAATAAAATAAAATTTATATGGAAATACAAAGGACTAAAAGCCCAACAACTTTTTTTAGGTGCTGCAGATGAAACTCAGGGCCTTATGCATGCTACCAATGAGCTACTTCTGCACCCCAGGCTAACAACCTTGTAAAAAGACTCCGACTCCCTATTTCAATACGCACTATAAAATTGTAGTAATTAAGACTTGGGTAGTATTGGTGAAGGTACACAGATAAAGGAAATAGAAACAAATCCAGAAAAGACCCATACAAACGGCCACACCATTATTCAAAAGTGCAAAAGTCATTATTGAAGAATTTTTTTTTCAACAAACAGCGCTAAGGCGCTTAACCTCCACATGCAAACCAGAAGAATCTCAACCACAACTTAGCTCTTATACAAAATTAACAGCAACAAAAATAGCTGGGCACACGGGCACAATGCTCTAGTCCAAAATCCTCAAAGGCCGAGGCAGGAAGACCACCTGAGCCCAGGAATTTGAGGCCAGTCTGTGCAACACAGTAAGAATGCATCTCAAAGGAAAGAAAAAAATTAAAATGGGCCATACACCTAACTGTATTACAAAAACTACAGGCTGGGAGCATAAACTTAGAGGTAAAATGCATGCTTGGAGTGCATGAGGCCTTGAGTTCAATTCCCAGCACAATAAATAAATAAATAAGCAAACAAACAAATACTAGAAACATAAAAAAAAAAAAAATTTGTGGGCAAGTGGTAGAGCTCCAACCTGCGAGCAGACATGAGGCCTAGTTCAAACCCCAGCACCGCAAAAAAAAATAAAAAAAACTTTCTGAGCTTGGGGTTAAACGATGACACCAAAAGTACAAGGCATAAAAGAAAAACATAAAGCAGTTTCAAATAGTTAAATCTGAAACAATCTGAGCAAAGTAACAATGATATTATTGGACTACAATTCATACAATAAAAAAAAAACCTTGAGTCAATTCTTTATACATAAAAACTAAACTAGGTTTGGTGGTACATGCCTATAATCCCAGCACTCAGGAGACTAAGGCAGGAGGATCAAAAGTTTGAGGCCAGAGGCCAGGCACAGTGATTCACTCCTATAATCCCAGCTACTTGGGAAGTAGACAGGGAGGATCAGGATTCAAGACTAGCCAGACAAAAAACTATCAAGACCCCACCTCAGTAAATAAGCCAGAGTCATGGAGTGGCTCAAGTGGTAGAGTGCCTGCCTAGCAGTGTAAGGCTAAGTGAATTGGAGCCAGCCTGGGCTACACTGTAAGACCTTGAATGAATAAATAGGTAAATAAAAAAGTATAAATAAATAGGCTGGTGGGTTGGCTCAAGCCCTAGCGTACCTGCCCAGTGTACGGGAGGTCCAGAGCTCAAATTCCACGACTACCTAAAAAAAAAGATTAGCCCAGTGCCAGTAGCTCACACCTATAATCCTAGCTACTCAGGAGGCAGAAATCAGGAGGATTGCAGTTCAAAGCTAGCCCAGGCAAATAGAGCTGGTGGAGGGAGTGGCTCAAGATGTAGGCCCTGAGTTCAAACCCCAGTACTGCAAAAAAAAAAAAAAAAAAAGAGAAGTTAATTAACTATGTGCAACACAGTGCAGTATCCTGAGTACAATGCAGTTTCAAAATATCTCCTGAAAGGTATGCAGTAATTAACAGGGAGAAACCTGACAGACACCACCTTAATTAATCATGTGATCATGGTTAACCTCCCCATAATAAGACATATTGACACTAGGTTCCCCCCAATCAGATGCACTAAGAAGGAACCTAACTTCTGTGGTAGTCTTGCAAAAAATGCGTAACTGCAGCCTAATGTCAGTGGCTCATGCCTGTAATCCTAGCTACTTGGGAAACTGAGATCGAGAGGATCACAGTTCAAGGCCAGCCTGAGCAAACAGTTCTTCAGATCCCCATCTCCAAAATTAACCAGAGGAAAATGGACTGGAGGTATGGCTCAAGAAATAGAGAACCTGCTCTGCAATCCCAAAGCCCTGAGTGCAAACCCTAGTCTCAACATAAAAAACAAATAAATAAGAAATACGCCAGACACCAGTGGCTCACATCTGTAATCCCAGCTACTCAGTAGACAGAGATAAAGAGGATCAAGATTCAAAGCTAGCCTAGGCAAATAGCTTGCAAGACCCTATCACGAAAAAACACTTCACAGAAAAAGAGCTGGTGGAATGGCTCTAAGTTCAAGCCCCAGAACCAGGAAAAGAAAAAAAAAGCAGGGGAACAGATAAAGAAAACAGAATACAAACAGCAGAACATTAAACAGCAATGAAAATGAATAATCAACAATTGTATGGAACAATATGGATGAATTTCATAAATATAATATTAAGAAGAAAAAAGACAATCACAAAAAGTGAGTACTCCCAGAAGTCAGGAGGGTGCTTACCCATGGTGGGGGGTGGGTAACAGCTGAAAGGGAGGACAAGGTGGACTTCTAGGCAGATAACTCAGGATGTGGGCAATTGCTTGCTATAAAACTCGGCATTGCTTAGAATATATGCAGTTTTTTACATATTATACTAAATAGTTTGTTTTTTTAATTAAAAATACAAAGAAAGCCTACCCATTGTAATAAAGAGTCCACCATCCTCTACCTCTTCCTCAGAATGTTGAGCCAGAGTCTTGAGTGGCTTTTCTTGAGAAGCACAAACATCTGGCTGGGGTGATTTCCTAAGCTGGGCTTCTGGGTTTGCAGATTGGCTGCCTGGTGGCAGTAAAGTTATCTCCCCTCCACAATGCATTTGAGGTTTTCCTAGAAGAATCACAAATACTGCTAATTTGCCTACTCTCAATCATATGATTATAGAAATCAGCATCTTGTTATAAAGTCTTTTTTAGTTAGATAACTTCACTAATGAAGTACACTATACATACAGGCATTCCACTTTTTCTTTTCTTTTTTTCTGTTTATACTAGTACTGGGGTTTGATCTCAGGACTTTTTGCCTGTGAGGCAAGCACTCTACTACTTGAGCCAAACCTCTAGCCCTTCCCCTCTATTGAAGACAGGAGGATCCTAAGAAAAAGACTAAAATCAAAATTCAGATCCAAATTACCCATCTGTAAAGTCAGGGAGTTGAACTAGGTAACTGCTAAGGTCCTTCTAGTCTAATATGCTTTGGGGCTTTGCCTTTTTCCTAAAGAAAAATCAGATAATGGGGCTAGTGATTTAGACCAGTGGTGGAGTACTTGTCAAGCATTCTTGAGACCCTGGATTTAGCCCCAGCATTAAGGAAAAAGAAAAAGAAAAAAAAAAGAATGAATGAAAAAAATCAAATCAAAATGGGAGAGGAGTTCTGATGACAAAGGGACTTTTTCTTTTTTTTTGGTGGGACTGGGATTTGAACTCACAGCTTCACGCTTGTAAAGCCAGAATGCTACTGCTAGAGCCACACCTCCAGATCACTTTGCTCTGGCTATTTTGGAGATGGAGTCTCTCAAACTACTTGCCCAGGCTGGCCTTGAACCACAATCCTCCTGATCTCAGCTTCCCAAGTAGCTAAAATTACAGGTATACACCACCAGCACCTGACCAAAGGGACATTTTTTAATAGATGACCATTAACAAAACAGTTAATCAACTATAAATGATATACTAATAAAATGTCCCAACTGAGCCAGGTATGATGGCACACACCTATAACTCCAGCACTTGAGAGGCTGAGGCAGAAGGATCTCAAGTTCAAGGTCAACCATATCTCATAAGACAAACAAAAAAAAGGTCCTGAATCTGTAAATCAATTTCACACAGCAGAAGAGTATTTATCACTGTAAAATATAAATATATATTTCTACAATTCATTACGCAACTTTCTCACCTCAATTCTTCACAATGTTTTCCTTCAGTTTGGGTACGGTAGCATTAAAAAGGTACCATTCATGCACTATCAAAAGTAAACATTAGAAATCAAGTTGTCAGAGAAAAAAGAAATACATAGGTATTTCTTTTATATGCAAAATATCTCTGAAATATACACAAGGAATTACTAAAGAGTGATCTGAGAGTATAACTTAGAAACAAGAGGACAAGGTTAAAAAGTGCCTAATTTCTTACTGTGTATTCTCTGTATTCCTTTTTTTTTTTTAGTTTGAGACAGGGGCCCACTATTTTTTTGACAGAACTAGGGTTTGAACTCAGGGCCTCATCCTTGCTAGGCAGGCGCTCTTTCTGCTTGAGCCATTTTACCAGTCCCTAGAATCCCACTTTTTATTTTATTTATTTATTTTTTTTTTGCAGTACTGGGGCTTGAAATCAGGGCCTACACCTTGAGCCACTCCACCAGTCCTTTTCTGTGATGGTTTTTTTTTTTTTTTTTTTTTTTACTTTTTTTTTTTATTATTTTATTATTCATATGTGCATACAAGGCTTGGGTCATTTCTCCCCCCTGCCCCCACCCCCTCCCTTACCATGTGATGGGTTTTTTTGAGATAGGGTCTCTCAAACTATTTTCCCGGGTTGGAAAATAGTAGTTAGGATTACAGATGTGAGCTGCTGGAGCCTGGCTTAGGGTCCCACTACTTAGCCGAGGCTGGCCTGGAACATGCTCTGCATTCAAGGGTGATAACAAACCAATCTTCCCATCTCAGTCTCAATGCTGGGATTATAAAAGCATGTACCACAACACCCAGTACTTTCAGTAGTTCTTAATTTTTTTCCCTTTTATGTATATTTCCTAGTCCAATTTTTTTCTTCAAAAACAAACCAAGTTAAGGGTTGAAGGTGTGGCTCAAGTGGTAAAGCACCTGTCTAGCAAATGTGAGGCCCTGAGTTCAAAACCGATACAACAACAACAAAAAAAAAAGACCAAGTTATTTGTCACTGCGTTCAATTCAAAACATACAGTCTAAGGGCTCTATATAAAGAAAATGTTCCTTTTTTTTCTCTGCAACCTTTTTTCCTCTGACTCCATCACACTGGTTTTCAACTTAACTCCCTTCCCTAAAACCCTACCGTTCTTTGCCATTATAAATATGCTAAATGCTGAAAGAACTCAGAAAGATGCCAAGTAGAATGAGAAGGAAAAACTTTAAATCATCTCTAACTTGTACTGCCAAACTAAAAACTATAAATTAATAACATGAAAATAAATAGCTGAGATCTGCAGAAAACAATTACAAGGTGAAATCTGCCTAGACAAATCATTTTCAGGAAGCAAAAAAAGTCTAAGTAGAAATTAGGGTGGGGGCTAGGGATGTGACTCAGTGGTAGAGAGTATTCCTAGCGTACATGAGGTCCTGGGTTTAATGCCCAGTACTGAAAAAGAAAAGTAATGCCAGCTACTCAAGGGGACTGAGGCAGGCAGATCCCTTGAACCCAAGGAGTTTGGGGCCAGTCTGGGCAACAAAGCAAGAACCCAGGTGAAAAAGAGAAAGATTTAACCAGTAACACCTGCTGTCTAAAACACAGTTTAAGGAAATATCAATTGTAACAAAATGTTCTTACTTCAATAGCCTAGACTCTTTTCTTTTCTTTTTTCAACATTTCAACAATGAATATGGTACTGCTGCTTTCATAATCTGAAAACTAAAATGTAGCGGGTGCCAGTGGCTCAGCAATCCTGGCTACTTGGGAGGCTGAGATTAGGAGGATCCCAAGGGCTGGGACCTGCTCAGGGATAGAGTGCTTGCCTAGCATTTGCAAGATCCGGCACTGCAACTAATTAACAAACCCCAAAACACAAAGTTGCCCATAATCTTACTAGTCAGAACTATTAGTATATAGTGCATCCTCTTTTGTTATTTTCCTTTCAAGTAACATTTTCTTCTTTCTTTTTTTTTTTTGATGAGACCCAGGCCTTCTGCTCTACTGCTTGAGTCACACCTCCAGTTCGCACCTCCAGTTCACTTTGCTCTGGTCACTTTTTGGATGTGGGGGGTCTCGTGAACTATTTGTCCTGGATGTCCTTGAATTCACCATCCTCCTGCCTCTGCCTCCTGAGTGCTAAGATTATGAGAGTGCACCGATATACCCAACAGGGTGATTTTGGTTTTTTGTTTTTCAGTTTTTAGTTTCTCAATATTTTCCAAAAGGCACATAGATAATTTTCTTTTTTTTGTGGGACTGGGTTTTGAACTCAGGATTTCATACTTGCTAGTCAAGAGCTCTACTGCTTGAGCCATAAAAAAGTTTTTTGAGACATGTTGCCTAGACTAGTCCCAAATCAATTCACTTACTCAATTAGATGGAGAGTGACAGCACAGATAATCCCCAACAACAAATGTTTATTTATCTACATTTGAATATCTGTAAACTCACCACTCTGTGCTGGCACAGTGGCTCCAGTGGTAGAGCACTTGCCTAGCAAAGCAAGGGTGAGGCCCTGTGTCTAAGTTCAAATTGCACACCACAAAAAAAAAAAAATCTAAATTCCACTCCCATAGTAATCCATAGTTACTTATCTACTTATCCATTCCTTTTGGTATTTTTTTTTGGTGGGGGGGTTGTTTGTTTTTGGCAGTACTGGGGTTTGAACTCAAGGCCTACACCTTGAGCCACTCCACCAGCCCTTTTTTGTAATGGGTTTTCTTGAGATAGGATCTCTCGAACTGTTTGCTTGAGCTGGCTTCAAACCATGATCTCTGCCTCGAGTCACTAGGATTACAGGCGTGGGCCACCAGCACCCAGCATCAACTATTGTATTCTTGTATTATACTCCATTTCCTCCAGTCTTCATGTCACAAATATGACCTATCTTGAAAAAAAAAGCCAGCCTCAACAACTTGCTGCTTCCTCCTGCTAGTCCACATTCTCCCACTGTAAAAACTCACTGGAGCTTTCATTTCTACCTCTTTAACACCAGCATATCGTCTTTCCAAAAAACTCTCCTCAATCTACTCTGAGACTTCAAATGTAACCCTGTCTGGGGCATCATTATCCTTCTCTCTCCTCTGCAACTAGTTTTTTTGTTGTGCTTTATTTTCTGCATTTCTGGGGATCAATCTAGGGCCTTGGGTGTGATAAGCAAGTGCTGTTCCATTGAGCTGCATGCCCACTCCCGCCACTAAATTTTAAAACTCTTTGTTCTTAAAATTCTCTCTCCTTTGACTTTTACTATTCCTTCTCCAGTCATCTTCTTTTTGTCTTTAATCTGCTCCCTTTCCCTCTAGACAAAATATAGGTGCCCTAGAACCAACACAGTAATACAAACTCCTCTGAAAGAGGGCATAACCATAGACCCACGTGCGATGAGAAGGGCTAGTTCTACAGACAGCACTTTTCCCCAAAACAACTTCCACCTTTAGCAATGTACTTTAGACAACTCATCCACTACTTCATCAGTTTTCAAACACAGTAGAGTGAGAAACATAAAATTCTGCTGTTTAAACAAACAAAATACATAGTGTTGACACAGACGGAGTATGTGTTAATAGTGGAAAAATCACTTACTGATGATGTACCAGAAAGACCAAACAAAACCAAGTGGGCTTAACATGCAGCAAAGAAGAACACAGGCTAAAAATGTAGTCAGAATGAATGAATAAGAAAAGTTGGTATCTTCTCTAAAACACAAGTATGTTCTTCTTAGCCATTAGCCATTAAAATGGTTATCACTGGGCTGGGCATAGGTCAAGGAGTAGAGGACTTGGTTAGCAAGTATGAGAAGCATGAAGTCCTGGGTTCAATCCCCAGTACCACCAAAAAAAAAGAAAGAAAGAAAAACACCCTGGAGGCATGGCTCAAGTGGTAGAGCAGCTGCCTAGCAAACACAGGCCCTGAGTTCAAACCCCAGTACCATCCACAAAAAAGAAAAAAAAAATGATACCTACCTACCAGAAAAGTTCAAATACCTTGGTATAAAAAATGCCACCTGCCCCAGCTGGGTACTGGAGGCTCACGCCTGTAATCCTAGCTACTCAGGAGACAGAGATCAGGAGGATCACGGTTTGAAGCCAGCCTGGGCAAACAGTTTTGAAAGACCGTATCTCGAAAATACCCAACACACACACACACACAAAATAGGGCTGGTGGAGTGGCTCAAGATATATGCTGAGTTTAAACGGCCCTTAACAACTTAATCCCAATCTATCACTATAAACACTCTGAAGTCATCTCCTCCAACTTCTTCCAATCAACCGTGTCACCATCCTCTTCTGCCTGTGTACCTCTCACTCAAGTGAGCACTCCACCACTCTGTCAAACTGTAATTCAGCCTTAAAGTTCTAAGGGTTATTCATTAGAATAATGAATTCTCTGTAGAGCCTTTCCCAATGTCCCAGACAGAAGTCTGTACCTTCCTTTAAGTGTTGCCCCTCTTCCATGAGCCACGTGTCATAGATACCCAACAAATCAAAAAGATATCCATAGTTCATCACTCCAAACATACAGTATACAGCACGAGAGAAAGTAAAGAAAGCAATATGGAAGAGGATTGAGGGAGTGGGTAAGAAAAGAGTCTACCCACTCAAAAGTCACTGCTGATGCTTAATGATCTCCATGGTTCCAGCTCCAAACCAAACCAGTAGTCCCTTCAGAAACATTCTTCTGCCAAGGCACCACAGCAAGCAATGACAAAATGGTGCAGATTAAAGCATCCTTTATCTGAAATACTTGGGTCCAGAAGCACTTTGGATTTCAGATTTTTTTTAGCTTTTGAGTATATATTTTTTTTACAGTACGGGAGTTTAAACTCAGAGCTTTGCATTTACTAGGCAAGTGCTCTACCACTTGAACCATGCCCCAGGCTCCAGGTGTCACCTTTTTGCCTGGAGCTCCCCTTGGACAAAGACCCTCCCACCTATGCGTCCCATATAACTGAGATTATAGACATGCACCACCACATTCAGCTTGTTGGTTGAGACAGGAGTCTAACTTTTTTGCCCAAAATAGTCTCAAACCACAATCTTCCCAATCTCTGCGTCCCAAGTAGCTGGGATTATAGGTATACCCCATTTTGCCTGGACTGCACCTACATTTTTACTGCAACCTCTCACATAAATTAAAATGTAGAATTTCCCACTTACAGCATCATGTTAGCATTCAAAAGTTTTAGAGTTTGGAGTATTTTAGATCTTCAGATGAGGGATGCTCAACCTATACTGACAAGGAAAATGTAACCCAGAGACCTTTCATATCTTACCTCCTTCTTCCTTAACTTCTTCACTAGGCTCTTCTGAAAAAGGCTCCCTTATGACAAGCTGATCACCTCTGTCTTCTTGAGTAACCAGGTTGGGCCTGAGGACAATTTTCTTCCCTCTCTTTGAGGCAGTAGCCTGGAGTTTTCCTTTACCAATTTGTATATTAAGGGAGTGGGAAGACTCTAAGGAAGGTAGGGTGATTCCTTGAGAGATGGCAATGTCAACAGCTTCCAAAACTGGTAAATCTGTATGCTGGGTGAGCATCCTAGAGTTCATAGATGGATCCTCTATACCAAGCTGATCTCCTGCATCCTGCACAGATTGAACTTCAAGGCCAACTGCACTGCCATGACTTGGACCCCAGGACAGTGAGCCCAAGTCTTTAGCCTGGTCCGATTCTGGTTTAACAGCTGACTCTAGATCTAAGTCATCTTCCTCCTGGTTGCCCTTATGCTGCGGGGACTCTGTCACTGTAGTTCTTCTCTTCTTACAGGGCAACATTTTAAAAGTTCCGCTTTTGTTCCATCCTAAAAAGATAAAGGCAAATTCTTATCACTGTCATATTAATAATAGTGGTAATGACATTTACTCAATTATCTTTTCCTTTTACTCATGTTCAATCATAAACACAATACCTCACACCAAACAGTAGTCCTTTAGGTGGAAGATGAGAAACAATGATTATGGTGACTAAGTTCAAATCCCAAAACTACTATTGGTTGGCATGTTACCTCGGCCAAGTGACTTAGCCTCTTTACACTTCTATTTCAACTATGTATTATAATTGTCCTTAGCTCATACAGATGTGAAAAGAACTGAAGTGATTAATAGATGTTAGTTATTATTATTACCATGAGGGAGACAGAATAGCATGATTCTGAGAACAAACTGAGAAGTCCAAATGTGTGCATTTGTTTCCAAAGTCAATTTCTCGTCTGCTTTGTGACCTTGCCTAAATTACTTAATTTGAACCTATTTATCCAGCTATAAAAATAGCACCTATATCATTAGATAGTAAGTGATCAATAAGTGCTTGCTATTGGCCTTTTCATAAACAGGTATTTCCGTTAATAGAAACACTCCAGAAGCAAAAATGTGGTTAAAACGCTAGGCAATATTCCCAGAAATTTTGTGTTGAAACAAGAAGAGATTTCTATATTTTCTGTACTATGCTACTTCTGGACTCTTGGCTTCAATTACAATTATCAAATTTTAAGGGCAATACTGACATAAACTGAAGGATATTTTCTTCTCTGTTCTTAGAGAACTGATTTGCAAACCTCTTTTATGGTACTTATCACTTTTGTATTATCTCTTTGTGTCCCTCCTCCAAAACTATGTTGAGAAAAAAAGAACCCTTCAACTAGTGTCCCAGCAGTATCTGAGTATTTTAGATCCTCACAAAATGTTCCCTAAATGAATGAATGAATGAATGGTGGTTTGAACAACTGTGCAACATTTGGACCAAGCATCAATATTAGATGGAAACCAATTGCACATTCTATGCAGGAAAACTTTACTCTCATAAATAGATCCAAGAACAGCCTTGCTGTTCCAAGCTGTCTTGTGTTACAGTGTTACTGGCAATCTTCAAACAAAGTCTGAATGATCACCCAAAGGGTACTAGAGAAAACTTGGCTAAGAAAATTTAAAAATAAAGTACTTTCTGGCTCTAAGAATTTGATATGCAAGGATAGTTTTAAATCACCCTAATTCAGTTTCTCTAGGACATTAGTGAAGACACCCTCCCTCCCCCGCCCCCATCAACCATGTTCTTATCTTGATAAAGCTCAATAAACAAGGGAAGATTCGTTGATTCCTAAGAGGGAAGATGATGAATGAGTAAGGAGTGCAGTGGAAGTAACCTAGGAGGCTCCTTATTGCAAAGATGAGTTACTGAGATCCAAACAAGAGAAAGGAAAGAAGAAAAGACAAGACAGGCAGCTGCTATTCAGCCAGCAGTGTGCGGGGATCGGCTCCAAGAGCGTCAATACAGCACTAGCTCCAAAGAGCCCGCTCTTTGGGGAACCAGAGTCGGTGAATGCATGCTAATTAGGAGGCTGCCCCACGCAGCCCCCTCCTGAAAAAACATTGCAAAGAGGGATCCTGGCTGCACTTTCCACCTCGGCGCGGAGCACTGGCCCAAGTCTCCACTGCCAATTTGACACCTTCGCACCCCTAACGCCCGTCACCCAACCTACGCCCCCCCTCGGGCCGACCCCCTGGTCCTGGGCATCCTTGGTTCAGGAGTACCAGGTCCCGCATTGCCTCTTCCCGCCCACCGCACACTACCCAGTACCCTCTCAAGCTGGCCTGATCCCGCGGAAACTCAGCTCCTGCACCAGCGGAAGTAAAGCAACGGCAGCGATTGTCGTGCGCGTCCCCGAGTCGCGGTGCGCGGCGACTCAGGGCGCCAAGAAGCATGCGTCAAACCCAGGCGCCATAGGGTTTGAGGGCAGAATGAAGCCAGAGTGCTATACGTCATTTATTGGCAAGAAAAATTAAAGGCACTACCTCGCTTTGCCTGCCCATAGAGCAATTCCTATTCAAACTGAGGGATTGAGATCCAGTGGGTTAGTTTGACAACTAATCATCTTCCCCGCGAGAGGAAGAAAAGAAGAATTCATAAAATTTCAGGAAGAAGATTTGGTCTCCAAAATAGACCCTGGGAGACCGCGGATTTTTTTTTTTTTTTTTTGTACTGGCATTTGGACTCAGGGCCTACACCTTGAGCCACTACACCAGCCCTTTTTTGTGATGAGTTTTTCCCGAGATAAGTTCTCGCAAACAATTTGCCAGACTGGCTTCGAACTTCGATCCTTCGATGTCTGCATCCTGAGTAGCTAGGATTACAGGAGTGAGCCACCGGTGCCTGGCAACAGTGGCTATTTTTATTTCACTTTCCAGTTTGCATCGGACAAAGTTCTGGTCCAGATGGGTAGGTGATTTCACAAAAGTACCCAGTCATCAAGGGGAATCAGGTATCTGGTATCTTAACGCTAGCTCCTAAAGCATGGACCCAGTGACCAGGAAAGGTGCCTGCGGCATGGTCAATGTTCAGTACTTAAGTCCTCCCCCATCCGATCCCCGTGGACGGTTTGAAATCAGGGCTTTGCAAAGCATGCGCTCTACCTCTTGAGCCACACCTCCAAGTCCAATGCCTGCTTTTTGTTTTTTCCAATACCTATTTTTTGAATAAGTTACTCCCAGAACCATGTTCTTTCCACTTTTCTACAAGTGCAAAGTGACAAAAGTGAAAAAATGCATTCCTTTTACAAATGAACCAACAAATACTTCAATATTTGAAACGATTTTTGTTTGTAAACAGAATCCAACAGAATGAGAGTATGAAGGGTGAAAATTGATATAATCATGTATAAAGCCGCCAGCAGTCTGACTCTAACCTAAATCACACCAATTCTCCCAAATACCAAGGAAGACTCCAGAAGTTGGGGGTTTCCTTTGTGTCCTTTTGGCCTAAAGAAGACACAGAACTTTTGGTTTGCCCCTCCGCATCCTACTTTCTTATGCACCCCTAAGCACTTGAGGAATATTCAACCCGGATTAACTTGTCATTTTTCATTACTTTTTTTTTAACAGCTTTGTGTTTACCCACCACAAAATCAGTCTGCTTTATGCATCCAATTAGATGATTTTTAGTAAATTTTCAGAGTTGTGCAACCATCTACAGATTTGGTCTTTAATCAAAGTTTTTTGAAGTTTCAGAAAGTTTTCACAATTATCCTTAGTGTTCTCAGAAATGCATTAAAATAATGATAAACAATACTGAAATCAAGGCAATATAGAAATTTGTTTCTCTTAAGTCTTGTGAACCCAGAATATTCCGCTCCTATATAAACCCAGGGAACCAAAATCACAGGATCTACAGACTCAGGTATGATTATCTACCTATACTTCTGTTTTTTGGAAACGGAGTCTCGCTATGTGGCCCAAGCTGTCCTTGAACGTGCTGTCCTGCCTCGCCCTCCTCAATGCTGGGACTACAAGCGTTTCCCAATAAACCTGTTTCTACTTAACACTTCTTCTCCAGACCCACAGAGGGCTAGTGGGCGGAGCCTCATCCTCGGGAAAACTCGGCAGTGGGAGGGGTCTACTCTCGAAGACCTCCCGGAAAGGGGCAGAGCCTGCCTTCCGGAACATTTCGGACGAAGGCGGAGTCTTCCTGCCGAGGGCCATTCGGAAAAAGGCGGAGCTTATCTCGCATCAGGACCAGTCTGACTGCACCTGCATCCTTAGCTCAGAGCATCCCTGGAGCATCTTAAGAGGAGGGCGCAGCTGGCAACCAGGGACCGGACCGTCGCAGCAGATGTCCGCTAGATACCTTCCCCCTCCCCTGATCTAGAGCTCTACAGCAGCCTCGGTTCTGACCGGGGATTCCCAGAGTTATCTGACCATTGCAAAAGCATTTATAGCAAAAGCATCTGATTACGACATGGCTGAGATCACCAATATTCGACCTAGCTTTGGTAAGTACAGTCGGGCAAACTAAGCTTGAGGTGGTCAGAACCGTTGTAAAGCCGGGCAGTGGGCAGGGATTGAAACCCAGATGGGATCCCTCAAAGTGCCAGCCTCGCTAGAATCTGGCCTGAGGTGATGAGTAGTGGGCAGTGGACAGCGTCTGAACTTGAGCTGTGGGCTGCAGAGGTTGGCAAGGCCAAAGCGACACCGAGGGTGGGGAAATGCAGGTTGCTAAAACCTTGTATGGTGCACTGTCAGCACTGCTGGAGGTGAGAAACAGCGAGCGTGCGGAGGACGTGAACCCCTCCTTCTGGGGGAGGAGAGGTGGGGTAGGCCGAGCCCTCCCCCTTGGGGCACGCAGGGCGGTGCCCCTTCCTCCCCCTCCCACTTCTAAGGGTTGCGGGGGAGGAAGGGGGAGGGAGATGGCAGGTGGGATGGGGCATCAAGATGGCAGCTTGAACACTATGGGCTGTGTGGCTGGCAGCCAGGGGAGGCGGTGGCCTCTAGGGAAAGAAGGATGCGGGGGTGGGGAGCAAAAAGGAAGCCACTCCTTAAGCCGGTCAGCTGGATGCTGGGGCTAGGAGGAAATGTGAGTCCTGCAAGCTCCATTCTGCATCGTAATGGTGGGGTCCTTCTGATGCTACCAAATGGCGCTTGGCTCCGCTTGGCTGGGGGGATGACGTGATGTCTATTTCTGGGCCTTCTGGCAGCGCCTAGGCTCTCCTTCCGGGGCCTTTGTTCCCTGTTTCCCTGGGCCGGCTTTTCAAAAAGGGGGACTCACCCGCGCTGGTGCTGGCGGGGGCGCGATCCAGGCCGGAGGGGGAGGGGCGAGAGAGGCCCAGCCGGGGGAGGCCGCTTTGTGTACCAGAGAAAGCATTACGTCATTTCAGAGCGGCTGGTCCCCGACCCAGCCCTGTGGGTTCCAAGATCAGTTTTGCACTCCCTGGGGCAGAAAGTGAAATGGAAAATAGATGGGAATGTGGGAAAGACAAGCTTGAGAAGCAAGTTTTTCCTCTTTAACAATTTCTCCAAAATGTACTAGGAGGGCAACTTCTTATTCTGTGCCTCCTGGTCACATAAATAAATAAATTACCTTCCTTCTTCCTCTGTTATACTACAGTTTTGATTGGGAGAAGTGACTGAGAGTTGCTGCCAACTTAGGAACCTTCATATCCCTTAAGGGGTTCTGCCCCTCAGACAAACCAGAAGGTTTGAACATCCGATTCCAGCTAGAAAATGGCTTTTTTTCACTCCCGAATTAAGAGGTTTATGGAAATGAGCACAACCCAGTGTGCTCTATCCCCATAATATAAGGAAGAAAGCATAAGATCAGGGAAAGTATTCAAACAATAACTCTTCACAGCCAGGAAATACTTGTCCCCATTGATTCTCCCAGGCTGAGTCTTGATTATATTTCTTTCTTCTATTTCACTTTCTGCATCTCTATCCTTTGAATACTAACTTTTCCAAATTAAAGTCCCTTTTGTAATCATATGCCCAACCCATGATTTTCTTCCTGTTCTTTCTTTTTCTTCTTATGCCCTCTTTCCAACAGATAGAGTCTCTAACTGCAATTCCACAATCCGTGGAAAATTAGATGTTATAGAACATAACATAGTGTTTTTCTTTAGAGGGAATACCGGTGGAAAAGGGAAAAAAATATATCAGCTGTTTATAGACCACATTCTATTGAATCCTAACAAATACCTTCCAGTGTAGGTATTGTTACATATAGTCACCAGATGAGGAAATTGAGACTCAGGGAGATAAAATAACTTGGATAAAGTCAAATGAATTTCAAATGAACTAGTAACAGTAGTGCTAGGATTTAAACCAATATCTGGCTGGTGCCAAAGTTTGTTTTCATTCCACTGTATTACACTAGTGGACTTAACAGTGAAAGGCTATGTTTAGGAAAGGAAGTGTTTATAGTCAGTCTGGGGCTAGAAGGGTGGGTGGTTCGGCAGTAGAGTGTTTGCCTGGCAGGAATAAGGCCCTGGGTTCAATTCTCAGCACCATGAAACAAAGCAAGGAAATAATCAGGTCTGAGCAGAGGCTGAAGACCCATACGTGTCCTGCAGATCTCTAGTTCCTTCCAGACGGTTTCCTCTGCAAAGAACTGCCTCTTCTGAGTTGTTCACATCTCATAGAATACTTCCTTTCAAAACCTCTGGTACTTGGTAGATACACCAAGTCAACACTCAATTATCTATGACCTTGAAGGACTAAAAGAGTATTTCAACATCTCTGATTTACTATCTTGGGTGTTGGGAACAGAGTAAACAAATACTGAAATGAATGAGAAAGAGGACAAAAAATGGAAAAGAAGATGAGAGAAAGCACCTGAATAATCCACAAATGGATTCATCTGTTTCTCTTCCTTCACCTGAAGGGTGAGAATCCTTCATCTTCTCTCTTTTCCACCTTACCTCCATTTTCTCAGAATAAAAGATGATGCATTGTAAGAAGCTGTGTGTTCCCTCAAGATCACACAAGAATCATGTAGATATCTCCTAGTCTTGGCCTTTAGACTTCCTTTTCAGGTTCTTGTCAATATACCTTGCTTAGTAGTTCCCTTCTTTGCTCTTCTCATAGAGACAATCCATGTTCAGTTTCACTAAACAACAGCAAGCAATTTGCAAACCCCTGATTGGAAGTTAGCCATTTCTTGAGACTATAGCCATTCTGATTGACAACTGAATCTACTCAAATATTTACTGCACTCCTATTAGATGTCAGATACTTAGAGGGAATCAAAGATGAGCAGGATGGGGTGCCTGCCTGCACTAAAGGGGCTTATCCTCAAGGCTGCCTCCATTTTTTGCAACCTCTCCCTAAAAGCACTAATTTCATTTCATATTTTGAAACTGCACATTATTATTTTCAGGATGAACAGAGTCACCTTGATTTATTTTGTTGATAATGGTTTTACTCTTAACTATATTATTTTAAAATAAAATTTCTTTTCTTATTGGTTCCCAACTTTCACAGAACCATAAAATGTTGAGGTAGAAAGAATTTCAGAGACATTTAGTCCAATCCCGTTGAATTAATCCCTTTCAGAATATGCCTAACCAATCATGATCCACCTTTGTATTTGAATTTTCTTTTTTTTTTTTTTTTGTGCTGGGGAATCAAACCCATGCTAGGTTAAGTGCTACATCCCTTGGCTTTTCATTTTTTTGTTTTGTTTTGTTTTGTTTTTCCTTGGCTTTTCGAGACAGGTTCTTGCCACATAGCTCAGATTGGCCTTGATCTCATGATCCTCCTAAGTGCAGGCATTACCATTACACCCAGTTGGTGAAAATTTTTCTATTAGAAAATCACTGCCTCATGAAGAAATCTGAGTCATTTCTACTAATAATTTGACTATTTTAATTGAATCAAAATCTGTCTTCCTGTAGCTTGTGCACATTAGTGTTGGGCCTGTGTTCCAAAGTAACATCTGATCAAACTTTCTTCCATCAAAATGCATAAAATAATTATAATTGAAGATGATTATTGTTCCTCAATGTCTCAGTTCCAGTTTCTTCTTTCTTCACTTGGTATGGTTTCCAGGTCTTATCTTGTTTTTGGTTTTTTTTGCTTTTGTTTTTTGGCAGTAGTGGGGTTTGAACTCAGGACCTCATGCTTGCTGGGCAAGTGCTCTACTACTCAAGCCACTCCACCAGCCCTGTTTCACGTTGGGTATTTTCAAGATAGGGTCTCTCGAACTATTAGCCTGGACTAGCTTCAAACTGTGATCTTCCTGATCTCAGTCTCCCAACTAGTTAGGATTACAGGTGTGAGCCATCAGCATTGGCTTGTCTTCTTTTTTGTTTTTTTGTTTTTTTAACTATCCTGGTTATTTATAAAGTAGAGTATGGACTCTGGGCATCAGGCAGACCAGAATTTAAATCCCATCACTCCCATTTGCTAGTACCTGAGTCCCCAAGCTCCTCAATTAGTAAAGTAAGGATATTAATGGTCCTGTTCAATGAGTTCTTTGATTCAGAACAAAGAAGCCTATCGAAATGCCTCTCAGGGATATAATAAATGCATACAAAAATTAGCCATTTTTATTGTTGTCAGTATATATAGAATGTTCTATGTGTGTTGTGTCCTGTGCAGATGAAATTATACCTACATCTCTTGAAATCTGGACATCATGCATATAGTACAAACTGGAATTAGCCTAATTTTAGTCCAAGAAATTACTAAGTCATTTTTGCCCAGATGTATCAAGTGAGGTATTTCCTATAGATAGATTAAATCCAAAGAGAAGTTTACATTTATCCCTGATATTTGTACTCATATTGGCTTCATTGTGTTTTTCTAATCTGTGGAGGTTGTTTTGAATTCACTAACACTTACTATGTACCACATAACTCTAGGGCCCAACAATACAGCTTTAAACAAAACAGTCAACATCACTCTTCTTATTAAACTTATCTAATAAGGAAAGACAAATATAGGTCAGCAAAATAAGCACTATGGAGGGAAAAAGAGGAGGGAGATGAAGCTGTTATCTCACTTGGAGCTGACAGGAAATGCTTCTCTGATAAGGTGAGGCTTGAGTAGAGGCCTCCTGTAAGTGAGGCGGTATGCTGTGCAGATGCCTGGAAGGACGATTCAGGAAGAGTCTGGAATATGGTGTAATCACATTATTTCCTTAATTCTTCCTAACTTCCAAGTCTTCCCCTAAAAAATACAGTTTTCACCTGAAAACTATAGGCATTTTCCAGATCATTAAGACCTAAACCCAATTTGGTGTCAATGAACTTGAGGAACAGGGGAAGCCAAATCTAATTATATAGCTATGTAACTTTTTTTTTTTTTTTTTTTGGTAGTCTAGAAGTTTGGACTCAGAGCCTCCTAGTTTCTAGGCAGGTGGTCTATCACTTAAACCACGCTTTCAGCCCCTCCCCCGTGTGTGTGTGTGTGTGTGTGTGTGTGTGAGACTGGGGATGAATTTAGGGCTTCAAGCTTGCAATGCAGGTACTTGAAAAGCAGGTACTCTACCTCTTGATCCACACCTCCAGTTCATCTCAGTTTTTTTTTATTTTAGTTATTTTTTGGATATGGTTTTGCCATTTTTTTGACCCAGCCACTCCCAGACTTCGATCCTCCTACCTATACATTCTGCATAGCTGGATGACAGACACATGACACTTCAGCTTTTTTGTTGAGATGGGGTCTTGATAACTTTTTGTCTAGACTGGTCTCAACCCATGATCCTCCCAATCTTCACTGTCCAAATAGCTGGGATTACAGAATGAACCACTGTGCCTGCCAGGCAGGGCTCAACTTCTATGAAAAAAGACAAGACTAGGGGAAGAGAAAAGGAAATGATCTATTTCTCTTTAGTTATTGGTTCATCTGAAAAATAGTATTAAGTACCTGCTATCTGTTTTAAGTGCTGGAAATACAACAAATAAAACAGACAAAAAGCCCTGTATGAGACTTGCATTCTTGGGACGTTAAAAACAAATAATGAAATTACAAAGCCAAGCACGGCAGCTCATGCCTGTCATCTCAGCACTTGGGAGGCTGAAGCAGCCCAGGCTAAATAGTGAAACTCTATCGAAGAAAGGAGTGGAGGGAGGGAGGGAGGGAGGAAGAAAAATTATAGGTAGCTTGTTTATTTATTCGCACACATGTATGTGTTGTTTTTTTTGGATACGCATGCTCATGTGTTTGTGGGAGAGATAATGACAAGGTATGTGAAGAAAAATTAAACAGGGCTAGAAAGAGAAGGAGTTGAAAATGGTGAGAGTTGCACTTTTAAATGGTACAGTCAGCACTGGGATACAGCTCAGTGATATCATACTTGCCTAGTATGCTCTAGGC